GATAAAGAAAATCATCCCTAAAATCCATAGAGAGTAAAAAAAAAATAAAATTAGCAAAAAGAGGAGAAATACTTTTGACGTGTTGTGCTCGTCTCGTCTCGTTTCTCAGAGCAGAGCAGAGCAGACAGACAGACAGAGGGTGATCTTGTGTCAACACCCGCTGCCCTATAAAGCGCGGATGCCCCGCGGCCCTTCCACCCCTTCCCTCGTCGATTGCTTTTCTTCTCTTCTGCCACAATTCTCCCCATCGCCCACCCCCCTGCTTGAACCTGACGTTTGTCGAGACATCTCCTGTGTCTATAAAACATCTTTCATCATCTATCTGATTCCTCTTTCATCCACTTCTTCCTTCCCTCCTAAACAACATGCCTCCCAAGAAAGCTACCTCCACCGGCGCGACCAAGAAGTCCGGCTCGAGTCACGCCTCTTACCGTGGTATGTTTTGACTGATCTTTCCCCACCACCACCTTGCGCTATCTTCATTCTAGCTTCATTTTTGTCGCGAATGACTGCTGATTCGATTAATATAGATATGATCAAGGATGCTATCCTGAATGTGAGTTAATCACGTTGTTCCCGGTGCGATGCGGGATCACGGGCGCTGGGTGGGAACTTCCCCGACCGTGACACGTCGACACGGTGCTTAATTGTTCCCAACGCCCCATCAGGCACTGTCTTGTTCCATCCTAGCTGGATCGCTAACATCTATTCAAACAGCTCAAAGAGCGTAACGGTAGCAGGTAAGCTAACTCGTGTTTCCTTGATCACCGCCAGACGCAGGGTCCCGCCCGTTCAGCGACGTGGCAACCCGACACAGCGTCTCTGTCGCGATTGAAGCTAACCCGTCCCTGTAGCCGCCAGTCCGTCAAGAAATATGTTCTGGCCAACAACAAGATTGCTCCTGCTTCTCAGGCTGCTTTCGACAGCCAGTTCAACAAGGCCATCAAGGCTGGTGTTGAGAAGGGCGAGTTCACTCAACCCAAGGGTAAGTCCACCATCTAGTCGCGCACCTCGCCTGCAACCCTCACCTCGCCAACGGTGAAGGTTGCATCTACGCTTGCTTTGCACGCGTCTTTGTTTATCGCTCCGACACCCCTGCTGACGCGTCTTATCTCCAGGCCCCTCTGGTCCCGTGAAGCTTGCCAAGAAGGAAGCTGCCCCTAAGCCTGCCAAGGTGAGTGACCACCGCATCCCCCCAACTGACCCAGATGACTGACTCCATGACAGAAGGCTTCTGCCAAGACTGCTACCAAGAAGACTGCCGCCAAGAAGAGCGAGAAGGCTGAGAAGTCTGACAAGGCCGAGAAGACTGAGAAGGCCGAGAAGCCCAAGTCCACCACCAAGAAGGCCACTGGCACTACCACCACCACCAAGAAGTCGGTTGGCAGACCTAAGGCCAACACTGCTAAGCCTCGCAAGGCCTCGACCACTGTAAGTAATGCTGTGCTTGCCCCCCTCCCTCCCTGATCTCCGCGCTGGATGCTGATTTCCACGCAGGCCCCGGCCGTTGTCGATCAACCTAAGGTCACCAGCACTACCAAGTCTGGACGCGTGACCAAGACAACGGCCAAGCCTGCAGCGAAGAGCAAGAAGTCTACTACTACTGCGAAGAAGGAGAAGGCCCCTGCCGCCGCGGCCGCCTCCGCCTAAGGAAATTTCTTTGCAATCGTTTTGAGCGACCAGTTACCTTTGATCTTTTTGGCCCGTTTCTCTGTTTGCGATGTGTCCTCGGGGTTATATCTTTTGGGTCGTGTCCCCTTCCTTCGTTTGTAATTTTTTCTCTCTCGGCCACCAATCTCCTGGAAGGATGGGATGATTGTATCTGGGATATGCTGTGGACTGTTTACTCGGTCGTTTCTTTCTCCTTGTTGGTAGGGTCGGCGTCTTGCGGTGGATTTTGCAACGGGATATGTTATTCAATTGCGTGCTATGCTTTGTACGCCAGTCTAAGGACGGGTGTTACGCTTTGGAATGAAACCACTTGTTCAGTTTAACTAGAACCGTTGTAGTGGTTGAAGAGGTCAGGATAGAAATGGGTATTCGATCGATGCCCAAGCCACCATTCAGGGGACATGGACCTGGCCCCGCGATCAAGTCAATCGATCCACCACCAAGCAATGCCAGTGCCAGTGCTTATTGGCAAAGAAGACTGCCTACCACGCGGAAGGAATGATCTAAGCTTAAATTTTGTGCATATTCAAGGGCCCAGGGGGTGAGGGTTCCATCCGCACATCCAGATCAACTGGTGGAGTCTTCTTGTGCTCTTACTGAGCTCAGCTGAGGGAGTATGGGAACAACAGTCCAATACGCAATTTACCACGAGGTATGGTCCATACCCTAGCGCGTACAGATGGTGTGTTTTGCTAAACTTTCCGCCCAAATTCACCAAAAATAGGAATTACTTTTCAAGACGAAGTTATCCGCTTAGTCAGTCAGTCTTTGGGTCAATCTCTCTGGTTTTAGTTTTGAAGTCGAAAGTCGTAATTAGTGCTTGACTACTGTTTTTTTTTTTTTTTTTTTTTTTTTTTTTTTTTTTTTTTTTTTGGGCAGAAACATGCTACATTTGGGACAATTTGGTGTATGTGCAGTTCGTATACCAGTAGGCTCGAGGGGTCTAGAAACGCAAAGGAGCTTAAGCCAACAAAACACAAGCAAGGGAAACAAAACCTTTTCCCGTCCCGCCGGCTAACGGGCTTATCGCCGGATGACTTGCTCGGCTACAGTACTCAGTACTCGCATTTATAAGGTTCTTGTTCTTGTGACTGGCATTCGGGAAGACCAGTCCCTGTTCGCTTAGGGTTTTGCTGACTATACCTGTTTGTAGAACCATTGCGTCAGAGTAGATTGGACCCTCTCAAAGAAGGAGGGAGGAGGAGGAGGAGGAGGAGGGGGATGAGGGGAAAAGATCATTGGGGAGGCGGTTGGAATGGGGGGTGACGTTGACTCTATCATGGAGTTTGTTGTCGATCATTCGTGCATGCATCAGGAGTTTTTGCATAGCAAAAATGCAATTCTGCCTTTTCTTCTTCAATGCCGGATGACGGGAGAGGAGGTTTCCGAACCTGACATTGTTTTGTAGCAGCTTGCATTACCAAGCTTCAGGTAAATTGGTGCGGAGTAACTGAGACTGTAATCTTCTAGATTTGCAGTGTTGGTTTGTGCTGGAGAGTCCTGGGCAGGGCCCAGGTGCCAGATACTGCCCTGCTCTTGTTTGAACCCCTTTTGAGACGGTTAGGGTATTAAGTATTGCTGGCAGAAGATGAATAGAATAGGCTGCCACAATCCCGAGTCCTTGGCTGCGTCCAGGGTCAATCAGGGGCTCCTTCGGGGAGCTTTTGTAGATACATTGGTATGTATTGAGAGCCCTTTCTTCAGGTACGGATTGCGAGTCCAAACGGCTAAGTTGTTACAGGAGTGTGGTTATTGGGTCGCTCAACTGTCATCGCTGGGTTGATGGAAGAGAGATTCGTGAGGATGGACATGAGTATTTGTAGGTATATCATGGGTGCAATAGGGCAACGAATGAGTGGAGCCGGGAATTAGGAACGTCCATCCTGACGATTAATGATGCATGCTGTCGGAGATCAGGTTGCATATAATACAGCCATGTTCTGTTCCGTATAGATGTGCGTTTCGTTGCTTTTATGATAGAAAAGTGTACTGGACTGTACTGCACTTCTGTCCGAAGAGCATGATGCATGTAGCACGATCAGGTCATGAATTCTATAGATTGCACCTGCACAATCACTAGAGTGTTGATTGAAAGTCGCAGAGAGAGTGCCAAGGATCTCATCGTCTTTCTCGGGCTGGCATAAACAATTCCTGCCTGATTGATGATAGTACGGACTCATCTTATTTGACATACAGAAAGAGCTCTGATGTTGCACTTAGTACATACAGTCCATACAGTCCAGCATCTGGTCTTATGCATCTACTTCTATTCCCCGAGCTGCAGGTATGTACTGTACATACAGTATGTCAATCATCAATCAATCTTCGATTCCATCGCGTAACTTATCGGAAGTTGGTACCTGCCGCGTAATACTGGGTAATGACGGCGTTGGTCCTGGTGGAGCTCGCCCACTTTTGTCCTTCCCCTGCTTTTCAATTCTCTTCTGGATAACTAGAATCATTAATTCTGTAATTATAGCAACAATCCAGTTCGAGTACAGACACTGCCTGAATGTCCCCCATTGCAGTGTTACAGAAAGGGGGGAAATACTGCTCTGTCTGTCCGTTTGTCTCTTCAATTCAACATAATCTCTCCAAACACTACGTGTAATCCCACCATCACTGCCTTGATCAGGAACCATACCATACAGGTTCAGCTCTCCACGTTTTTGTGGCAGTTCCACTTGAATTACGAGTCCGTTTCGCCCCAAGAATACTCACTCACTCAGTCAGTCACCATTTCTCCTCTTCTTCCTCTTCTCCTCCCTTCCTCTCTCTCTCTCTCTCTCTCTCTCTTTCCCTCCCTCTTCTCTCGGTCTTCATTCTCTTTTACACTAATCACCCATTCGACAATCTCGTCTACGTCTCTCCCTTCTTCCTTCCCCCCACCCCCATTCCCCTGCATTCTAGTTATCTCTCCTTTAGCTTTGGATTCTGTTCGTTGTCGTCACTCTGCCTGCATTTGCAACTGATACCCCCATCCCGCCCTCGTCTCGCCCGCCCTTCTACCCGTTTCCCGAGCTGCGGATTCCACCATTTGTCTCAGCGCTCTCTCAAATTACTTCCTCTGCAGACCTCAACCTACTTCCGTCTGTCGCCTCAGGACACGCAAAATCCAAAGAACGTGTTTGTTCTTGACTTCGATCCGGGCCCTCCAAACTTAGTGGTTCACCTGAACATGCCTATCAGCCGCTGAAGTACTTTCCGCCGGCTGGCCCCCAGCTCGATCTCAGGAACCGTGTTTTTTGCATATCGACAACCGCCATTGATCGATTTGTCCTCCCTCAACCAGCCCCTCTCCGCCTTTGGCTGGCTCCTTCCCTCTTGTTGCTCGACCAAAAAGGACATTTCGGCTTTTGGTCAACAGTCGACGCATATCACCCACAAACGTCGACTCCTCTTCCCCCCCCCTCCCCTTGTCCTTATCTCCGCCTCCTCCCCGGCGGTTCGACCAACTGATCATGCCATCGTTTTCCAACGACGTCGCCGCCTACCCAACAGCCACCGTTACGGCTACACACCCTCGGCCATTCGACCCATCGCAAGGCAAGCCCAACGAGAAGAACTCGGTGGGGAATACGTTTCTTTGGACAAATTGGCCCAATGGCGACGCTAATCATCTGGAAACTCCTTCGAACGATCGCCAGCTCACAAACGGTAGCGCCTTTGCCCTGAATGGTCCGCGATCCAGCGCCAGTTCATATACCCGGGAATTGCCTCATTCGAAGGACGGTAGCATGTACTCATTAGGAAACGGGTCAGCTCGAGATCCCAAGGAGGATGGTCGGCCCTCAGCGAACCTGGAACGGAATTTATCCGACAAATCCCTGGACACGGTCACAGGGGCAGGTTCTCCGGCGGCATCGATCGCAAGCCAACACATTAACGGCACACTCAATTCCCGATCGCTTAATGGAAAACCCTTGGTAAACGGAGATTTCAACCGACAATCAACCGACGAGTTTCACACCCCGGAATACGCAGGCAATGCATCGGCGACCCGTTTATCCACCTCTCCACCTGACGACGCTGGCCGTCTTTCTCCCGATCCCGATCGATTATCTCCCTCGCAGAAAAGCCCTCATCGCTATTCTTCCCCTCCAGCCCCGGAAAATGGTATTTCGCCGGACCAAAGCAACACCAGTCTTCGCCATCGACACACATTACAAGTCCCGCGCACAACGAGCGGGCGCCGTGGTAGTCGTGATCAGTCGGAAGACATGGCTTATAGTAGCGGTCGCCTGTCTCCCACCACCGGAACCCGCCGGACATCCTTTAGCCTGGCCCGACGGGCTACTCGAACCAACCAGTCGGAAAGCTTACAAGACGAAGCAGCTCCCGACGAAGATGCAGCCCGCTGGGCAGAAGCCATCAAACAAAGGCGAGCCTCGAAACGAAGACGTCGGGACGAGGACGATGATGATCGCGTCATCGTAGGAACCAAGGTGGACCAGAACCACGTGAATTACGTGACGGCCTACAACATGTTAACCGGAATTCGTTTCACTGTCTCGAGGATTAATGCCAAAATGGATAGGGAGTTGACTCCCGCGGACTTCGAGGCGAAGCACAAATTCTCGTTTGACATGTATGTTCTCAAGTGCCTTTTTTGTCACTGTACATCGACTGACGTTCAACAGAACCGGCAATGAATTGACGCCTTCTGCGAAGTACGATTTCAAATTCAAGGATTATGCGCCCTGGGTTTTCCGGCACCTGCGAGCAAAGTTTCGACTCGATCCAGCCGACTATCTGATGTCACTCACAAGCAAGTACATCCTGTCGGAGCTGGGGTCTCCGGGCAAGAGTGGAAGCTTCTTTTACTTCTCCAGAGACTACAAGTACATTATCAAGACCATCCACCACTCCGAGCACAAATTATTACGCAAGATCCTCCCCGAGTACTACCGGCACGTCGAACAAAACCCAAACACCTTGATTTCGCAGTTCTATGGTCTTCATCGTGTTAAGATGGCTTATGGGCGAAAAATCCACTTTGTTGTCATGAACAACCTCTTCCCTCCGCATCGCGATATCCACCAGACATTCGACCTGAAGGGTTCCATGATTGGCCGTGATCTGCGCGAGGAGGATTTGGAGAAGAACCCGCGAGCGACCTTGAAGGATTTGAATTGGGTTCGGAGGAACCGCGAGATACAGTGTGGCCCGTCTAAACGCGACTTCTTCCTCGCTCAATTAAAGCGAGATGTCGAATTACTAAAAAAACTCAAGATCATGGATTACTCACTATTAGTGGGAATTCACGATGTAGAAAGAGGCAACGAGGAAAAGCTCCGCGACAAAACCTTGCAAGTTTTCCAACCGGGGGGTGATCGCGAGGAAGATGCAAACCCCAACATGTTGATGCGCACACCGTCCAAACTGGAAAACGAGCGCAAGGCCCGAGAACTTCGGATGCTCATCAAGCGTGAGCGTCCAGTCCCATTAGACCAAGCAACTGCGAAAATGCCCGATGAGATTCTTGACGAGAGGAAATACCACGTCTTTTACGCCGATGATGGAGGGTTCCGCGCCACTCATGAGAACGGCCAGCCTGGCGAAGAGATTTACTACCTTGGCATCATCGACTGCTTGACTCACGTAAGTTGCCTCGAGCTGCCAGGTTTTGGTATAATGTACTACGTTACTAACGGGATTTATAGTATGGAATGGTGAAGAAACTAGAGCACTTCTTCAAGGGTCTGTCCCACGATCGCACTCAAATATCGCCAATTCCCCCAGAAAGTTATGGAGATCGTTTTATCAACTTCATCAAGGGTATCACCATGTCAAAAGAAGAAGCACAGCGACAGCGGGAAGCCAAGGCCATGGGAGAACCGTCCACGGAAAGAACACCTTCTGTCGAAGAGACCATGCAAGCAGCAGAACGAGAGGCATCGAGGGAGTCATCCATTGTACAGCCTCGAACCCTGACGACGGTGCGAGATCCTAACGACTCCGGCGTTCTTGCACCTTCGACACTTCCGATTGTCGAAGAAGCAGGCGAGGCCAGCAGCCTTGGTGGCCACAGTTCACACAGCCGCCATGGCCCACCTCTTCCCGAGAAGGACCTGCCACCAATTCCCCACCAGAACGGTGCGCCTGTAGTCGGCAAAGGGAAGGGGGTCGTTCGCAACGGGCAGCCTGAAATGGTTTCTGTCTCTGGCAGACAATAAACCTCCCCATTGCTGATTTTGAACCGACTTTTCATGATATCCTCGTTCGCAGCTCTGCACACCTTTCGCATCATATACATACCCTGGCGCCACGGATCATCCGCTTTCCTGCACGCGACGCATCTTCACCTATCCACATCATTCCTATAGTCCTCATGTTGCCACGAGTGATGTTAACTCCAATCATACCATCGGGCGCCAGCCCCTATGGTCAGAATCCCTGTTTCGACATCTTGAATACGTTCCACTACCTTCTTTTGGTCACTATAGCGGTATTATCCGCTCAATCAACACATTCTTTCCCATCATTCCCACCCGGCATAGCGGACACATCTGCTTGTGCCTACCATCTTTTATATCAGCTACAACTCTACTACTATCTCCTTATGTATCTTGCTCTTGCTATTGCTCTTTCTGTCTGTCTCTTTTCTCTTTCTTTCCATGTCTCAATTCGTGATAAAATAATCACGACTCCAGTTTTGAGGAAAAATGCCTAAGTATGTCAGGCTTACTGACGCACGGCCATGTTCTCAAACCCTTCTTACATTCTTCTATATCGAATAGTTCTCTGTCCCCCATTCTATTATTGTTGTTGTTTCATTTGTTTGATGTCAACAAGAAACAACCACTGACCCTCTCATGATTGGGCCTATTGCATCCAGCCCAATTTACTACCTGACCAAATTCTTCTTCTCGCCTCTTATCTCTGTTCCCCCCGGGCAGCGCCTTTCTTGCTCTAAGCATAGTAAGCCAAGACGGGCATCATCAGCATTGCTCTCTTCCCCATCTCCGCGTCGGCTATCATTGTTTAGCTTATTTGATTTTGGCCTCCATACACATCGAAATAGGATGAGGCTAAGCGATTGAACTTTCATCCTTTTTGTGCGCGAGCAGGTCCCATCGAGCGGCTTAATTGATCTGATTTGACTACCTCTTTTCTTTTTGTGCATTGGTGGTTTTCCATTGCCTTGTTTTGGAATTTGCTTTGTGTCCTTGAGTTTCCCGTGATTGCTCTCTCCCTTCCCTTAGAAGACTGATTGATCAATTGATCGAGTGGTGAGGGTTGATAGAAGATGTGCTACAAGCATATCACAGCGCAGCAAAGCAGAGCAAGTAGACAGTTGATACCAGAACACCGCATTGTCTTTGATCTGTCTCTTGTGTTGTATCGTATACAAAGGGTTGACGAACTGAGTGGTTTGGTGTACTAGACTTCTGAGTAACTCTCCTCGGACAACAGATCAGGAATCGTGGATAACACGATCTGATGTGTTGGTAGCCGGCCGACCCATCCGGTGATCACCGGGACCATAACCCTACTGATTATGTGGTACAACAAGGTTCCTATCTAGTCTTTCGGCAAGGCGCTCGGAAGTCGGTAAGGGGAAGTAGTCGGCCCCTGATGTCATCTCTGACATTCCCGGCCGAGAACCCGGGAGCAGATACATACCTACCAGTCAATGCAGTGTACCTGCTGTACTTACTCAAGGAATCCATGTTAGGGTATTGGCATAAGGAGTCAAAATCATCTCGCATAGCGGTTGACCGATTTGATAATAACGCTCTGGGCCCAGCTCGTTAGACGACTCAGTGGAAGTAGCTCCAAATAACCATGTTGCATAACACTGCTCCAGAAAATATTGTCCGGGCACGCCTTAGGAAAAGGGAAAGTTAGGAGAGAGAACCAGAAAGAGAAAGAATAAGAGTGGTAAAAGCAAAGAAAGTCCAGATCAGCTTGAAAGGAGTCTTGATTGTGCAAGCATATGAGGGGTAATTATTTGGGCTAGAGATAAGAGGATCACCAGTTTTCAAGTGAGCAGAAAGAGAAGAAAAAAAAAAAAAAAAAAAAAAGCAGATAAACGCAAACCCCCAAGAACGCCCTTGTGAATGCAATTTTGGTTTCCACCAGTGAAAAAGAAGAAAAAATCAACCTGGAACCGAGTTCAATCATCCCGCATCTGCATTGATCCAATATTGCTGAAAAGACGAAGAAGGATGTGTGGAAAGCAAAACAGAGGACAACGAGGCCGCCGCCGGATAACGCCAATGAAACCTGTTCTCATGATAAGGGCAAAAAGAAGATAACAAGTGAGAAGTCCACCAAGCACCGGAATAATAGGAAGGATTCTTCGTTATAGACGAGAAGAAGAGAGGATGAGCGTGAACTTGCGTAAAGGTGACTTCTGTGTGTTGGCCTGTTCTTATTGCTGGGAACAACACATCCAACTGGGAGGTGAGTTGAGCGGGCTGAAGCAGACTGTAGAAATTTGCACGGAAAAGGTGTGAGCGGCTGTTGCACGGATTTACTCTGCCTTGCCTTGAGTGACTTTGGCTGCTTGGATGGCCGACATCTTCTGAGTCCACCCTTGCGTAGGCTGAGGTTTCTTAACGGTGCGGAGGTCGTCGGTAGAGAAGCCTGATATGCGCATGTTATACTGGCGTTCAAGGACGAGCTGCAGGTCGCGGATTTCCAAGGTTGAAGAGGGTCGCAACTTGGCAATGCGGCATGCAGAGGTGACCACGTCGTCCACAAAGTCGTCTGCCATCTGGAGGATGAACTGTACAAGATGGGTCAGCGAACCGTTGTTGTGAAGAGAAAGTCGCGCAGCTACGGGGTGTTCTCTCTTACCTCTTCTGCATCGGGAGTCAAGCCTTCACCCTCCCCTCCACCAGTGACTTGGCGAACCAGGATATCGAGCATCTTCTTGCTCAATACTCTCTGACCCTCACCCTCAAGGACATATCCAGGGTGCTTCTGAATCGCAGGCTGGTTCATAACGCCTACCGCCGCGTGGCTAGGACCACCAGATAGCGTAGGGCGCGCCGGTGCCATGTTCACCGGTTCTGGGGTAGGCACGTTCAGGTTTTTGGGGATGGGCATAGTGTGTGTACGTGCTGGGTTTTCGGTAGAACGGTTGGAGTTGTAACCTTGAGGATGCGCGTGAGGATTGGCAGCTGCTTGATTCATGTTCTGCTGCTGAGGCACGCTGTTGGTGTTCATGTTGTTGTTGGAGTAGTTCTGAGCAGCCTGGGCCATAGCAGCCTGCTGCGACAACGGGCGGGGCGGTCCCTGAATCATTGTCTGAGATGTCGGGGTAGGAGTGGAGCCGTCAGGAACAGGACCTGGGACTGGATTGAAAGGTACCTGCGCGCCAGGTGGTCCTGGCTGCTGCTGGACCGGAGGTAGGATTTGTTGTGGAAGAGGCGGTTGCTGGTTAGGTGGTTGCTGAGGAATAGCGCCTACGGCAGGTGCCGGACTGGGACCGGGGACAGTGGGTGCCTGACCAGGTTGAGAAGTAGACGGAGACATCGCAGTCTGTCCAGCCTGGTTGCGCGCAGCGTTGACGGCCGAGTTGATGGTGTGCGGGGCCGGGGTGGGAGCTTGTCCTGGGTGAATTTGTCCAGGAACACTTGCTGGAGCTGGGCTCGGGCCAGTTGGCGCCGGCGCTGGCGCCGTTCCTGGTTGAGGATGTTGCTGAGCAGAAACATGCTGCTGAACGCCAGCCCTCTGTTGCTGTGCCTTGAATGACTCTTGCTGTTCTTTGAACTTAGAGAGGAAGTCGCTCCCCTCACGGTACAGCTTCTCTGCCGCCAACTGGCGGGTCTTGAATTCTCCCACCTCTTCCTGTGTCATATTTCCCGCGCCCTGGCGTTGGGTGAATTGTTGACGGATATCCGCGATGCGAACCCGTCCAATCTCCTGCTTCTGCAAAGCGATCCCATAGCGAAGCTTGGCCTCGGGCAGCCACGTCTGCGCCTGTTCGTTGCTGATATTGGGAGGAAGAAAGAACTGCAGACTGTTGACTTTCTGCTGGATTTGCGGGAGGAGTTGATTGAAGGTCTGAGGGTTCACAGACTGCGTCCGTTGTACTGGCTGGCCCGGCTGGCCCGGCTGGCCCGGTTGACCCGGCTGCGCCGAGTTGGTTCCTTGCATTTGCTGATGCTGGAGCTGGCGACTCTGCTGGAAGGCGCGCATGCCTTTCATGAGGGTCTGGGAGATTTGGGCGAGCCGTGCATGAGCCTGCTGGTACTCCGAACTCTGCGGATCGCGGCCGTTGAGCAATTCCCACAGGTTTCGAACCAACTGAGTATGCTGTGCCTTTTGCTGATCATTCAAATGAGGGAGTTTCTGGACTTGATCCGTTCGGATTAGATTCGAGTGCTGCGGCACCATGGGCTGCTGCTGAGTCGGCGGGCCCTGGCCCTGCGCCTGCGCCTGCGCCTGGACTTGAGCCTGCGCATGGGCTTGAGCAGCCTGCGCCTGAGCCTGCGAATTATCCATGGTTGTTTATATTGTTTTTCCCCGAACGAGGCAGGCGTGGTGATGAAGCCGTTTGTCGAAAAGATGGACTCGATGGATGTAACGGTTCGAGGGAACCGGCTAGAGGTGCGGCGGGAGGCACGCGTCGTTCGGGGGCCGATACAGCTGTGGTGGCTATGGAGTTGGCTACGATCGGACCGAGCGCAATGAGGAAATGAAAGTACGGTGAGTAAACAGCTGGCAGCAGAGACAGTCGCTCTAGGTTTGAGCAAAGATATATAGCAGTTGAGGTGGAAGAAAATGAGCAGCGGGAGAAGCAGAAGTCAAGAGGAAGAGAAGCCGGACAAGACGATTATGGCGGGTCTGATAATGCCTCAGGCTCCTTTCATTCTATGCCCTGACTTCCTTTCCGGCAGGCGGTCGTGATAACTTGAACCTTGAACGTTATTGATCCGACTCTATCAATTGCGTTACACTGGCATTCTACGATTTTATCCGGGAAACCTCTCCCTGATCTATGGTGTCTTCATTATGGTAGCAATACACATATTCTAGGGGTGAAGAGGCGGAACAAGTCTTATTGAAGGTTCATTATAGCGGTCACCCGAAGCATTGAGGTCACGAATCACCGAGAGCAACAAGCATATAAAATCGTTAGGTGCAATATACCACAGCACAAAAGTATATAGCTTGCATCTATGTTCTCGGAAAGTGCGAGATGAGGGACAACTGAGACAATTGCGGGCTAGATCAAGAGATTCGACCAATCTCTTAGTCTCCCCAGTAAACGAGACAGGAAACTTCTCTAATCTCAGTCTGACACAAGTGTCTTCACGTATGGCTGGGTAACTTCATCAGCGACCGCAAGCTGCTTGATGTACTTCGCCGGAGTCGTGGAAGAGTCCTAGAGTAAGTGGTGCTAGGGTCTAAATGAGACCCGCCATGCCACTTCTGCGCGACCAACATGGCGCATTCTTGCTACTGCATGGTAGCTCAAATCATCAGCGCTTGCTCGGATACACCTATACCTTGATTCGGTCGGACCGGTTGAGGGGAGCCAGAGCAGCAATTCACTGAGAGAAGAACTATCGGGCCAGCACTGGTTTTGCTGGAAATGGGTGCAAGATCATGAATGGTAGTATCGGGTTCTGCGTTGTATTCAGCCCAGCAACCCACCAAGATCCCGTTCCATCCCATTGACCCGGTTTTCTAGTGTTCGCTTTCTTCTCTCTAACTCTCGGATCTCTTCCATTTCCCGGGCCAGATCAGCATCTGTGACGTCGGCCACCTCGGGTTGCAGTGTTTCTCCGGTATCGTAATGATCAAAGCCATCACCGTAGGAATGGCTCATTTGCTCCAACTCTGCAGCGTTGCGGGCCACGCGCTCTTCCAAATCTATAATTGAGTCCGTGATCAATTGGTGACGATAGCGAAGACTCGCGATCTTTTCATGTGCGCCAGCGACCGGGCTACCCCATGAAGTCAGACAGTCATCATTATACCACGGCAGGCAGGAAGGTGGAGCTTACTAGACATTGCAAAGGATCTCTGCGCCGCGAAGCAAGACATCGACGTTGACTTCCCCGCGCGGACCCCGTCCTGCGGAACGCTTGATCTCCTCCATCATATCCGAGCCTAGTACCCTGGCTACCGCGGACTGGTTTTTGTTGTTTCTGGCCGAATAGATCCTACTCGCCATAGACTCCTTCTCTGTTTCTTGTGGGAACTGCGTCCCGCGGCGAGTAGCTCGTCGCTGCGCCGAGCTGACTGGCTTCACCGAGGGATCAGTCTGAAAGAGGGCTCGTTCATGAGCTTCCGTATCGCGGATTAGGGAGGTGATGTCATGAGAGCCCAAAAGAGCATTGGTGAACATTCGCGGAGGTGGAAAGCTGAAACGACAGCAGATCAGCAAGCTGGTACTGTACGAGGTTGCCCGGGTCGGGGTTGGGGGATGATAATGATGGATGCTCACGGAAGTTCTGCAATAGCATTTGAGGAGAGCATGATTTGCTCAAGATGGCTTTCAAGAAGCGACATGTTGCGTTAATTTAGTAATGGGTGGATATTCAACAAGAACCCGGGCGGTGTTTTCCGATAAGATCAATCATTCATGGAGGTTGTTGTTGTTCGCGGGAAACATGCCAAGACGAGGTCCAGCTGTTGCTGCCTCAAATGCCAGGCAACCAGAGTGGCAATGCTACGACCGGACTGACCAAGCTAACTTAACTTATCCATTTCTCCCCGACTCTCCTACAACTACTAAGTTAGTACTGACGAACGTGAACTCACTGTACAAGTCAATCAACCAACCAACCCACCCACATCACAGGTTGAGACCGGAAATTCCCGGATTCTTTCTCAGTGAGTTGGGCTACAGCTCTATCCCTCCAGAGCCAATTGACTCTGTACTCAATTGAACCGGACTGACTGACCAGGCGCCAGGCGCACGCGCAAGCTAGCTTGTCTCTTCCACTCACGCACTCCAGCTGACCCCCGACCGGTAAGACCGAACCCTGACTAAGCTGCCCTGGGCTGCTTCTCTCGCTGTCCATCCAGAGCCAGCCAGCCTTGACATCACATCACCACCTCATCAACCATCTGCTTCCAACTCACTCATCCACCATCCGCGATCTATCTTGCCTTCTGTTTGCATCTTTGACTTTTCTCTGTGTGTCTCTTACCCCACAACCCTTGCTTTCCCCCCACCCTCTCACCGGTGGTCTTTCATCTCTTGCCCCTTCCTCTGCTTCTGGTACCGCGGTCCTCACTGCTCATTTGAGCTTGAAAGCTGAAGCCGAAGCTTTATCCCCCCTCCCCTTCTAGTCAAAAGACCCCCAGTTCACCAAAGATGCCGGCTGAGAGGCGCTCTCTGAGATCGAACAGCAAGTCAGATACCTCTTCATCTGCTAACGGTGAGAAGGGTCGCTCTACTTCACAGAACACCAGCTCCAACAAGGACAAACCGGCGCCCAATCGCGCCGCTGCCAACAAGGCCAAATCTACCACCGCCTCGAAAGCCGCCTCATCGAATAGCACAGCAGATTCCGGAATGGGTGAACAGCGGGACCAGCCGCGGACCAACGGCTCCGACCCGACGGAGAATGGCGTGAATGGTTCGGAAGATGTTGAGATGGGAGAGGATACGGCAGGTGGGCCTACATCCTCATTCACCGCCAGTAAGGATCGGAAAGGTGACGAGAAGATGACTGTTGTAGTGCCCCCGACCAAGGGTTCGAGGTTATCCGGCGAGAAAGCTCCGGACAATGAAGGCGACGTCGCCATGGAGGGTGCGGACACCGAGGAGTCCAAGTCAGAGGTTGATCCGAAGGTCAAGGCTGTCCAAGGTGAGTAGACTCTTAAGTTCAAGGTGGTGTGTACCTTGACGGCCACTTCTGCGATTCTTACATTCCACACCTGCTGTAGATATCAAGTCCAACTTCACATTGCTTGAGCGAGCTGTCAGCCATTTCGACCCCAGATTCACTCTCCGCGTCTTGCGTTCGATATCGTCCATGCGCAAGCACATCACACCAGATGTGCTGGCTGAAGTCATCGTCGAGAACTACCCGTCCTCCAACCTCACTGCTTCTTTCCTGCTGGGCGCCATCGATCAAACCGGCGCTTTTGACAGTGCTGTCGCCAGCTCCAAGATGGACATCGAATCGGAGAAGACTAAGTCGACCCCTAAGGAAATTCTGCCCGAGATCGACACTTATCTCTCCATTCTTGTTCAGATCTATCTGTACGACAAGAAGGAATTCCAGAAGGGCGCCAAGTTCTCGACAGAACTGATCGAGCGGCTGCGGGCGCTCAACCGCCGCACTCTTGATTCTCTGGCGGCCCGAGTCTATTTCTACTACTCTCTCTTCTACGAACAGATTGCGCCCCTTCCTCCGTCGCCCGCTGCCTCTGTCACCTCGATCCGCCAGCCTCTGCTCAACGCGCTGCGGACGGCTGTCCTGCGCAAAGATGTGGATACCCAGGCGACCGTGATGACCCTGCTCCTGCGGAACTACCTGTCGACGTCCCACATATCGCAGGCGGACTTGCTGATCTCGCACAACCGGTTCCCTGCATCCGCCTCGAACAACCAGATTGCCCGCTACCTGTACTATTTGGGCCGTATCCGGGCCATCCAGCTGCAGTACACGGACGCCCACGGGCATTTGATTGGCGCTACCCGTAAGTCTCCGTCCAGCCACAGCGCACGCGGTTTCTACCAGGCATCCCACAAGCTGCTCGTTGTCGTCGAGTTGCTCATGGGCGATATTCCCGACCGGGCGATTTTCCGTCAGCCTGCGTTGGAGCGTGCCCTGCACCCCTACTTCCTGCTGGTGCAGGCTGTGAGTGTCGGTGATATGGATGGATTCTTGAACATTGTAAATACCTACACTGCAACCTTCCGCAAGGATGGTACATACACCCTCATCCTGCGTTTGAGACAGAACGTGATCAAGACGGGTATTCGCATGATGTCACTCTCCTACTCTCGCATCTCACTTCGGGACATCTGTCTTCGCCTTGGCCTGGACAGCGAGGAGTCAGCTGAGTACATCGTGGCCAAGGCTATTCGTGATGGGGTGATCGAAGCTAGTTTGGACCATGAGCGTGGCTTCATGAAGAGCAAGGAGATTGGTGACATCTATGCTACTCGGGAGCCAGGTGAGGTCTTCCACGAGCGCATTAGAGCATGCTTGAGTCTTCACGATGAGAGCGTTAAGGTGAGTCCAATCGCACGTTCTGCCAATCATACTTGTGCTGACCATCTCAATTCTAGGCCATGCGTTTCCCCATGAACCAGCACCGATTGGAGTTGAAGAGTGCACAGGAAGCACGGGAACGGGAGCGAGAGTTGGCCAAGGAGATTCAAGAGGGAGACATGGATGATGAAGATGCCGGCGGCGACTTTGATGCTATCTAAGGGATTATCTTATGGAGCGTCAATAATATGCAGCAGGTTTCTGGCTTCGTTCCTCCATAATTCTTTGCCAATCCCCGACCGGTTGGACGGGGAGGCCTTCACCAATCATGTGTTCTTATCTGCAAAATCAATGTTCCGGGATGTGCTTGAGGGGGATTGGCAGGATTGAGCTTTCGCCGGCGTGATCTTCCATGTTTCTCATCTATTATTGAATCGTTTTTCCTATGTTGTTTACGGTGTAGATGCTGTTTTCCCGCCCACTCGTCTGTTCCATTCTTTCAGTTCTTTTCCTTTATACTTCCGAGTTGGGTGTTGGAGGTGATGATGCAACCGGGGAGCCTCGTCATTTTGTAATTCTTATAGCCGCCTTAGACCAGCCAATTTCCTTGTGAGAAATGTGGCATTGCATTATCAAAGGGGGTCGAGCAGAGCATTGATAGGCAGGGAAGGTATGTGAGCAAGTCGTATGAGGCCAGCCATTGATGATGAGTGACGGGCCAGGCGGAACCCCGATCCGGCCCGAGGTCTGTTCCACTGCAAGCCAGGTCAGTGACCGCCCGGTTCTCTCTCTCGAAATCTTCGGCTTCAACTAATCTACTGATTATCCCCAACCTTTCCCTCCCCCACAGTCATTGCCGGACCTGGACCGGTCTCCAATCGTTGCTTGCTCCTTGGGTATGACTGTCTTTTAGATTCTGATTTGGTGTACACGCCTTGATCTCCCCCCTCTCTTTTCATCATGAAAGCTCGCACAGTCCCAGCCGCCGGGCTAGTACTCTCGTCTCGCATTACGACGCCGTCGACAACAACGCCAATTTGCTGGCAATGCCTCCGAAATGATCTCCTCTCCCTCCAGACGCAAGTGCAAACCCGCAAATATCATCCTACCCGCCGGAAAGACGTCTCTCCGTTTGGAGCGGCCGTGTCGGCGGCCCAGACACTTTTCAAAGGCCTCCCCAAGGCGCCGCCGGGCATTTCGGTCGACCCATTGCGCATGGTCGGCAAGGAGCTCAAGTTTCTGACCAAGAACCTTCGTCAATTGCTTGGGTCTGGCCATCCGACGCTGGATAAGGTGGCTAAATACTACACGCGCAGCGAGGGCAAACACATGCGGCCGCTGCTTGTTTTGCTCATGTCACAAGCGACAGCGCTGTGCCCACGCAAACCCCAGACGGTCGACTACAACGCGACGGTCAATGATCCGATCACCTCCTCTTCCATTTTGGTCGACAACAACCCCGATCTCCCCCCTTCGCTGTCCTCCGCGACCTCCAGCAGTAGCCCTGATGCGGCCTACGACTTTGCTGGCGATGAAAACATTCTCCCTACACAGCGTCGACTCGCGGAGATCACCGAGTTGATTCATACCGCATCTCTACTGCACGACGATGTCATCGATAATGCTGTGTCGCGCCGCTCCTTCACCTCGGCTAACTTGCAGTTCGGAAACAAGATGGCTGTGCTGGCGGGTGACTTCATGCTGGGTCGTGCCTCGGTGGCCTTGGCGCGGCTGCGAGACCCTGAGGTCATCGAGCTGATGTCGACCGTGATCACCAATTTAGTTGAGGGCGAGTTCATGCAGCTGAAGAACACAGCTGCGGACGAGAAGAAGCCCGTCTTCACGGACGAGACTCTCTCCTACTATCTGCAGAAGACGTACCTCAAGACCGGCAGTTTGATCAGTAAGTCTTGCCGGTCGACCGCGGTACTGGGCAATAGTGTGCCTGCGGTTGTCGAATCCGCCTACCAATACGGTCGCAATCTGGGACTGGCGTTCCAGCTGGTGGACGATATGTTGGATTACACGGTCACCGAGGCCGAGCTGGGTAAGCCCGCCGGTGCGGATTTGGAACTGGGTCTGGCGACCGCCCCGCTACTGTATGCGTGGAAGCAATTTCCTGAATTGGGCCCGCTGGTAGGCCGCAAATTCAGCCAGGCCGGTGACGTTCAGATGGTAAATAAGATCCCTTCATCCCATTGAACTCATCCAGAAACATCGACTGACGTTCACAGGCTCGCGAACTTGTCCTGAAGGCTGGCGGTGTGGAACAGACCCGCGTTCTGGCCCAGGAATATATCGACAAGGCGATCGCCGCGCTTGCGGACTTTCCCGACAGCGAAGCCAAGGCTGGCCTGATCCAGATGTGCGAAAAGACTATGAACCGCCGGAAGTAGATTGAACCGACCAGCGGCATGGATGATCTGTGTGCATCAGCGTCTTTTGCAAAGCGTTCTTATAATAGAGACCAAGCTCGGGATGCCCGGCCGTTCTGTTTCGCTTTCAGCCTTCCTTTTCGCCTTCTGTTCATATATCTAGACACTTTCCTTTTCTTTTTGCAAGCCGACACATCCCATGTACTACTAACTCTTCATCGTTTATATCTGACTGTCGAGCTTGCTTTTGGGGGTCATCTGGCAACTCTTTTCCTTTCTATGGCTTGGTTGGCTATATGGCACATGGATAAACTGGAATGAGCTTGGGTCGATCGCACTCAGTTAATCGGTCAGTCGGTCAGTCGGTAAGATTGGGCTTCTTGGATGGATGCAGGCAGGCAGGCAGGCAGACAGGCAGGCAGGCAGGGATGAATTCATGGAAACATTTGTGTGTATTGTACCTATATATACTCCGAAAATGTAAAATCTAGCTTGATTCTTGGGTCATGTAAACGGAGCCAAGTGGCGTGGTGAGTTGATGGATAGCTGCATTGGCTCCAGCTGCGGGGCTCATGCCAGGTACAGTCTCTTGCATTTCAACCAGGGGCTTACTGTAGTAACTGTAACCTTGGCTCGTTGATCTTTCGGCCATGCGAAGGGTTCTAGAAGCCAAGCGAACCACATCCGCCGCATAGTTAAGGATCCATCTTAGTTGACAGCAAAGAAGAGAGGCACAATACAGCCGCCTTAACATGTCTTTCCATCGATTAGCACAACGCATTCCCAGTTGATCTGGGCGTTTCGAGGGGACCATGGTGGTATGGCTCGTTCAGCCCCGTCGACTGTCAAATAGCGACAAGCGACTCATAAAGGTATAGTCGGGAGAGGGTAATTTACAGAGGAAAAGAAAAGAAAGAAAGCCAAAATCTAGTGAAATACGACGACCCCCTGATGTCCAAGATTGTAGACTTGTAGTGTTCATGACATGCTGTTTCGAAGTGTTGAAGTCGCTGCTGGATCAATAGGACAGACAATATCTAGGTAGAATATAAGAATAGAATGGCCGGCCGGGGGATCAACAACTACTCAAATCAGGCTACTCCCAATCGGGATTAGCCAGAGGGTGCAGGCCATTTCTATCTCCTAGTACTGTACTCCGTACTTACGGAGTACTTGCGTACGACAGAACCATCCATGATAGACAGGTACATTCAATGCTCAGTCATCGAGAAGGCGGTGACACAACGCCAGCCAAAACCCCAGGAACAAGGCAGGGATTAGTTACAGCTCACTCAGCTGAAGAGCTCAGGGCTTGAAGTTGAAGTTGCAAGACTCATCACGGGATCCAGCGGTTGGCAGGGCTGGGGGCGGGGCAACGTTCTTCCAACCACTTACTTACCTGGAACTTTCCCCACCCAGCCTTGAACCGCCGGGTTCCGTCATCGAATCGACGTCAATCATCCATGCCCCATGCCTGAGGCTAGCCAAGTACTGACTGAGCAAGAGCCGTGACGGAAAGCGCGGAGGTAACGGAGCTCAGGGCAAGGCTGGTTTCTGAAGCACTGTACTTCGTACGGTACCCTAGGTACTTCCTTCTTGCAGTGCAGTGCAGTGACGAGCTGGAACTGGGAACCACATAAATCTTCCTCCCTTCGGCTCCTCTTTCTCCTCTCCGTCCTCTCCCCTCCCTCCCCCCCCCAAAAGAGAACACCACCCACCGACTGAAAGAGGTGATACACCTGTCCTCTCTTCCTTTCTTTCGCCTCATCTCTCCTCTCCCCACCTCCCCACCCCACCCCTTATCTCCCTCGTGTGTTCTGTTCTTCGGAGCTGGTCTCACTCCAGGGGCTGGTCCAATATTTTCCGTCTCTGCTGCCACTTGGTCCCTTTGCTGTCGCTGTACCCCATGATGATGGAGCTTTCATTGCCGGTCCTCTAATCCATTCAGCTCCCCAATGAGTTCATTCGGCAACCTTCTCTTCGTTTATGTCCTTGGTGGACTCACGTTTATCCCTTTGGTCATATCGCTATTCCTCCTCTATGCCTATCTGACTGCAACCTCCCCGCCCTCTCAGCTAACCCGCCAACCCGCGCACGACTCCCTGCAACGCGATAACGATGACCAATACAGCCTAAAGTCCGGGACCGATGAGCTGGCCGAGAAGTTCCATCGTACGCATGACTCGGACGTGGCCGCCGGATATTTCGCCGTTTGCCGTGAATATGTTCCCGGTGGTGTCAATGGGAAACCTCCGGAAAGAACCACCCCGGCGGGTGAGGTGATCGCCGCGGAGAGCCCCAGCGTCTACCAAGCCATGTATAGAAGTTTATTCGATCGCAAGCAGACGCCGACTATCGAACCGACCAAAAATATTACAAAGAACGGAAAACGGGCGCGCAATGTATTCTACATTGTGCTTCGGTAGGTCGTGCCGCGTGTCGCTCCCTTTTGGTCGCAGTTCTGCGAGGATTGATCCTGACCATCTGTATGTGCTAGACATGGGCACCTGATGCTCTACGATAATGCGAACCAAGTGGAAGTCCGATACGTCATTTCCCTTGCCCACCACGACGTGAGCATTCATGGTGGAGAGGGAGAAATTCCGGAAGGAGAGCTATGGCTGAAAAGGAACGCTATCTGCCTGTCACGACGTTTGGAGTCATTGGGAGATCTCGGAGGCCCCACACCGCCGTTCTTTCTGTTCTCGGAGAACCTGTCGGAGAAGGAGGACTTCTACTTCGCAATGCTCCAGAACCAGTCCAGGCTGTGGAACTCCGCGGATAGCCCTCCGAAGCATCAGGCCTTCGATACCAAGCACATTGTGACGCTTGTGCAGCGACTTCATTCCTCCGAGGAACAGCTGCAAACCCGCTGGATCAACGCCGTCCTAGGTAGGTTGTTTCTTGCAATGTACAAGACGCCGGAGATGGAGGATTTCATCCGGAAGAAGATCACCAAGAAGATATCTCGCGTCAACAAGCCGAACTTCATCAGCAAGATCGGTCTACAAACGATAGACATGGGGGAAGGGGCCCCGTTCATAATCAACCCTAGGCTCAAGGATTTGACTGTCGATGGAACCTGTTGCGTGGAGACGGATGTGCAGTATACCGGCAATTTTCGTGTTCAGATCTCGGCTACCGTCCGTATCGATCTGGGTCCTCGCTTCAAGGCCCGGGAAGTCGATATCGTCCTAGCTGTTGTCTTGAAGAAACTCGAGGGGCATCTGCTCATTAAATTCAAACCGCCTCCGAGTAATCGGATCTGGATATCATTTGAAACAATGCCCAACATGGAGATGAACATAGAACCGATCGTTAGCTCCAAGCAGATTACGCTTGGTATCGTCCTACGTGCCATTGAAAGTCGAATCCGTGAAGTGGTCGCGGAGAGTTGTGTTCTGCCATTCTGGGATGATATACCGTTCCTAGACACTCAGCCCCAGCGTTTCCGTGGCGGAATCTGGCAGAGAGATATCCCGAAGCCCGATGAGAAGGCAGATATCCCCGACGAATCTGAGGCGCAGCCTCCGATGTCTGGAGGTGTCCCAGATCAGTCCGTGGAAATATTGAAGATGAAGGACGAACGCACGATGAGTGCGCCTGCGCTCGGAGAGTCAGGGACAGCGACCTTGAAGGCCCGCAAGGCCTCGAAGGCCTCTATTGGGGACTCCGAAAAGAGTGGCACAAGCGCCCTGTCTTCTGCTGTGGAGAAACTGGGTACCTCGCCTCCAAGAGTCATCCGTTCCCAGACCTTCTCCAACGCCGCGGACCCCGTGGTGACGGCCGATCATGTAGGGTTCGACCGAGTCTCATCCGAATCCAAGGGAGAGGAACAGATCAATGCAACCGGCACGATGAACGAGATATCCACCCGTTCGCCGCCTAGCTCACCAGAAAGGACACCTGGCACCTCACCTCCCATTGATAGTCACCTGGTTCCAACAAGTGCTTCCCAGAGCCGCGAGCCTTCCATTGTCGAGTCGGTTGACAGCTCTCGAGAGTCTTATGGTGATTTGCCCACACGACCCCCTTCGATTCATCACGGCAGTGAGTCGTCGATGAACGTAGACAACATGACGAATGCTTCCACCACATCCTTAAACAGCAATAGATCGCGACGGCGGAGCACGATGGAGACATTGACTCGATCTCTTACATCCGCAACCAACTCCGATGTCAAGTCACAAGCCTCTCTGACCTTCAACACGGCAACGTCCGTGGCCAAGAAATGGGGATGGAACGTGTTTGGCAAGGGGGATTCCAGCTCCGGTCAGGATGTCTCCCGTCCTGCTGGTACACCGGAGCAGCCGATTGGGCGTGGCCATCCCCTCCCACCCCCAGGCACTCCGCTGCCGCGACCTGACAAGGTCAGCTACAGACGCACTGGCAGCTCGACGGTTGTCCCCAAACGCAAGCCGGTTAGCCACGCACCCTTTCCCGAGCATAAGCCGGAGAAAGAAAATCACCGACCTGTTCCAAAACCCCCTTTGCCGCCCCGACGAAAGCCTGTGTATCATCCCGATGACAGCAGTAGCCGTCCTAATGAACTATTAGTGGTTGAAGCGCCATATGATTCAGGTCCCAACAGCCCGGTTGTTGACATGACCCCGGAAGGAACATTGGCAACAACACCGAAGGAAGCTGACGCATCACTACAATCACTGTCGGATGAAACTCAGAATCATGGTAGTCTCGTGGAGGCGACCTCAGATCAGGGGGCATCCGAGCCAAAACCAACGCCGGTAGCCTCAGTTGTCAACCCCGACTCTGGAAAACATGGAATGGAATGGCTGTCAGCCACAGACGGAATCATTCCTTGAAAGAATGAACTGACCGCTGCATGTCATTGTGCATCCTATAGTGTCTGTATTGTTGATGGCCATACATCGCAGAGCGCTGTGCGTTCCCCATGGACGTCTCGTGTAGAGCCGTGATGGTGATAGAAGAGGCTGGATTGGGGTGGCTACTCAAGCAGCTTCAGGTGGCAGCAGACTACCACTATATCAGACTTAACTTATATCACTTGCTGCGTTTTCTTTTCTCGGCTGGTTCTTGAGCGCGCAAGTGGCAAGGCAACAGGAGGCGTTGTGGATTGTTTGGGTGTAATTCGAATACGATGAGTTCTACTGAGGTAGTGTGGGACTGATGAAATATAGAAGGTGAAGTAGATCTCCAAATTTTCATTTCAAGATTTTCTAGTCTTTTCGATGGCTCTTGAATGAAAGTATTGTGGCTGCCTTGAGCATTCCTAACGTAGTCGGTATACTTTTTTGAGTATCAGTATTCATGCCCAGTTGACGCGGCGGTAGCGCCAAGGATAGGCCGCAGCCGTCAGTCAACTTTCTCCCCCCCCAGAACGTCATTTCCTCACCCAACCCACTGCACTCACTCACTCCTCTCACTCCCCTATCGCTGTCGGTTTATCTGTCTATCTGTCTATCTGTCCCCTCTTTTTCCAATCCCTTCCTTACGTTCTTTTCCCTTCAGTGCCGGTCGGCTGTCACATTCTCCTATCTTTTGAATCCTTTCTATCGTCCTCCCCCTTTTCCTCCGTCGAGCGCACCTTTGATTCCATTCCACTGATTGATTAAGTTGCGCACTCGGGCCCACCGGCTCCCGCCGCACTTCCCCGTCCCCTGATCCCCTGATTCTCTACCACCCAAGAGCAAGAGCTCTGCACCGTCAAGATGAGTCGGTATGTGTCATCTATGCTCTACCAGGAATGCGCGGAAGCCCGCAAGGATTGAAGACTGACTGACATGATGCGTCTAGCACGGAGGCTGATTTGGCCATCAACATTCGCAAAGCTACCAGTATCGGTAAGTCGAGTGTAGCTCAATCTTAACAATGGCTTCTAGCTTCTTGTGACTGATCAGATTTTCAATCGCAGAGGAAACCGCCCCGAAACGTACGCATTGATCTCATCAGCACCACCCTCTCGACCTCCGAAGCAAACCGCTCCGCACTGCATCCGCGTCTGACCGTCCGTCGCTAATGCTCGCCCAGGGAAACATGTTCGGAGCTGCATCGTCTATACATGGGACCATAAATCCTCTGCGGCCTTCTGGGCTGGGATGAAGGTGTATGTTGTCGCCCTCACTTTTCACAATGCTCATTTGCGATGATGGGGACGGCTAACCATCCCGCTTCTGCGTCACAGCCAGCCGGTTCTTGCCGACGAGGTGCAAACTTTCAAAGCGCTTATCACGATCCACAAGGTGCTGCAAGAGGGCCACCCGATAGTGATCCGTGAAGCGCAACAACATGCCAACTGGATTGACAGCCTCATGCGAGGTGTCGGGGGTGAGGGTATTCGAGGTGGGTGGTCATCTGAAATGAAGATACAAGTTACACGCCGTTAGAGCTCAGTACTGACGATCCATCGTGATCTTTTAGGATACGGACCCCTGATCCGGGAGTATGTCTACTTCCTCGAGTCGAAGCTTGCCTTCCACCGGAACCACCCCGAGTTCAATGGTGCGAAAACCGGTCGTCTGGCTTTTGGATACACACTAAACCTTCGCAGGCCTCTTCGAGTACGAGGAGTACATCAGTCTGAAGACGATCAATGATCCTAATGAGGGGTATGCGAATTCCGACACTAGCACCGAACATGGCTGACATCATGATAGCTACGAGACTATTAGCGACCTCATGACTCTACAGGACCAGATCGATGCCTTCCAGAAACTCATTTTCTCGCATTTCCAGTCGGGCACAAACAACGAATGCCGGATCTCTGCGTTGGTTCCGCTGGTGCAGGAGAGCTACGGCATTTACAAGTTCATTACCAGCATGCTAAGGGCTATGCACACAAGTAGGTACTACCTCCCCTATGACTGCTCCATGGAGACCAACAAGTGCCCTTTTAGCGACTGGTGACCACGATGCCTTGGAGCCTCTCCGTGGCCGATATGACGCCCAACACTACCGCCTCGTGCGGTTCTATTACGAATGCTCCAATCTGCGGTACCTCACCAGTTTAATTACTGTTCCCAAGCTGCCGCAGGATCCCCCCAATCTCCTGTCAGAAGACGATGATCGTCCCGCTCTTCCGAGAAGACCGGCCAAAGAGGCCGAGCCCGAACCCACCCCACCCCCCAAGCCGGTGGCTGCAGATCCAGAACCCATCAACGACTTCTGGACCACCGAAGCGAAGCGCCAGCAGGAGGAATACGAGGCGGAGCAGCGCCGCTTGCAACAACAGTGGGAGGAACAACAGCGCCAACAACTCCTGGCACAGCAGCAGGCGCAGCAGGATTTTGAGGAACAACAACGCCTCCAGGCGGAGCAACAGCGTCTGGCTCATGAGCAGTTGTTGCGCGATCAATACCAGACTCAAACACAAGGTCGACTCGCTGAGCTTGAACAAGAGAACTTGAATGCTCGGGCTCAATATGAGCGCGATCAGTTGATGCTGCAACAGTACGATCGCAGAGTCAAGGACCTGGAGGAACAGATGAACCAGTTAACCGCGAACTTGAACCTGCAAAATGCTTCCAAGGATGATCAAATCCGATCCTTGCAGGAGCAAGTGAACACCTGGCGGTCCAAGTATGAGGCTCTAGCTAAGCTTTACTCGCAACTGCGCCAAGAACATCTGGATCTGCTGCAGACCACGAAGAGCCTCAAGCTCAAGGCTGCGTCAGCCCAGGAGGCGATCGAGCGGCGTGAGAAGCTCGAACGTGAGCTCAAGACCAAAAACTTGGAGCTGGCCGACATGATTCGCGAGAGAGACCGCGCACTGCATGACAGAGATCGTTTGACGGGCAACAACAAGGAGGAGCTAGAGAAACTCAAGCGGGAGCTCCGAATGGCCCTTGATCGCGCAGAGAACGCCGAGCGCTCGAAGGGTACCGAGATCTCCACATTGTTGTCGAAATACAACCGTGAGATGGCCGATCTGGAGGAGTCTCTCAGGGTAAGTGCTGTTGCATGAGGGCGTATTTGAAGCTGTCCACTAAGTAACCTAATGCAGAAAAAAACCCGTGCGCTGGAGGAGTACTCTTCCAGAAACTCGGAACGCGATGGCGACCACGAGCTCGTTCTTCGCGAAAAGGACGAGGAAATCGAGGTGTACAAGTCCGGAATGGAGCAGGCTCTGATGGAACTCGAAGAGTTGAAACTGGTACGTCTACCCTGCGCAAACAAAAGAAAGTGTTGGGGCTCACCTCTACCTTTCACAGAGCCAAGGCGATGTCGACACAGCTCTTGATACTCAAATTGATCAAGTCTTGCACGGCACAGTGGCCAAGATCAACGACATCATCGATTCCGTTCTTCAAACTGGTGTTCAGCGGGTCGATGATGCTTTGTACGAAGTGGACTCTACTATGCAGGCTGGTAACCAGAATGCCTCGCCTCCCTATGTGCTTTCCCAGATCGAGAAGGCGTCTGCGTCGGCAACCGAGTTCTCCACTGCCTTTAACAACTTCATCGCCGATGGACCTAACAGCACGCACGCGGAGATCATCCGTACAGTGTCGATCTTTTCCGGCTCCATTGCCGATGTCCTCAGCAACACGAAGGGACTGACTCGCCTCGCTAAGGACGACAAGAACGCCGATCAGCTGCTGAACGCCGCCCGTAAGTCTGCACAGGCCACAGTACGGTTCTTCCGGGGCCTGCAGTCGTTCCGACTGGAGGGACTGGAGGCTCTGCAGAAGACCGACGTGGTGATCAACAACAACCTGGAGGTGCAAAGAGACTTGCAGGCTTTGTCGAAGTTGGTCGACGTGTTCGCGCCCAAGAGCGCGAGAATCACCACGAATGGCGACCTCGGCGACCTTGTCGACCAGGAGCTTCTGAAGGCGGCGGATGCCATCGATGCTGCGGCGCAGCGCCTGGCGAAGCTCAAAAAGAAGCCTCGGGATGGCTACACCACGTATGAGCTTCGCATCAACGACGTTATCCTGGAAGCTGCTATTGCCGTGACCAGCGCCATCGCTGAGTTGATCAAGGCGGCGACCGAGTCGCAGCAGGAGATCGTCCGCGAGGGCCGTGGTAGCTCGTCGCGCACTGCTTTCTACAAGAAGAACAACCGTTGGACGGAGGGGTTGATCTCGGCAGCCAAGGCCGTCGCCAACTCGACCAACACTCTGATCGAGACGGCCGATGGGGTGATTTCCGGCCGCAACTCGCCCGAGCAGCTGATCGTGGCCAGTAACGACGTGGCTGCTAGCACGGCTCAGCTGGTGGCGGCCAGCCGTGTCAAAGCTAGCTTCATGAGCAAGACCCAAGACCGCCTGGAGAGCGCTAGCAAGGCCGTTGGCGCCGCGTGCCGGGCTTTGGTGCGGCAGGTGCAGAGTATTATCAAGGAGAAGAACCAGGAGGACAACGAAGCGGTCGACTACAGCAAGCTCGGCTCCCATGAGTTCAAGGTGCGGGAGATGGAGCAACAGGTAAGCCCTTCATCTAGACGTCTTTCTAGGATCAAGAAAGCTGACTCGTTTCGGTATTGCAGGTCGAAATTCTGCAGCTGGAGAACAGTCTTGCTCGCGCCCGCCAACGCCTGGGAGAGATGCGCAAGATCTCCTACCAGGAAGAGTAATTGCGCGGGATTGATTGATGTGACTGAGAAGTGGGTGGTTTTTGTGTATTGCAATGGTTGTCAGCGCCGTTGTACCTATTATTTCGTCGGTTCCAATGACCGACCCAGGGCCCTTCTCTTGATTCTCTTTACTTTCTTGTCATCGCCCTTCCTTCCCATTTCCCTTTTCCCGTTATTGGCAGTCGTGCATGGCATTGGTTTTGCACTGTTGTTATTTATTCTATCTGCAGCCAATACACCTCTCCCGGTCGCTTTCAGTTCGTTGGATATACCACGAGTCCGCCCTTGCGCTCTTTCTCTCACTAAATTACTCGATAGCATCCTTGTCCAGGTTTGAGCCACGTTGTAAATTGTACCAAGGCATGACCAGTTGCGCGCTGCCTTACATATATTATGGCCACTCGAGACACTTGGTCTAAGGATGACAGAACTGTATTCTGACCCCAGTTACATTGAACTGTACTTACTATAAAGTAATAGTAGTAGCAGCAGCAGCAGCAGTAAGACCTGTCCAACTGGAGTGCTGGCGGGGTAGCACTGTAGCACTGCACTAAAGCGATGCACCAAACGATGCGGGTCTGGCGGAAATAATTTCCTCGATTCTCTTTTCTTTCTTCTCTCCCCCCCTCCATGACGACATCGACCACTACAGGGTGGCTTCCCTCATAGCACGGACTAGAGCCCCGAGGTCGTCCTCCGTGTAGTGGTCGATGACCTTGGACGCGAGTTCCGCCTCGCGCATCCGATGTCCATCAGTTATGCGGGTTATGCGGGCGAGCGGGGCAGTAGGGGCAGATCTTGTGGGGGGAGGGGGGAGGATGAGGATGCGATGGGTCCGACTGGAGCAGGGTTTACATTATGGCTAAGCGCGAAATGTACTACGTACTGTACCACAACTAGGAGGACCTGACCTGGACTGCACTTGACTTTGTGGTGGTTCGTGGGTGGTTGCTGATGTTAAGCACGAACAAGATGAGAGAGGTGTCGCATTCGGGGAAACAGGAATCCTTCATTTTGCAAGCAATCCGGTATTGCATTGAGAATTTGAATTCAGACGAACACACACACACACACACACCCAAGAAAACAGGACAAAATTCCACAGCCCAACTCGAAACTGAAACCAAGGATACCTACCTCACCCACTGGACGGGGGACCTTCGCATATGCACCGTTCCGCTGCCTGAAGTCAATACGTCCAACACCGCAACCGCTTCCGTCCAATGCCGTATCCTGCCGTCGACCTCGACCTGGACCGCGACTCCTCCGCCGCCAGCAGCGGCAGCCGCTCCTGCCTCCACGCCTCGAACCGCGCCCTCGTCTCGCCGAGGAGACCACCCCCTAGCCTTGGCTCCTGCTGCGCCGAGACCAGCGTCAGCTTCAACCACCCGGCGTCCGTGTCGCGCGTGATGCCCGCCCCGCCGAGGAACCAGTTGCGGAGGGCCTGGCCGACCGGGTTGCCGACCTGGAGCACGCGGCGGCTGAGTAGGCCGGCCTGGCCGGCCTGGACGGCGGCCGGCTTGCGGAGGGTCTCGTGGAGGGCGAGGATCTCCGGCAGCAGGCGCGGCAGCTGGTGGGGTTCTGGGTTATGGTGGGCGAGGAGGCCGAGAAGCGTGCTGAGCACGGCGGCGTCTTCGAGGGTGGCGGCCAGGTCTTGGGCTTGATAGGGCGGGATAATGCGGCTGGCGGTGCCGAGGAGGATGAGTCGGGCATTGGTCCAGGTCGGGAGGGCATGGAGGGTGTGCTGGGTGGTTTGGGAGGAGAAGGTCGCGTGCGCCAGGATGGTTTGGAGGCTAAGATGGTTTTTGTTTGCTAGTTAGAGGTAGGGTTAGGTGGAATTTGGGAGAGGGAAGGGGACTTTACCGGATGTCCCAGCCTTGATGCAGTGCTTGCATCTGGGAGAGACCGTCTGCCGACAAGATGGTTGATTGTCTGGCTGCTGGTGGTGGTGGTGGTGGTGGTGGTGGAGGAGTGCTGTGCGTGTGGTAGGTGACAAGCATATACTCCTCTCCCTGCTGGACGGGGAAGAAGACGGTATGCTGCGCGGAGCCTAGCCAGGTGGTGATCTTGGTCTTGGAGCAGAGCTCGTCGAGTTGGCCGTCGTTGAGGGCTTTCAGCGCCGATCGGGAGATGGTGGCTTGGTAGGCGATGTCGCTGGCTGGGCTGGGCGGGCATGGATGGTTTAAGACTGTGTCGCGAGTTTTGGAGTAGATCCCTGTTTGACGGCGTCGCCATCTTCAGCATTGCACGAGTTTCTCTTCGTAAGTAACAGGGAGAAACAAACCATCGGCTCCAACCACCACATCTCCCTGAATCCGAGCTCCATCCTTCAGAACCACCTCGGCGCTGCCGCAATGAATCTCCTCCACGACGGCATGATGCCGGATGTCTATCTCTAATTGTCGCGCTTTGTCGAGTAGGATGTCGAGAAAGTCCGCCCGTGTAATATTACTTCCTCGCATTATTAGCTTGAGCTTGAATTGGCTGGTCTCAGACGACTACATACAGCCATGGTCTCCCGTAAGCCTGGCGCACCGGTTCCCCCCACGGCATCGACCGAATCAACGCGCCATTGTCAAAGCGTCTTAGATCCAGATATTCTGTACTGGTCCCCTTGCGAGTCACAGCCTCCAGAAGACCCAGTTGGTGCAGGATTCGGGCTCCGTTGGGAGGGATCTGGATACCGGCATTGACCTGCAGGCGAGCGCGGAAATCAGCAAACAAACCCCTGCTGCCACGCCTCGTCCTTTTTTCCTTAACGTACCTCGATCTCCGACTCTTGTTCGAGAACAAGTACGTCTAATTGCTCCCGCTGGCAAGCGATCGCACAGATGAGTCCGTCGACTTCGGCGCCGATGATGATCACCTTCATGATGGTGGTTGTGGTGGTGTCAAAGCAGAAGCACAAAGAGAGCGGCCATCCTCGATTGATAACGAAGCAACGGTCTTACCCCGCATGACTCAACGGAGGTACGAATACGTGGACAAAGCAATGCGAGACGAGGAAAAAGAAAAGCAATTCGAGACTTGGACCGAAAAGGGAGGGGGAGGGGGTGTATGCACCGTGCATTGTGAGGTCATACAGAGGGGGGAACAAACATGCAACGACAAAATCTGTCAGGCGTCTTTATCACGCGAAGGGAAGAAGCAAGGGGGCGTGGGAGCAGATGCACAGATGCGATGTGTGTGTAACTGCACCCAACATGACACGCAAACACTTGACCACAACCCCAGATGGATTGGCAGCAGCGCATAACTATAGCCATCGCTTCTCGTCAGCACCCAGTGGTTTCGGCATGATCTCCCATCCAACCTCCACTCCCTGGATGGTCCCTGCATGTCGCACCGAGGTCATCTTGCCGAACCCCGTCATATGCGTCTCCATGTACTCCGGCGGCACATCCTCCGGACGGAGATAATCGGGCGCGTCGAATCCACTGCGGCCCTCGTATTGTCCCAGCGAACGCAGGTACTTCATCGCCCCGGCCAGAGAGACATCCACCTGCCACGATCCGCCCTCCGTCGCCTGCTTGTACAGCGCCGCCATCACGCCGGCTGCCAGGAAGAAGCCTCCCGCATAATCCAGCGCCTGACACGGCAGCGGACGGGCAGCCTCCCCAGCCCCAAAGTGCTCGGCCTCGGACACATTCAGCCCGGAGCACGTCTGGACCAGAGAATCGAACCCACGACGGCCAGCCCACGGCCCGTCCGGCCCATACGCCGACAGATTCGCGCAGATGATCCCGCGACCCGAACATCGTCGCGCGATCGCTTCCGGGGACAGCCCGCGCGCCGCCAGACTCCCCGGTCTGTAGCCCTGGATGAACACGTCCGCCTCATCCAGGAGCCTGAACAGCTCCGCCTCATCCCGTTCATCCCGCAAATCCAGCTGAATCGTCCTCTTCCCCCGGCCCAGCTCGCGATCCAGTGCCGGCAAGTCCGGGAGATGGGGGCTGGTCACCCACAGGACATCGGCGCCGTGGGCGGCGAGCGTCTTCCCGGCCAAGGGCGCCGCGATCACGCGCGACATCTCCAGCACCCGCAGCCCGCGCAGGCACTTATCGGCGCCAGGGCCCAGGCGGTCCGGCAGCCCCGCCCCCGCTGGCGGCGCGCCGTCGCCGATCTTGCGCAGACGGATGGGTGTATCCGCGATGGCACGGGCCTGCGGGAGCACATCCCACTGCGCGAAGCTCCGCAGCGCCGCGAGGGCGAGCCCGGCCTCCAGGCCCGTCTGCTCCAGGTCCACGCACCGCCACGCGGCCGCCCTCGCCGCGACGGCCGCGCGGTTTGTCTCGTCCGGCGCGCAGCCGAGGAGCGCTGTGGCTCCGTTCCGGTGGCTCGGGAACCCATCGTGCACGCGCACGTAGCCGTCGGATGTCCGATGCAGGCCTCCTACCGGGCTGCTGGGGGGATACTGGATTGGCTCGCCATTGGTCGTGTAGAGTCGCCAGGAGTTGAATTCCACACAGGCGTGGCGGAACGGAACGGTCACGGTGGGGGGTGGTGGTGGTGGTGGTGGTGGTGGGAGGGCGAGGTGGTTGTGGTTGTGGTTTCGCAGGCTGTGGATCTGCGCGGCGAGCAAGGTCGCCAGTGCAATGGACGCCTGTGCGAGATGGCCCACCTTGAAGGAGGATGGGAGACCGGGTGTCTCGGGGTCGCTGATGTCGAGCGACTGTAGACTGGCTTCGGGGAGGCCCAGGTCGCGCCAGATGTGTGCGACGGAGTCTCGCGAGGTAAAAGCGCTTCTGTCGGGTCCTGAAGCTGTCATTCTTGCTTATGCGCGTGGACTCTGATGGATTTTGTATTGGATTTGCGTGACGCTCGAGGGTGGGGTTTTAGAGGGATTAAGTATGACTCGATCTCGGCGATGGCTCGGGGCAAAGTCCGATCACACGGCACGAGTTGCCGAGAGGAGATGAGGTCGAAGAGTTGTCTAGAGCAAGGAGAACGGAGGAACTAGCTTCGCATTGCAGGCAAGAGGTTCTGTCTTTACAGAGTCTCGCATTCGAGAATCCGGTCCATGGCCAGCTTGTCTAGAGCAAGGCCGAGGGTTGTAGCGGCGGAGATTAGCGAAGTTGTTGTTTACCTTTCGGGGAAACAACAATCTACCACAGTATGAGATACAGTACCCTGGGAAAGGGGCATTTCAGATGCGTATGCAACAGATTCCAAGCAGAGAGATAAGATATCTTAGAGCCACCGATACTCAGTGCGTGGGGAAGATATGGGATGATAAGATGGGGCGTGCTTATCATGTGCGGGGTACATGCAGGAGAGTGAGTATATGCGGTGCTGGAGATACTTCAGTAAACCCATATAACAACAACAACCACCACCACCACCACTACACCCTCCTCCACCGACGATTACACACCCACCATGACCGACCCCCTCCCCCACGTATCCAACTGGATCAACGGCGCCCACGCCGCCGCGACCCCGCAGCGCATCACAGTCCTCAACCCTGCAACCTCGACCCCCCTCGCAACCATCGACGCCACGCCCGAGACCACAATCCACAGCATCATCGAGCACTCCCTCACAACCTTCCAAAAGGGCCCCTGGTCGCGCGCCGACGCCACCACACGCTTCACCGTCCTAACCAGCGCCGCCCGCCTCCTCCGCGCGCAACTGCCAGAGCTCATCGCCCTCGAAACCGCCCAAACCGGCCGCCCGATCCGCGAGATGCGCACGCAACTCGCGCGGGTCCCCGAATGGCTCGAATACTTCGGCTCCCTGGCGCGGGTCCACGAAGGCAGCGTGCCGCCGTTCAAGGGCCCGGGCGTGGTGAACACGCTGACGCGGCAGCCGCTAGGCGTGGTGGCGCTGATCACGCCGTACAACCACCCGCTGCTGATCGCGACGAAGAAGCTCGGGGCGGCGCTGGCGGCGGGCAATGCGGTCATCCTGAAAGCGTCGGAGCTGGCGCCCTTGTCCGTGCTGCGTCTGGGCCCGCTCTTCCAGCAGGCCGGGCTGCCGGACGGGGTGCTGCAGATCGTCAGCGGGTACGGGGCGGAAACCGGCAGGTCTTTGTGTCAGAGTCCCCGGCTCGCTAAGATTGATCTGACCGGGGGTCTGGCGACGTATCGCGCCGTCGCGGCTGTCGCAGCGCAGAATCTCATCCCCATTACCGCCGAGCTGGGCGGAAAGGCGCCTGTATGTCTGTTCGCCAGTCTCGAGGTCGAGACGGCAGTGCAGGCGGCCTTGTTTGCGGGGTTTATTGCCAGTGGACAGACGTGTGTCACGGGGAGTCGGCTGTTGGTGCATCGGGATATTTATGGGGAATTCAAAGAGGTGTTGGAGAGAAGGGTGCGCGCGTTGCGGGTCGGCGATCCCACGGACGAGGCTACGCAGATTGGGCCGGTGATTTCGCGGGCGGCCGTGGAGAGATGTGCGGCATTTGTGGAGAGGGCTGTGCAGGAGGGGGGAAGGATTCTCTGCGGTGGTGGGCGTGTGGCCGGCCAGAAAGGGTTCTATTTCGAGCCCACGGTGATCGAGACGCAGGCGGACTCGGACCTGGCGTGCAATGAGGTCTTTGGCCCCGTCATCGCGCTGCTCAAGTGCGAGTCTGAGGAGGAGATCGTGCGCATCGCCAATAGTACGTCTTTCGCGTTGGGGGCCTCGGTCTGGACGAATGATTTCAAGCAGGCGCATCGCGTGGCGGACCAGATTGAGGCTGGGATTGTGTGGATCAATGGTCATCACCTGAACGACCCTTCGTCGCCCTGGGGTGGGTTCAAGGAGAGTGGGATTGGCAAGGAGAATGGCCTGGCTGCCTACGAGAGCTATACCAAGCTCAAGAGTACGGTCGTCAATTATGGGGTTCCGCCGGTTTGGTTCGATGACGAGCCCAAGGATGCGCGGTATGGCTAGGGGTGAGACGGTGTCTGTGCCTGCAGATGTTAGTTTGATGCTGGGTTGCAGGTCTACAATTCAATTCTCGTTCGATGAGTGCGCATTAACTTCGTATGCAGCTGATTATTGCGGTCATCTCATTCCACCAAGGGCCTCGTCTCTGCCAACCAGCTCTGATATAGCGCCAATGTGTATGCCCACGCAAGATGCAGATAGATACAAGGGGAAACAACCATTTCATCCAGAGATTGCCACATGCACGCGTACTTCATCCTGAAGCATCCAGTCTAGTCTTTCCAAGTTCCTACCCCCTCCCAATTAGTCCAACGCCCGTGTCGCCTCGCGACGCGCAATGTAGGCCTGACGCTCCGCCGCCCACTCGGGATTCAACTGCGACAGCGGCGCGGGGACGTACTCATTCTCCCAGACGTCCGGATCGACGGTCCTGATCTTAGCATTCTTGGGCAGTGGCAGGCCATGCTCCTCCACCAGCCCATCGCGCTCGAACGACTTCAACATCGCCGCCCCCTCGGCATCCGCCAGCTGCAGCAACAGCGCCCAGAACTCCTCATCCGAGAGCGTCCAGAGCACCTCCTCGGCCATTTTGCCCTGGCGCACCAGATCCCCGATCAGCCGGCCGGTGCGCTTGTACATGTCGGCATGGGCGGGGTGGGACCAGACCTCCTGGTCGATCTGCAGGTAGACGCGGGCGAAGGCGAGGGCGACGCGGCGGTCCTCGAGCACGAGGATGCGGTGGCGGGCGGTCGGGTAGGGAAACGCGCGCAGACAGCGCAGCAGCGCGCGCACGCGGTCGAGGGTCAGCATACCGAAGGCGAGGCCGTCACGGAGGGCGTAGTCGAGGCGGTCCGCGCAGAGATGGGGCGCCGGCAGCTCGACGAGCGGGTACTGCTCCTCGTGCAGCACGGTCAGGGGGATGCCATGCCGCGCCAGGATGGCCGGGATGCCCGTCGTCTGCAGGTAGCGCGCCTTGTGCACCTCGTGAAAGCTCGCCTCGTGCGGGTCGTCGGACAGCGCCCAGTCCACGACGTGGCTGAGCACCGTGTGGCTGATGTCGTGCAGCAGCGCGGCCACTTGCTCCTCGAGCGTGGCGCCCTGCGTCCGCACGAGCAGGCACGCGCCCACCGAGTGCTCGAAGCGCGTGATCTTGACGGCTCCCGGCAGGAGGCCCAGGTGGCCGGTGACGCCGTGCTGGCAGATACCGATCAGGCGTTGCAGGTCCGGGCTCTGCAGGAGGTCGAGGAGGACGGGCTCGATGATCTGGTGCGTGCCGTACAGCGTGTCAGTGATGATGATGCGGTGGGGGGGTTCGATCGTCAGGGTCTGGAAGTGCCCCGCTTTCAGGTCGTCGGCGGCGGCGGCCATCTCGGGGGGGATGGTGCTCGCGTCGTCGGGGATGGTTGACATCTGGAGATGCTGGAAGGATGCAGAGGATGGAAAGGATGGAAAAGGTGGAAGAATCGTCAACCGAGGATGTTTGCAGAGTATGGGGAGATAGAAGAAAGAAGTCTGGTTTGGTCTGGTTTGTTCAGGATCCTAGAGAGCGAGTAGAGGCACGATTAGCAACTGCAGGGCAGGTCACATGAGCCAGGCAACAATTTCATCAACGTTGATCCGGTGGACGCAATGCAAAAACAAGAGAATTTTTCAGATGTACGGGGGGGAGGGTTAGATGACTATTTCGCATCGCTGCTTGTGTGGCCTTGGATGATCCAATCCTGACTGCAGCAGCCTCAACCACATGCTTCTGAAATAGTGGTGAGAATGCTAGCCTTGAAACGCTTCATCTACATTGCAAGCCATCGGCATCGAAGATGTTTTCGCATAGTGTTGTTGATGGCTGTATCTCACCAAGGAGACTCCTCAGGATCCAGCTAATCACCACGCCTTGCGCAGGCGTGAGCGAGTCTTCAATCCAGTTTTGATAAGTCCTCCGTTTCATCCTCCAAGTTATGACCATATTGCTGCAACGAAGGACGTGTACATTGAGCGACACGACGCAGTTTGTTGCTAGAATCGACGACTCGAACAAGACCCGTATCCCTCTGGGAAAGTTGGCTGCACATATACAAAAAGACAGAGATGGAGCTTTCATTGATAATTTTATTCTACTGTTCTCGATACTCTTTTATCATACATGCTGACTTACTGTATGTGCTATGGACGAGCTTGCTGATGCAGACGTACCTGCTTCCTCGACAACGACTGTCGGCCGCCATCTCCATCGACGGTTTCTCGAGTGTCAAAGTGCTGGCTTCCTTCTGAGACACAATCTCAGAGAGCAAAGCCCGTCAGATGCTAGAACCGCCCACCCTTCGACCCCAGCTCCCCAACGATCGGGTCCATCGCCCAATGGTCGACAATATCACCCCCAACGTCCGCTCATCGCTACCGCGTAAGGCCTTCCCTGCCCCCAAAGTATACCCACGCGCAATCAGAATCATGATAAAAAAGCGGTTGTCGACGTCTCAAGCAGTTCCCCTCATTATTGCCTGGAGGATAGCGGTACGCGGCTGGCTGGGCATGGTACTTCTGCAGATGTCTCAGGCGACAGACACATCGTCACAACGGACGACAAAGTCAGTTTTCGCGCACTTATGACTCGTGGCCGTCGATATGGGATGATACGTTCAAAGGAACTGAGTGGCTCTGTTGAAGACATGTTGGCTCTGCCAAGGTTGACAAGTTTAACGGCAGTGCTGAATAGTTTCTGTACAGCTCGTTGCTCGCTCTGTAATATGCTCCGGTGTTAGTTTGAATTCAACAGTAGGTAGCATAACATGAAACAACGTACCCCATAGCATGTAGTTGACTTAGACGAGGTCGCCCAGCGATGGCATGCTATCTTCTGACTGGATCGTCCGCAACCGAGCTCCCATTGCTGGCTGTAGTCACAATTTTGCGAGACACGCATAACATTGGATCAACCAACGCAATCATGCCTCTGATCTCCCAGAGACTCGATCATAGTAGCTTCGTAGGCTGTGATCCCACTACAGTTCCCCCAGGTAGTGTGCAACCAGGTATCGGTAGAGTCACCGACTCTGGGGGTGGAGACAAAGGGCCCACCAACCCTGGCCCGGAAATGCGATTCCGCGGCCAAAAACCCAAGTAGGCGTTCAAGAGCCCACGCAGAAGACCAACAGACACAACAGACGGCGCTTTCAATCTCTCTCTGCGCGCCAAAACTAGCTCTCGCAACAAACCATAACTCATCAAGAGAAACTTGTGCGTACGTCCTTGTGACGGATCCAGCAAGTCTAGACCCCCACAGCATGATAAGACATACTTGTCTCGGGCTATACTTCTTGATCCCATAGGTCCCTGCAGAATTGAATTCAGCCTAGACTGCATTAGTCAAGTCTACTTCGCCTGGGATCCAAGACTTGCTGATGGACACGCCTCACCGAGAGTCCCCCTTGCGAGTGCGTATGGATTCTGATTTGGCACCGAAGCAGCCGGCTGACTATCCACCGGTGTCAAAGATCCCTCCTCCCTTCGGTGCCAGCCCCTAACCCGGATATGCGAAACCAAAAACCATATACAGGAAGGACCCCAACTCTCAAAAGTTGGTTCCCCAGTCAGAGACTCGGCTTCCACGCTAGGATATGATGGAAAGGCCACGGCTGACAAAAAGATGGGGTCCCTTCTTTGTAGTAGAGTCTTTGCGGCCAAGCCTCACTTGACAGCCGCCCTCCTGGCCTATGACTCGTGTGTCTCCGTGCTGGCCGCGCTCGATTGGCTCCCGGATTGAATTCGATCCATGCAACCACTGCAAGAGCCAAGTTGTGTCCCCCTGTCGAGGGGATTTCGGGTCCTGCATGAAAGTGGAGAAAGTCCTTTGGCGTTGCGAAACAACTTCGACAGGGATGCTGGCGACCAGGGAAGAACTATTGAAGATTAGCCTGGCCTGCAAGCCACCCGATGTGCCTCTCGCAGTGGCAGGCTTGGGAAAAGTCTCAGGCTCAGTGTTTGTTGCGACCCGCAACGCATGGCCTCAAAGCTTCCATACCATCACGCACGAGCCTCCGGTGTTGTGCCATGGGTCCGATAATTACTGCCATCGCCATCCGCTCCATGTATGGTCGCAGATTGCAAGCGGTGCCATAAGTCAAAAGACTCTAGAACGTAGCTGCGCCCGAAAGCCGGTAAAACTGAATTTCTGTTTCTCCCCGCATGATCCTTACAATCACAGCCGGTGATTCTTTGTTTTCCTTGAGGTACCGTGATCATCCAGCAGTGATGCATCTGGTTGGCGTGAAGGAGGCATGGATAGGCTGGGATGGAGGGGACGCTTCCGCTTCCGATCAGGTGGCGGCCGTTGCGTCTCATTCTCTTTGTCATTCTGTTCATGGCTTTAAGCAAAAGTTCTGCCACAACTTATGGACACAGGTAGAAAATATGGATGTCTGGGTTTGGCCTTCAGCCATTGTCCCTACTGGAACCCAGTGCAGTGATTGAGCGATACAAATTTCTTGGCTCACATGGGCCTTGCCATGGACCAGTCAAATTAATCCCGAGTCGCTACTCATCGGAGAAACGCTATGCCAACTAAGATCAGGTTCTATCTAATGGTCTCACTGGCGATGTGAGGGCTGGACTACTAGTATGGATAAAGGATTTGAGACTTTCAAGTTTGATTCCTAAGATATGGCAGTCTGGTAAAACAAAAAAGAGAAATCACAGTCTGATAGATTGGGGGAAAAATAAAAACAAGTCCATCATCATCACCCCGGCCCATTTGCTCGACCCTCAAATCGTTTCAACATTTCTTCGAAGCAACAAAATGAGATTGAGTTTTGGCCTGTTGAACTCCTCCATAGGTCTTAGGAAATACAAAAGAGATTGCTCATGCAGTGTGTACACAGGAAAGATGATTGCGGGAAGTCCTTCGACAGTAAACATTCGCCATCAATGCTTCGCCTTCAAAGTTGCAGTCGTAATGACAATGAATTCCCAAAACCCGATGCTGCTATTGTGCTTCTGCATATTTAAAGTTCCTCGTACCGTTTGTGTGCATGGTGGATGTAAATTGTCGTACATCAGAGCATGATGAACCGATCAAAATCGAATCCATCATAAGCTTCGTCGTAGACTAGTGGATCGAAGTTGGGAAGCGAAGAAGGGAATGCCACACCATACTGACGCATTGATCCATCTTCGTTCCAGAGTGACAGCAAAGCTTCATCCGGCTGGAACTGGTGGCAGTTGATTTCATCCTGCATGAAGTCGAGGACAGGAAGTGATTCGGTGTGCTCAGACTGACTGTCTTCGATGGTGGTGGCAATGTCGCTGGAATCAGAGGATGAAATTTCGGTGGCGTTGTCTGGAGAAGCAGACTTAATGGAAGTGCTTCCATCACGATCCCCAGTGATGATGGTGTGGCTGTCGTTGATCTGAATGCTGTTGTTATCGTGGACAACCAAATTCGGCTGGGCAGCAAAAGCCATAACAGCTGGGTTACGGCCATGGTCTGCGCCGTTGTTTCGATTGCCGCCAGTGACATAGCCGGTGTCGTAACAGTGTTTGATGATATCATCGACCGAATAATTGGTGGAAAGTTGATCTTCGGTGGTAGTGGAAAGTTTGACCTTGGTCATGGTGTACTGTTGTTGTTCATCGACAGCGAGCTGCCATCCCATCACATCGAGATAGCGATCCGGCTGAACAATGCCAATCATCCCCGAGTTGAGATTTAGAAAGGTTTCCAACGAGACACTGTTTTCATTCTCATGAGTGTCACGGATGATGGAGTAGGCTTTGGCGATGATGGTCCACTTCGCTTTGAAAGGATCGTTCTGCCACAGGAAACGAAGGATGCCCGACTTCGCTTTCTGAGTGATCTCCGGAAACATGACCGAGTAGAAGCCTAGTATGCGTTAGCCGCGCTTTCATAGTCGACATAGGTGGAAGATTCTTACTTCTGAATGCAATGAAGCTGTTCAGTGGTCTTCGTTTTGAGTCCTGAGCCCGCTTTGCACGTGAAGCTGGGACCTGAGTGCCACGTTCTCCATGGTCGACAGATGCATTGGCATTGTCGAGAGCAGACTGAGAGGACTCTCCAGGAGTCTCAGTCTCATGGGAAGGGACGTTGATGTTCTGGGGCATGGTGTCCTGAAGATGATGAAGCAACTCTGAGAGCTGCTGAGGGGGCATGGTGGTCAAGAATGTGTTGAATGCGCGCTGAAGAGGAGTATTGGGGTTGTCCATACTTTTTTCAGAAAGTTGAGGCTCGGATGTGAGGTAGGCTTGTGACCATGTAACTAGTCAAAGGAGAGAGGATGATGCTTAGTTGGATACCAGATTTGTTTGGTCAAGCACGAGGATGAGAGATGGTTGAGGAAGGATGAGTGGAGAAGAAAGGAGATGGTTGGTGTAAAGAGAAAGAAAGAAGGAAAGGAGACGAAGAGATGAGCGAAAAGATGGACGTATATATATTTATGAGGACAATAGGAACAGTGTTAATATTGTTTATGATGCCACTCGCTTGTAGGCAGTGGAAACTGGAACGAACAAAGGATGTCTTCCATTCTTCACCTAGATACAAGGCGGGTACAATACTGATAGGCTTAGCTTAACAGAATTATTCACTAGAGTCAGATAGCCCTCACCCGGTGGCTACTACCATATAATCTTATGAGCCTTTGTTGTAGGACCTATCTCTTCCTAAAAGCTTCGTCACAATCACTCACTGACGCGTCACAATATTAAGACTATCCTATTGTGACGTCTAACTCGAGCGATTTTTTACACTGATCTCTGGTGAGATTCGTGTGTACCAACAACAAACAAATTTGATACGGATAGCTCGGTTCCCCACCATGTTCTAGCAGCTCGATCTGGCACCTCTGGAAGTGGGACTAAAGAATAGCAAATAGCTGGTTTCAGGCACCTCCAGACTGAGCCCAAAGAGCTAACAGAGGATTCCAGACACAAGCATGCTGAAGGTCACCCCGACTATCAGTACACTCGACGCAAACAAACTGAGAAGAAACGCCGTGGCTCGTCTCGTCCCGAATCCAAGCCCACCAAGCGGTCTCGCACCCCGGCTGCGACAAGCACCGAATCTGAAGTCGGCAGCTCTATCCCTGACACCACCCTTTCCACAACCAGCGCTGATCCCGAGACCCCGAACCACCATCTCGCGGATCTCGAAAGTGTCGTGGGTTCCGACGAGTCCGCCATGATGGACGGCCCCTACCGCTTCAGCGCCGCTGAGCTCGACAATCTCATCGCGGAGGTTGAGAGCGAAAACCAGCGCGCCATGATCTTTGCCTCGGCGAACTTCGGCATGAACGAGAGACTTGCTGGCGAGCCTTTCGAGCTGTCGGACTTCCTGGCGGACATCTACTGAAGCGAGGCGTCGATCGAAGTGGTGATGATGCTCTCGCGACGTCGGAGGAGAGAGCGGCTGGGAACGGTCTGGAGCTGGCCTCCACACTGGTCCAGACTGCTCAAGCTCCCTGATGATGCTTGGTGCACTCGCTGCATTCTACAAGATATCGGGGACGAGAAACAGAGGGGGAGACAAACGAGAGGGAGGGACGGACCGAGGACAAGTCTTCCGACTGACTGCACCCTTTTGTTATCTCTACCATTTCCCTTGCTATTTTCAAATCCTGTATTTTTCATTCTTCTCAGATCAAACAAGACTGTACCTTCCACCAACCCCGATCTTCTGGATCTTTCTGAAAGTTTATCATGATATGGTTGATGGACAGGTTTGCGCAAAGAATGTATCTCATGTTTATCTGTTATCATACATCCCGTCCGACTGAGAGAGCATAAAGTGCATCGAAGTCTATGGAAAGTACAAACAAGCTGCATAGGATCATCTTAGAAATCTAACATATGGTGGTTTGGACTAACAAACAGAACTTCCTGCACATGTGTATTGTTCACGTAGACTTTGCTTGCTTGTATTCGCTCCTTACAGTTGCAAATAGGAGATTCTCTCGCCATGGTTGCAAATAGCTGTATTCTGAGAATCACTTTTATTGTAGGCAACTCGCACCACCTCTTGTTCTCAGAGTAACACGTCCACAAAAAGCTATATTCTGGAAGCGCTGGATCCAGCACCGAATAGCACTGCTGAAAACAGCCCCACGCGGCTTGAAACCGCAGAGTGATTCCTTTTATACAATAACACCAGCCCTCCACCTTTCATGCGCGCAAGTGGATACACCATGCGGGTCCGGGGTCATTTGTTTCATCAACATTCGCCTGCCAAAGCGTCTCCGCTGTGGATGTGGATTCCAACTTCAGGCTGCTACCTAATAGACGAAAGATGATGGCGGGGTGATGGCTGGATTTGGTCGCTATGATGGTGAAGCCGAAAGGCTGGTTGGTAGGTTACAAGTATTGCTAACAGTCGTTACTGATAAGATGTGCTAATTATGTCGTCAAAATAGGTTGTCACCAGTTCTCTAGTGAACAAATCCCCATAACAGACTAAGAGGACGCAAATCCAGGTATCATCTTCTGATGTCGCACTCGAGAATCAAACTCAAAAGGGGGGTATCATTTCCTTCAATCGTTCCAAGCAAAAGACAATTTTGGGCTGAGATGAGATGAGCAGTTGTTCACAGCTACGTTGACGAATTCCAATCGCTTGCCCAGATGAACGTCGGACATCGCCATTGCGTGCCCTTCTCCTTGTTGCCGCTCGGCCCTAGAGGCCTCGAACATATCCAAAACGCTCGTCCACAATTCGGTCCAGGCTTTTTCGTCGTCAAGCTGATGCATGGATCCTGATGACCTTCGCACAAGGGAGCTCGTTTCTTCGTGAACAGCTTGGACCAATCTTCTTTACTGACGATCGGGTCAAAGACAGCGTCGTCTTCCTCGGGGAGCAATACATTGGTTGAGATGCGGCCGTCGGCTTCTTCTGCAGATGTTTTGGTCACGGTGTCCACGGCCTCCTGTTCCTCAAGTTGCGAGGACGCCGTTGGGCCAGTCGTTGTGGATGAAGAAGTCGACGGTTGAGAGATAGCAATCTCAGCGTCCTTGGTGGAACAATCGTCGCTAGTATTCGTGGGGACACTTTTGGGCTTGAAAAACCCTTTCAAGGTTTTCTGGCCCGAGCTCGTCGGCGCAGGTGCGGGAGCAATCATGCTTTTTGATCGCTTGATAGGGGACTCAGGTTTGTCCGATCGCTTGCGTACTGTGCCCCTACTTTCGCCGTTGGCATTACTGACCGCTTCGTTTGAATTCGACTTGGAAGACGACAGCGCGGCTGTCTCTTGCACTGCCGTTGGCCGAGGATTTGTGGGAGTTCCAGTGGGGGTGCTTTGGGATGATTTAGTAGGCTTGCGCATGAACATATCCTTGATGCTTCTTCGTTTGTCAAACTCTGGGATTAGACGCCCGGAAGTGGGCAACAGTAACTTTGTTGTATACTCTTGCTGACGCTCGCCGTTCTCGAAAACACCTGCAGGGTTCATGATGTCGCGAATATTCGTCTCTTTTCCTTCGAACATGATGTTGTCCTTTATAACGGCGTAGACAGGACAATGATCCGAACCCTGCGTCGTCTGTAGTCAGCAACGATTCGCGTTGAATCCTTGATCGACAGAACCTACCATAAGCCCTTCTTGAATGTTGGAATCGCAGAACCAATGCTGCATTTCCAAACTGCAGAGGACGTAATCAATTCTGGCGCCATAATTGCCTGGGCGGGCATTGATTCTCTGCTCCCAACAGGTATACATCCCTTTGCGTTCAGGATGGAATAATCGGCAGATATCATGGAGCACGGGCTTCTCTCTTCCTTGGTCGCGCTCACCAATGACTTTGCCATCCACAAACCACTGGTTAAAAACGCGTCGAGCATGCATCGAAATCCATTCATCCTCGGTCATGGTTCCTTTTCTAATCGCCTCGGCCGCATGCGCTGCATCGATCTCTCTTCTCGAGATATTCAGATCACCCGTGACAAACACCCGCTTCCCCATCGCGACGAGATTGCGAACTCGGGCATCCATCAGGTCGATGAAGTCGTGACGGAAGGAGTCACGGGTTTCGTCCCGGGTTGCCGGCGAGTAGATGCCCAGCAACACAAAGGCGGGGAATTCGAGAATGACACAACGCCCTTCCGAGTCCAGGGTAGCAGGATCGACCTCGAGGCTACTGAGTTGCTCCAACGTTGGATAGCCCCCAATCTGCTGGTCCTCCGGAAGGTCGCGAAAGGAGACCGAGGAGTTCGGTGGACAAAGGATACCTGTAAGCCCTTCCTCCGCACGGATCGGGGCACAGGTCGCATTGCGAGTGTAAACGACCACTCCAGAGTAGCCTGAAGCCGGTCAGTCAGAGCCAACAGCCAAACTCATGCGCACAAGACTTACCCTTCTTCACCTTAGGCAAGCTGAAATAGCAATCCCATCCCGGGACCAAGACCATGTCATCGCGAAGGTCCTTCCGTTGAATCTTCGTTTCCTGGAAGACTACGATGTCTGCCTCGAGGATGTCAAACATCGCCTAATCATGTTAGTTCGAATTTGCTGCGCGAGGAGACCGAAGGGATGGACATACATCGAAGGTACGCTTGCCTCTCCATGGTTCGTAGGAGAATGGATTTCTGCGTCGGGTCAGTGACCAGCCATTTGCAGCTACGACGCATAGCTCACCCACCGGATGCCATTGACTGCGGGAGACGAATTAGTACATGATTTGGCCCCGGTCTATGTTGTCCACCATGTCATTATGGGCGTTGTTCCGCACTCACCGTTCCAGGTTGTAATACGAAGCCCCATCCCGTCTCTACCAATCTAATCGACGCATAAGTTACCCACCGGAAGCAAAAGTGGGAATAACTTGAGGTATCTCGATGGTCTCGCCGCCCCGGCGATTCAGACGCATGGATTAAGTAGCAGCCAGTCAACGTTAACTCCGGAGTTTCGAGAAAGCATGAGACGGGCACGTGACTGTGACATCACGGGGCGGTCAACGTTCCGGGTGGAAATCGTGCTGACATAATGGCGCACTGCCTGTGGCCGAAGCCAGCGAATCACGGGGACGCTAAGCGGCTTTTGGTTCGTTAAGCCGGCAGGGCCGACATCCGCTGAGCTGAGATTCCCACCGTCAAAGACGTCGTACGTTGTTCCACACCAACACTACTACTGCCACTGACTCTCCCGATTGTCATTGTCAACCACCACCAAGACCCCAACCATGTACGCTCAGCGCAGCCTTCTTCGCCTGCCCCAGCAGCTGCGTGCTGCGCCGGTCCGCTCCGCCGTCCAGCGCCGCCTCAACCACACCGAGTCCAAGCTCCCCTCCTGGGCTGTCGACAACGAGTTCAACCGCGAGAGAGAGGCTGTCAAGCACCACGCTGCTGCCACCAGTGGTGCGTAACCCTCCCCAAAAGAGTTGGCCCCAATCCGGTCCAATTGACTCCCCAATCCCAATGCTCTACCCGATCTGAACCATCATGCTAACTCGGCGGGGCTGCAATGTTTAACCAGACCTCTGGCGCAAGCTCTCCATCTAGTACGTTTGCGTTGTCCTCGATTCCTGCCTGCCGTCCCCATGGCAGCAATTGAGCCCCTCCTGGATCAATCCCGCCCAACCAAGACAGGTCTTTCTACTTACACAAAACTCCAGCGCCGTCGTCCCTATCGTGATCCTCGGCGGTCTCAACGCCTACAACCTCTGGGAGGAGCACTGGGAGCACTGGGACCACATGCCTCCTCTCGAGGAGCGCACCGAGTACCCTTACCAGAACATCCGGGTCAAGAACTTCCCCTGGGGTGACGGTGACAAGGTGCGTGATCTTTCCCCTAAGAATCGAATCCATGCAAAAGCTTAGGGACGTTGGACTAATTGATTTCATTCATAATAGACCATCTTGTAAGTTTTCAACTCTTCTTGCTTCAACACCGACCAAAATCACATGCGCCCAGGGGCTTCCCCCCACCATACAGCACGCTGGGAACGACGGAATTGCGTCTTTCCTTGATCGCAGGTCGGATGGCTAACTTTGATGATCTACAGCTGGAACTCCAGCGTCAACTACCACAACAAGGACAAGGCCACCTAAATGGTCCAGTTGTCAACTGACGGACTTGTCGGCTTCCTTTTCGAACTATGTTTACGAGGAAGATCGGATACTGAAGGACCAAATGTACATTTATTGCGGAACATGCAAAATGTAAAGCAAATCTAGGAGAGGGGAGGGAATATGGAAGGGATGAAATCAGAGAGAGAGAGAGAGACAGAGAGACAGAGAGCGAGCCACACACACAATGCTGCTGCAATTTCTTGTTTTCCTTTGTATACTGCGCTTTTGTCAGTTCGGGTGGAAAATCAAGTCCCCATCGCGCGCGATTTGATCTCGCCTGGCATAAGTGCTTATCCGATTTTCGTATGGTACTATTGTAAGATCTACCGTCTGAAATATAGTGGAGACTCGTTTCTGAGTGGACATTGGAGAGAGCAAGATCAGTTCCTCTGGAAACTCTGGTCTGCTACACTCGGAACATATGCACGACAGAGCAACAGCATCATAGCCTACACATCCGCCGACTCAAGACGCCGCTGCTTCTTGAGGTCGAGGTATTTGGCCGCGTAGTCGTTGGCCAGCACCGGATCCCCCGTCAGATGCATGACGGTCGCCTTCTTCGCCATCATCTCGCATTGCCCCCTGATGTCCTCGAGCTCCTCGTACTGCTCATAGGCACAATCCAGGTATCCGAGCGCGCGGTTCAAATATTCCTTCTTGAGGGGTGACTGGGCCTGCCCTTGCCCCTGTTTCCCCTGACTCTGACTCCAAAGAGACCCGGCCACGCCCATGTTGGCGTCCACGAGCAGCGAATACGCCTGGGCGGCGAGGTCGCAGTCGTCCGCCTCCAGGATCTGCGGCATGATGCTCTCCAGCATGGCGGCGACGGCGTCGAACTCGCGCAGGCTGAGGAGCACCCCGCCCAACACGCAGATGGACTCCCACAGGCTGGGCAGGAGGCGCGACCGGTGGGCGATGCTGGCGGCGCGCATGGCGAGGGAGAAGCCGCGCTGCGGGTGGCCCGACTTCTCGAGAATGCGTGCCTTGAGGCAGAGGAGCTTGACCTGGCTGAAGATGTCGAAGTTGTCTTGGTGGATCGATTGGGCGGTCGATTCGACGAGCTCGAGCGCGCGCGCGTAGTGGCCCTGGCGGATGCGGAAGTCGATCGTCAGGAAGGACAGAAGGAGGGAGATGTCGGTGTCTGGGAGTTGTATCGCTTGCAGTTGGGAGAGAAGATGCTCGGCGGCTACCTTATTGTCGCTGCAAGGATGTTAGTGGCCTGTTTGGTGGGTTCTTTCCACAAGAAAGACTTGTCGAAAGAACAGACATACCGGTAGATATGTCGCTTCAGCTGCAGCACACCGGTGAAGAATGTCCAGTATTGGTTCGCTTTGAGGGATCGAAGCTTTTCAGGCGTGACCTGGTCCATGCAGGTGGATATGTCCTTGTAGCGACCCAGTTGTGCGAGCTTTGGGTGGTGATCATCAGCGAAGCTGCCGTAATGAGGAGTGGACGGGGGGGGCTCGACATACAAGCTGGCAGCTGCGGAATGTACTCTTGAGATAATCTTCAAATGGTGCTCTACTCGCGTAGCATTCACGGAAGATTTCGCTACTCAGCCAAGATAGATGGGTGATGCCTGCTGGGTTGTCAGTACGGCTCAGGCGTCTTTCGTCGGGAAACAGTACCTATTCTCTCAAAGAGCGATGCTTGAAGTAGAAGCTGTGGGCCCACTGAGTTCATCAGATTCTTCGTGACATTCAAGTGTGAAGCGCGGATTATGTTCTCCATGGACGCGGCAAGGCTCTCCCCCTAGGCATTGTCAGTAAACCACCTGGATGGTCGAGAAAGACAACATACATGTTGCAGCTCGAGTTTCGCTTCACTCAACAATGTGGTGCTTAGCAGACTCCACATCTCTGTTTCTTTGGCCTTCGCCTTCAGGAACGAAAGGCCCTCTTTCTCATTACCCAGCATCCCGGTGTTCTGTATATCTTTCATCTGCTCGGGGAAAGCTTTGCCGAAATGATAGAGCCAGCTCATGCAGAAGTTGAGGCAATTCATGTCATGCGATTCACGCGCAATCGAGACTGCTTCCTGCATGGCTGACACGGCCTCTCCATGGCACCCATAGTCAGCCTGCAAGATGGCAAGATTCAACAATGCGTACTGATAGGAGCTTCTGTCACGACTGTGCATGGTGTAGTCGAAGTAGCGATGGAGATTGTCGAAGGACGAGGGATAGTCGCCCGCCCTCCAGGCATCGAGAAATCTACGACCCCGTCAATTGCCGGCGCTCATAGGCATGGGATACATAGCAAACTTACCTTAGATAGTGTATTAAGTTCGGCACCGTCACGCCCGATGCTATGATGCGCTCCAGCTGTGCTTTCATCTCATCCGGGACTCTCCCACCCAAGCCTGAAGCGCGTCAGCAGCGAGAACCGAACGAGCAGAAAAGTGGACCTAATACTTTGTAACTCATTGATCTGAAATTCCAGGAGCCGCTCCACATCTTTCGTGCTGACGTACTTGTCGTCCTCCGAATCGTCATCAATCTGGCCGTAGGCCACTTGTGAAAGATGGCTTGTCGTATCTAAGCCAAGCTCTAGCAGATTGATGTCGACCGGAGCCTGCGATCCAGCTGGGTTTTTGCGCGCCCATGAGCGGTAAGTTGGCAGCCGGTATCTCACAAACCCCTTCCAGAGCTTGACCGAGTCGTGGAATTGTAGTCGGGTGAATTCCAACTGGGATCTCCGGACGAATGCCCCAAGGGGCGAGCACCGAGAGAGTTTGGTCGAGCTCGTATCGGGAGCCAAACCGGCATCGCGATCTCGAATCTGCTCGTCTCTGGTTTTGACTAAGAGGTCGGAGATCTCACCGAAGAATACCTCCAGCGCATCGCAGGAGTCGATGGACCAGATCTTCTTCAGGAACAGATCCCATATCGAGCGACCGGGGACGGAAGACGCGTGGCCGAGAAGGGATTCTTCAAGGTCTGTAATTGACACCGAGCCTCGTGTGTCTTTCTTCACCGTGGAGGGGGGCGCCTCCCGGTCCAGGGGACTCAGACATGAGACCAAAAATGAAAGCACATGGATTGCTGAAGAGTTGGGGACGACGCCATCTACGTAGATGGAGATCAAGCACAGAAGTGCCACTTTGGAAGGGGTGAGATAACGGCTCATTGTGATTCTTATCTGCACATTGTATACAGTGGACCTGATGGTTTCCGCAGGCACAGGCCGGCTCAACAGAACAGAACTCTCGAGTCTCTTGCAGCTTGCAGCTTGCAGCCAGCGCGAAGTAGATCGTGTCGTCCGACGCGAGGCAAATGAGTCGGCGGGCGAGTTGAATGATTGCAAGCCCACTTCCCTGCTTGTTCAGTAGCCCGATCGTCTACTGGAGGTTTCAATGACGACGCGAAAACGTTGCACCGCGGTAAACAATAGAGGGAAGAGAAGTGGGGGTGTAGAAGGGGAGAAGTGGATATGTTTAGCTGTAGAGGAAGGCCTAGTACAGACGGGCACAGGGTGTGGCTCGCCTTCAATGTTATTCTGGAACGCCAGCTAGATTGGGTGCGTCCGCTTTATTTCATGGGTCGTTGCCAGGGTTGTTGTTCGTTCTGGACTGTCAATGATTCGGCTGGAGAACCCTCTTTTTCAGTTGGTACCTTGAGTCCTTCTATCTTAAACTGGTTGTAAACTTGTTGTACCAAGCAAACCATTTGTTTTCCCACGATCCACATCACGTGAGGTCACATGCTCAGGGACTTCGATGAAGAAAGCCGAATTATCAACTTGGAACTTAGGAACTCACTCCTGTATTCTCAGGAGTGGAGAACATCACATCAATCTCATTAGGGATCTCACTAGAAACCGTTTGATTTGACCAGGGGTTGAGGCCCAGGGCGCGCCAAGTACAGGTAACTATTCACTAAAGTATCTATTGGTGTCTGCCATCATCAGCTAGAAGGGATTGTAATCGGATGCTCAGAAACAGCGCTTCTTTGTGTCTTTATCTGTTTCGCTGAAACTGCAACGTGTCAAGCCGAGCTGAATATATCCAGCTTTACTCCGCATTGTCTATCGCTAGCCAGAGATCTCTGGGCTGTGTGGTACGGACGGGCAACAAGCGGATGTGAAGACATCAAAGCTCGGGTACTCAGTGTCATAGATCATTGATTCTCACAGACCCAAAGTGGTTTCGGGTCTTTCGATCTAAGCGCCGGTTTTGAAAGTTACAAATAAGGTTGTCTGTAAAAGAATAACCAGCGCAGACTAGTCTGGAGTGAGGAACCTGATGGCCTATATACACACACCACTTCCTAAAACTTTCGCAGCCCATTCTGGTTCTTGATACGGGACTCATATACAACCGATCCCTATCCTACATGGATGTTTCCCGAACCGCAATCCCGCCAAATTCCTGGCAAAATATAACTTTGAGCTCCTCTGGAGAACATCCGGTTCACCGCCGCACCCGGGGTAGAACCAGCTTCCCGTGAGAGAAGATGACGTTCTCGCCCTCAAACCGTTCCGGAAGCCTATCGCCACCTTCGTGACGCATCGGAGGAATGGTGCTAGGGGTGTTGACGGAACCGATCTCGAGCTCGAGCCTCTGGTTCGGGTCTAACAAAAATGCTGCCGGGTACAGAGGAACGAGGACCGAGTAGACCTTCCCTTGTGTAACCTCTGAGGGTGCCGTTGGCTCTTGGGCAAGGACCCTTTCCTTCAGGAAGTCTTTGGCGACTTCATCGCGGTGCGAGAGACGGAAATATCCTCGGGCGAAGGTGTCCATCGGCTCGCCGTGGTTTCCATGAAGTACGATCACGTTGCCGTCAGCGTCTACAGCCCGGAGATAAACGAAGAGATCGAGATCCTTGGCTTGTGTAGACACTTCTAGCTCGAGGAAAGGGGATCCCAGAAGCTCAAAAGATTCCGCGAATGGGAAGTCGAAGGAGAATTTGAGAGACTCTTTGAATCCGGCATAGGCAAAGGGCTCCTTGCTTCCAGATGGTAGGGTCAAGGACAACTTCTTCTCTGGGGTGAGGTAGAAATTGACATCCTCGGCGTCTGCGGGCGGAAAAGACACCTCGTTTTCGCGGTAGAGAGTCTCCGTACCATGGTGCTGAAGCAAGCGGATGCGAGGAACATCGAGCATGCCATTCGACTTCTTGTCGAAGAGGAAGTGGTCCAAAAATTTCTTCTGCAGCTCAATGTGCTCTGGCTCATAGAACGCGCCCAGATGGTTTCCAGTATGCATTTCCAGCCATTTATGTTGGGATGAGATGCCGTTGAAGGCGCGGATGTTGCCGGGTAGATGAAGCTCAGGATCAGTCCAATTGCCCGCGGAGTAGAATGGTACTTCGATATCCGACAACTTGCGGACCTTCTCCAACACCGCCCACGCACCCTCGGTGGGGTATTCTGTCTGGGTGAGCAGCTTGGGATAGTCCACACGGTTGGCGGTCAACTGTTCTTCGGTGAGAAGGCCGTCCTGCCTTCCACCCTGGTAGGGAAGCACAATGTTGTGATACCAGTGGGACTGGAAGTTGTTGCTGTAGATTCCACCTCGTCGAGCCGCTTGATACATACTGCACGCGGACTCGTAGGACATGACACAGGCAAGATGCGGGGGTCTCTGCATGGCAGCCCAGTAGCCAACCATGCCGAAGTAGCTGATGCCGGAGAAAGCTACTTTGCCTGTACACCAGGGTTGGACGGCAGCCCATTCCACGACATCATAGAGATCTGGCAAGACAAGTCAGTCCTGATATCTTCCTTCTTAAGAGTCGAGAGATGTTGCTTGGCTGGATCACCTTGTCCCTCCGCATCGGCCTGAATCTTCTCGGAGCGCTCAAGGCCAAAGGGATCGAGTTTCCCTTGACTACCTCCAATGCCTCTGACATCAACCCGGAGCAGAGCATAGCCGTATTCTCGACACTGCGCACAACAGTTAGAAAGCGATTGGAGGGTTTAAATTATTCACCTACCCAAGTAGTGGGCTCGCACAGCTCAAACGCAGCATCTGGGCCCAGTGGCTTGATGTGCTTGTACATTTCCGCGTAGATCGGGGTCTTGGGAAGTCCAAATGTGGACGCATGGATGTCCTTGCCATAAGGACCCATGCTACAGATCACGGGGACCTGTTTCCCTTCCTTCGAGGCGGCGAAAGGTAGGAAGAGGTCAGCGCACAACTCCACCCCATCCCGCATGGGGATATAGGTATGTTTGGTGCGAGTATAGCCCTCGACATCGGAGGTAGTGGTTTGATATTTCGAACGGGTAGAAGCCATTTTGTGTGGGAAAGAGATCGAGATACAGTGTTGTTCACGTGCAATAGGGACTCTGATGGCTTGGGTGAGTTAGACTAGAAACCCTAGGGTGGTACTTATAGGTCTTCTATGCTCCACCATACCAGGGACTTGGCGACGTAGAAGATATCCAAACAGCGGGGTGAGTATCATGCCAGAAGGTTCGTTGTTCTGCGGTTCCAGTTGCGCTGTATCGATATCCTTTAGATCACATTACGGGATGTCTCACTCTTTCTCCTAATACACCGACTATTTTAAGCGATTCATACAAGTAAGAATGTCCTTCAAGCAGAGAGCGATCTCTGGCGGAAGAGAGGATATACGGTATAGTCACGGATACCGGTAGGCAGATCTCCCGAAGCGCCACATATTGTACGAGTTACACATGCGTGGCAGTGAGGTGAATGGCGGCGGGGTCATCGAAAGGTCCAGAAGTGATGCCGCGGTTGGTCAAGGACCAATGTACAATTAGTATAAAACAGCAAATACATCCAGATCCACTTACTTCATCTCCAGGGAGATAGTCATGGCCCAATCAAATCCAAACAGTCGACGGAAAGGTGAATTGATGTGTAAGCGGAGACTTACAAGCTCCGTGGATTCCACTAGACCCCGAATATCCGTGGGGAACACGAACTTGTTTCTCCTAGCTTATAGTAATCTGGAAGCGAGAGAACTGGAAGAGATACTCACTTCACTTGTCACCCCGCAGAACAACCACGCTATGTATAGCTTCCGGCTGTTGCTTTCGGCGTACAGCCCTGCTTCCCGGGACTGAACACGGCATCTAAAATGGGTAGGCTTACTGAACTTTGGCGATGATCTTCTTCCATTGTTATGCGTAACGCGGGACGATTGCGAGTAGTATACGGGGAGGCCACGACCAGCCTCGGCAATTCCCCGACGATCTACTACTTGACTAGGCATCTATGTAATCATACGACACATAGTCACTAGACATAGAACGAGAAGTCTGTAAATGCTACTCTCTCGCTTCCGCTTCGTCCTTGGTTTATGGGACTAGCTCACCACGGATCAAACGATGGACTACCTCTTTTATGATATTTTCAAGGACGGCAAGACGCCCGCCGACACACCACTATGGCTGCTGAAGGACGAGTCCAACTTCTATTGGGCCTCTACTCGGACAGAGGAAACAATTGGGTTTTTCCCACTCGCAACCAGCAACGGCAAACCATATCAACGGGGCGGTAGTCCACTTGAAGGGAATCCGTTCCCCTGAAGAGGCCCAAATGTTCAGGGACCAGGTGCCGTCCATCAAGAATGGATTTTCGGTTGGTCGAGTGGTTCCAATTGGGAACATTGTGTCTGTCTTCAGGTCGTTCAACAGGGGTGGCAGATTTCGGGGTGCTCGGCCGGTGTAACGCGTGTCGCCTTTCGACACCGACCCAAGCGTCACCTGGTATGTTGTTGTGACGGCGAAGAAGGGAGTATATTATGCCTCGGCGTATGAGCTCCAAGACGCACTGCAGCGTGTTTTTTGTGGAAAGGTAGGGAGATCCAACCATTTGTGCTGGCGATGCGTTACCGAGTTTGATGATTCTTAACTATGAAAACAAGCGGCATTGCGGAATAGATCTTCGATGTGGTGGCTCCTGAGCAAGGAAAGGTCAGCCCCGAGAAACACGCTGAATGTGCTCCAGAACGAACAAACTATCAAAAGGTCCTCCGCATCAAAGCCAACGTTCAAGCGGAAGTGGAGCAATACATAAGTGGCCTGCCCTTCGTCAAGGGAGATGCAGTGGACGTCGAGATACTTCGTACTACGTCTCAGATAGCTTGGGAGATTTTCTTCTAGGTGCATATTCTGATGTGGTCTCGCATGGCTTGGCATCGGGGGTTTGAGAATTGTATATCAGAGTGTTTATGGGGAAACTGAGAATGTAAACCTGTCTATATGCATGTAGTACAAAACCTGCTGGTGGATGGCTACTGCCCACCGATGAGAAACATCACAGAGTTCATGGACTTTGAGAAATGGTACATAAAACCTTTGCAGGGCACGAGCACCAGATACCAGTCTTGATCTTCAAAAACGCATGCTCCTAGATTTAGCTTCAGTAAGCCAATGCCAAATCGCATGATTGTTTGATCATACCTGGAAGATCTCCTCGGTAGTCAGGCTTCTGGTGCTCTTGATATTTCACTGTGACTTTGACAAGCCAGCTGTATCAAGCTCGACCAAAAAAATGTTCACAAAAAAAGAAAAGAAAAAGAAAAAAGGAAACAGGATGCAAACTCCAGATGCTTTCCTCCAATATTCTAGGTATATCTTCGGCTACTGCTCTAGTCCCATGTAATTGCAATGTACCCTAAATTAAGAACAACGAAGGTCATATCCATCAACCAGACATCCGCACCTTTATGTATCAATCGCGATGAAATGCATTCATAGGGCGGCTGACTCCCTACATCGAAGACATCGTTCGATTAGCAATTGTCTTAGCCTTGAACTACAATGCAAGAGACCATGTATAGAGCACGGCAGCCCTTCACTTCCAGCCCGTAGACCCATGGGCGATTCTACGAAATGATCTTATCATTGCGTACCCGAGGGTGCTAGGCTTGATCTCGAATTACCTCCGAGCAAGAATGCTGCTCCACGCATGGCGCTTGAATAAGTCGTCGCGGCAGCTATACCATTACCAGCATGGTTTGGGAAACAGCCGTGACGCCGATATAAGATACAGAGTTATGATCGCTTCGAAGAAAGACCTCTCCCGCGACAGGTCAGTAGTTGGGTGCGTGACCACCAGTGAATCTCTCCCTATGAGTCTTTGTTTGTGCCTCTGATTTCTCGATTCCGTGGACTCTTTGTTATGCTCTATCTTCTTAAACGTCCCTCTGTTGGCGTTTTGATGGAGAATTGGAAAGGCTGCATCGCGAGGCCGGTAAACTCAAGTGACATGCGATAGTGAGAAGACCAGATGCTGCTAGAATTGCTGTGTGAGGCGACAGTATTAATCCTATCAAATCTTGTATTCGATTCCAGCGATCTGCTGGGTCTTGAAAGACGATCCAGATTCCAGATATTGTTTGGAGGATCTTGAGCCCATTTCCAGAAGGCCCGGCTGGCCACAACTCATCACTACACCAGCGGTATAGCAAGGCGGAGTCCACGCTTCCTACGAAGATTTCATGCTCACTGGGCACATAACCTATTTAAGAATCCTCGGTTGAGCCCTCACAACTCGCCTAGGAGGACGAAAAGCCTCCAAGAATATTCGCCCTTCTGTATTTCATCGTGTCACATCACTCTCCATCAGCTGCAGGAGTCGTCCATGATGAATGAACGCCTGCAGAATCACCGGGACCATCACAATCGGAGCAGAAATTGTTGAAGCTTCTTGTGACTGGCTTCTCCAAGCTAGAAATACTAAGTTTGGGCACTTGCGATTTGTGAACCTGGAAAAACCGCTTTTCTGAATATTGATATTACTTGTTAGCCTCTTTTGTGCCCCGATATCACTAAAGCTCAGCGATGGCATGGCTCGATTAGTCCCCTGAAGACTAGCTTATACTTCAAAAAGGATTTATTGCAACACTAAAGGCCAGCAGACGCAAAGTCACCAGAGCCAGCACATATGGAAACAATACCCACGCTTGTGGTGGTGCTGAACCACGTATGGCCCTAAGTTCGGACAGCTTGCCTTCCAAGCACTACCAGAACGCGTTTTCTGGAATCAAAACGAAAGAGGGGAAATATGACCTCCCAGACCGGAGCTCACGAAAGTACACAAAGCCCTCAGCCAGTGGCCTTGCATCAGATAGGGGGGGGGGGGATGATTCAACTGGGATGATCCGCACTAGCGAGTCGTAAGCTCTGTCGGCCAAAAGCAATGTCCCTGATCCTGGTATTCAATGCATGGTACCAACGCATCCTCCTTCCTTTCAGTAGCGTTCTGCATCTGATAGCGCCATACGCTTTCCCGCGCCATGAAATGCACAAGCACACCAAGACGAAAATCCATGGACGATCTCTGGACTTTTGAGCCCCGAGAGTGGTATCGGCCTCTAGAGCGAGAGTCACCGCTTAGCTGAACTCACTATGGCTGTCGTCCTCGAATCCAAGGCTGACCAAAATCACTGACTTCAGTTACGCCAGCGTGAACTTCGAAGAACTAGAGGATCATAGACCACCCACGACTGACGGCGACCAGAAAAATCATATTTCTCAAGAACTCGATCCGGTATGTCAGCTTCCAACTTCGCATCGCGTGCTTTCGTAAATTTGAAACCCTCTCTAGTTTCCTGTGGCTGCTTAGTACGGGTTTCTGGCTACTCGGCGAACGTGAAAGCTTGCGCAAACATATCCACGTATCGATCTAGGGCTTCCGTTGTCGCGAAACCACTCGCTATGCGATCTAGATCCTGAATCGTATGCGGATCGCTGCAGATCAAACAAGTATCATTTCCATTGGGACAGAGGAGAGCGAGACTCGCCGTGATTGAACCCTTCGGCCCCTGACTTCATCGAGTCTTGAATGTGGACGAGAATCATGCCATCCGATGACCCAACAGCGAGTCATAAATCATCATGAGCGACGGCAGTCGTTCGTATCGTTCCATAATTGATTTGGGTGACATAACCAGTCTCAATTCCTTGTGCCAGCCTTATACAATTCAGCCATAAACTCACGCGTTGCGATCATGGACTCGGAAGGGCAAACAAACGGTAGGAAGTACGGTCCCAATTGCCGATGAGCAAGTAGTAAAGGGATGTCCGAAATGTTGCATCTCCTACCCTGGTCAAGTCATAGATCCATAAGATTTGAAGATCGGAAACGACCGTGGAAGGATGAGGCTGCACTGTATGGCAGAATGTCGCAGGGAGAAAGGGTGGGATTGACATGCTGCAGGCTTGCCGTTCTTTCGTGGCGACCTCATTTCATGCTCATCTACTTCTCCAAAAGGAAAGGAAATCCTGCGACAGAGAAGAGATATAATCGCCTCGAGGGTCTGCAGATGATCACAAAATTGCAAAGCTGCTTATTTTGTGATGTCAGTCGTGCTTGATACTGCTCTGGGAATTTCGAGCCAATGGTTGCTACCCCGGTCTAGGCTGACCGCATGACCAAAAATTAAGACATATGCGCAGGATATGCGTTAAGACTTACTATGATTGTGGCTAAAGACGATGGTCAGATGTAACATGTGCTATAATCTTGAAATAAAGGCATTCGACTCGTCCAATCTGTCCGACCTTCCGGAGCTGGTCAGGCATACTAGCTGGGGTGGAATGAACTAGACCGTCGGCAGTCTCACCCGCATCAGCTTTCGGTGGAGTATGGAGTGGACCAAAATAGGACAGGTCATGACTAGGATGCAGGAAAGTGTCTCATTGAAGGATGAGAGTTGCAGGTAATGTGCATAAAGTACGGAGTGCTCGGGAAGTTAAGTTTAGTGTCCGCAACCATTGTTGATAGGAAGGAGGAGGAGGAGGACAACTTAGTTACTCTACAAAACTTGGTAACTTACCTAGTACGAATCACCAAGCAAACATCATCCAAACTGCGATACCCAGACTGACTAGTGTACGCATCAAGGGCAATTCAGCCATTGATTGACTACGGATAGTTCATCCACATTGATTCAATGGGTACTATCCAAAGCTGCCCCCTGTGTCTCGCCCAAAAGGGATAAAGGCTACAGCATGAGAATCACCATGATGCCTGCAATCATGCAGTCTCGGGAAGCCGGTCTTTTGATCCGCCCACTCAGCCTTATACTCGAACAAAGCTCTCTTGATCTATCAAGAAGGCCACGGCATCGCCTGCAGGTCTATGGCAAGCCACAACACAGCGCATCATCTGATTTGCGTTTGCGCGTCTGACAGGGATGGGGTTCTTAGTCGGCCTGATAGCGCCTAGCCCATCCATCTGCTAATGCGTCTATGCGCCCTCTTTCTCAGCTAAGACCCCGGTCATCACGCCTCCTAATTTTAAGTCCTCAATCCAGAAGCGGGGTCGAGGGCAAGTGATGCCTCGAAAGTCCAACATGCGGTGAAGAGACTCGCTCCGTTTATCTTGAGCTCTCATCGCGACATCTTCGTCGACTTTCCAAGCTTCCTCAATCAATCTCTGCCCATCATGACGAGGCCTGACACTATTCCCATCTCTTTCACGGTCCAGGGGGTTACGATCCCAGCCCTTGGTATGAGCACATTCCCCGGTGATGCAACCAGTGAGAAGGTCAAGGATGTCGTGTACAAGGGCCTGTTGTGCGGATATCGCCACATCGACACAGCGGCTGCGTATATAACCGAGCAGGAGGTCGGAGAAGCGATTGTAATGAGTGACATTCCGCGAGAAGATATCTTCGTGACTGCCAAGCTGTCAGTTCTCTTTCGCGTTGACATCAATCACAGTCTAATACGCATGCACTAGACCCCAAACGTGCCACGATGCTAGCGAGGTCGAGGCTGCTCTTGATCGCACCTTGAAGGCGCTCAAACTGGACTACGGTCAGTGGGTCACTAGCCTTGACAGCTGTTCGACAATACTGACCGCTGCTACTCCTGCTATATACAGTGGACCTTTATCTCATGCACTGTACAATGAGGCTCGCTCCTTGTTTGACCAGGCAGGTTATTGACCATCTGCTTCAGTTCCGCATGCCTACATTAAAGGCCCTGAACATCTGCCACGCCAAGATTCCGATGGAAAGGTACACACTTGCCATTCGCATCAGCCAAGCCGATGCTAACCCGTCACATTTACCAGCGCATGGTTGATTACTTTTTATCCACGCGATATCCTTCAACCTGGCGTGCCATGGAACAGCTTGTCGACAAGGGCAAAACGAGACTCATTGGTATGAAGGCCACAACTTAACTTGCCTTGACTGCCACTGACATCGCAAGGGGTCGGCAATTTCAACATTCTCAAACTCAGGAAGTTGCTTCGAACGGCCCGCATCCGGCCCGCTGTCAACCAGGTCGAACTCCATCCGTGAGTGACTCCGAGGAAACGAGCGTATGGTCCCTAGTTGATTACTTGACAGCTATCTACCACAGACCAATCTGCTAGAGTTTTGCAGAATGGAGGGAGTTCATGTCATGGCTCATCAGCCGCTCGGGGGCAAGCCTTTGTTGCTTGATACAGCGCATGAGCGTCATATGAGACCATTGACAGACACGGATGTGAGTCCTCGTGCTCTTCGTGCTGCTCAGCTCGAATTACTCAACTCGAATAGATTTTCCAGCTGTCCCGAAAGAGATTTCGGTCCCCGGCTCAGCTCATCCTCTCCTGGATTGTGCAGCAGAATATCTCTGTGGTGCCCAGGACCAGCCGGATCACACATCTAACAGAGAACATGAACCTGAAGCGGTTGTCCACCGAAGAAATGGTTGCCATGTCGCTGATTACTAGGATGGTGGGAGAATTCCGTTTCTCGGACCCTCGCCACGAACTTGGATTTGATATCTTTGATGAAGAAGAAGATCAGCCGGCGAAGGAATGGTGGGAGGAGCCTTTGATAAAAACCAATCCTGAGCTTCTCATGGTCATGTGAGCTTCTGATGGTCTAGCTCAGGGATAGCTCTAGATAGCACGATGTATATGTTTTTGCAGTGGTTTCGGTACTGTGACGTATACCTGCCTGGATATCGGTATACCTGTAGGTCTGGAAACATCCCCGCCAAAGTCCTGCCTCAGGCATACGAGGAACCCCGCCCACGGGCGAAAAAAAGCTTATCGATGTAGTTGAGTTATCGTGCGTCACCCGCAATTTCCCATCTTCTCTTCCCCATTGACTCACTCTTCCAATTGAGCTTCCTCCCACCACCTATCCTACCTACCACCAACCCACTGTCACTTCTCCAACACCATCTCCCAATTGAACTTTTAGTCACCATCCCAACCGCCATGACGGAATCCTACACCACCACGGACCTGCAAGGTGTCCTGCCCCTCATCGCGCGAGGCAAAGTCCGCGATCTATACGAGGTGGACTCGAAGACTCTCCTCTTCATCGCGACGGACCGAATCTCCGCCTACGATGTGATCATGCAGAATGTAGATGCCCACAGCCCCTCTGCCCCTTCTTCCTCCACCCCTTCTCCCCCTCAAATTTGAACCAGCCACTGACACGGACCTTTCCCCCCCCCAAAAAACAGGGCATCCCCAACAAAGGCATCCTGCTCACGCTGTGCACGCGCAAATGGTTCGAGATCCTGACGACGGCGCTGCCGAGTCTCCGCACGCACTTCCTGACGCTGGACCTGCCGCCGCAGATCCCGGCGGCGCTGCGGCCGACGCTGCAGAACCGGAGCATGCAGGTGCGCAAGCTGCGCATCCTGCCCATCGAGGCGATCGTGCGCGGCTACATCACCGGCTCCGCGTGGAAGGAGTACCAGACGCAGGGTACGGTGCACGGGCTCGCCGTCCCCGCCGGCCTGCGCGAGAGCGAGGCCTTCCCCGGCGGGCCTATCTACACCCCCAGCACCAAGGCGGAGCTGGGCGCGCATGATGAGAATATTCATCCGGATCGAGGTATGTTTCTTCCCCCCCCCCCCGGCGCTTCTTCTTTCATGATCGGATGAAAAGAAATGGGGTGGGGTTTCGAGGGGTTGTGAAGGGAAAGAAAGTTATGCTGATTTTGTTCGGGGCAAACACAGCCGTCGAGATCGTGGGCGAGCCGTACGCGTCCACCATTGCGTCACTGTCGGTGCAGCTGTACAAGATCGCGCACGAGTACGCGCTGACGCGCGGCGTGATCATCGCCGACACCAAGTTCGAGTTCGGCGTCGATGAGGAGACTGGCGAGGTGGTGCTGGCCGATGAGGTGCTCACGCCGGACTCGTCGCGGTTTTGGCCCAAGGACTCGTACGAGGTCGGCCGGGGCCAGGCCAGCTTCGACAAGCAGTTTTTGCGGGATTGGTTGGTCAAGGAGGGGTTGAAGGGAAAGGAGGGTGTGGCGATGAGTGAGGAGGTCGTGCAGCAGACCAGTGAGAAGTACCGCGAGGCGTGGGAGCGGATCACTGGTGGGGAGAACTGATTCGTTCTACTGACGTAGTATATAGTTAAAGCAAGCAGGTACTGCTCGCTTAGTATAAGCTCCCAGAAGAGAAAGAGCGCAGAAAAGGGGATATATAATCAATGTCCCAATGTACATTTCATAGTGGTGGTATCAATCAATCTTTCAGTCCCACTTCCTTTTGCTTTAGTTCCACTCATCACGCAGTCCCTTCAGCCCCTTGCCCTTATTCTGGCCCTTAGGCGCCGGAGAAGGAGCCGCGGGAGCAGCTTGATCGTGACCGTCCCTCGGCGCCGACGACTCCGGTTCATCACCAATCCAATTCGTCCGCACGCCCTCATCGACCTCCAACGCATCCGCCCCACAGATGCGCCGCTCCTCCTCGATCTCCGCCTCGCTCATCCCATTCGTCGCCCAGATCTTATGAATCCGCAGATCATACGGCCCCTCCACGCGATCCGTCAACCCGATCCCGATACTCTTCACGCGCTGCCGCAGGATCGACGTCTGCGGCTCGACCACCAGCCCGAAATTCGTGCGCACGAACGCGTTGAACGGCAGGAGGATCGTCTCCCACCCTGTCGTGTCTGCCGCCGCCCCGGACGTCGTCACACTATTCGACGCAGAAATGATCGTCGACGCCGGCGGCACGTCCGACAGCGCGGCCGGGATGCCCTGCGGGTAGAGCTTTTCGGCCAGCTCGGGCGATTCCGCGGTTGTTTCGGTGGCGGAGAAAGGCGAGAAGGGGTCTCGGTCTGACTGCAACTGCTGCTGCACGCGGTGATGGCGGGTGTACAGGCGGTGTTGGTGGATATCGGTCTCGATGATCGAGTCCGTCTGGATGTTGACCGTGTAGCGGCGGCCGTCGGATTTCACGCGCAGCGCGAGGTAGGCGTACGGGTCGACGTCCCAGAAGAGACGGCCGAAGAGCCAGAAGCCGCGGTCTTGGTTGCGGAAGGCGGCGTAGCCTGTTTTTCGGGGGCGAGGACAGGGGGTCAGTTTTCGGGATACCCAGACATTATGTTAGAAGGGAAAAGGGAAAGGGCGCGGTGTGTGTGTGTGTGTGTGTGTGTGTGTGTATGTATATGTGTGTGTGTGTGTGTGTGTATGTGTGTGTGTGTGTGTGTGTGTGTGTGTGTGTGTGTGTGTGTGTGTGTGTGTCATAGGGGTGGGTATATTTGTTTGGAAAATGCGCGCGAGCATGACGACAGAAACATACCGGTTCTCTCGACACGCCAGTTCTGGGGCAACTTGGTGGAAATACTTCCGTGGAAACGCGCATGCGCCGGGCTGCTCGTTGACGGATCGGCGGGGACATGGTCCAGGCTGGCGGTGCTGAAGCCCCCAACGACGCGGTCGGCCATTGTCTTACAGCCGGCAACGGTGGAGGCATCTTCGAAGTCAAGGAGGACGTAGGGCTTGGTTGGAGTGTGAAGGGCTTCGGAGTTCCAAGCTAGATGGCAGCTGGAATCAGTATACTAAGAAATGATAATGTGGAGATAACAGCGAAAACGCACCGATTTTGGAGACGCGGCTAAGCTCATCTATACTGCGCTTGAAAAAGCCCGAGGGCTTCGCAGCTAGACATTTAGCCGTGGGAATCATTGCGATTGTTTGGAGAAGTAGAAACAATCACGGTGGTTGAGGTTCAATGCAGATGCAGGGTCCCATCAAGAAATTGTAGCTGAGGCGAAGAAAGAATGGCGAGCTCGCCGCCGGCATGACGTCGGAGACGAACATCCGAGGTGATACGGTGCCTGAGGCGTGTCGCTCACCGCTCCCTCGACCGCTTTGCCCTATGTATGGCAGTTGCTTGCTTCCAGGAAGCCGAATGCATTCATGCCTAAGTGCAGGGGTATCATTACGCCTGTATCAAGGGCAGTCTTAGAAGAACTAAGCTCGTCGCTGAGAAGTTTCAACTGCAGCGACGGACAATCGGATTAATCTATGCAGCAACCAGATGACGAAGTGTTGTCCTCGCTCATGCAACCCGCTCCTCGATGCCATCCTGCAAGAACCCGCGACAGACCATGATATGCTATAACTTGCCCAACCCCATCTAACGCCCAGCTTTATCCATAAGTATGTACAGCCTGATAATCTCTCCAGGAGGTTTGACGAAACCAATGACAACGAGTCATGTGAAGAAGGGGAAGGCCCCAAGTAGAAGCGACGAAAGTGCATAACAATAAAGTAGTTGGAGATGCAGATGGGTATGTAAAGCGGGAAACAAAACACAAGAATTTGAGAGGCACATGTGGGATTGATGGTATTATGTACGTGAAAGGGGTATGCGTTAGGCTCTGACACGCCTGGCATCGAAGTACTTCAGACTCAATGCGGTGTCATTCATACCAACGATAGGAGCTGCGTCTTCAAGAAGCTCCCATGGACGCACAGGGTATGCACCAATGGCCCGGCCGCGGTACTGAACCCGAAGATGACTTGCAATGCAATTGACGCCTTCACTAAGTCCAGCGGAGAGCCCCGATGGTACTGCAGTGGACGACTGTTGCGGCGTCTGTTGACCATAGGCTAAGCTTCCCGATGGGGTTGGGGTAGAGCCGCCAGCGGCAGGAGACGGTAGAGACGTGGGTTGAGGAGGATTGGAGCTGTCCACTATGGGACCGAGAAGGTAAAGAAATCTAGCATCGTTCTGGAATTGAAGGAAGGGCGGACACTTTTCCTTGAGGAATCGCGCACACTGCTGCCGTGCCTCATCCGGGAATATGTCGACAAGGCAGGCAGCAACATCGAGTGCATGGGTTTGCAGCAGAATCCCAGGACACGGCCGGTAGCTCTCCACTGGCTTGGATTGAGGGAAATAATCAGCCGACGGGTATAAGCGAAGGACACGGTTCGGAAGACGGGCCAAAGAGATACAGAAGATGGAGATCAGTAGGCGAGTCTGCTCTGGGAGGCCATGAGATCTAGGCGCCAGCCCCGGTGTGTTGAACGATGCGCGGTGAATGACAACGATCCGAAGCAAGGCAGAAAACCAGAAGGCCAGGCTTCTCTCGAAAGACGGGCTAGCTTGGTTTGTCGGACGTCCATCTCCGGCACCAGTATGATTTGCTTGCATTGCCACAAACTTCTGAAGCAGAAACTCCATCTTCTCAACAAGCACAGGCACAACGGTCGGTACCCCAGCTTCGGGAATGCAAGGGGCTAGCTTCTCGATCATGGTCAGGTAGAGCCTTGCAGCCTCGATCGATTGAAGACTATCTGAATTTTCCTCGAACATGGGGATAGAGAAGAAACTCCTTTCAGCCCGCTCCCGAATTTGTTGAATAGCATCATGGCTCATCAGGCTCACTAAACCATACCAATGATCATTGTGAGACTTGGTATCTGCCACTGCAGCTTTGAACATCACATCCACGATGCTGTTGTTGTCTTGGCCAGCAGCTTCTGCGTTGAACAAGAGCTGAAGCTTGAGTTGACAAAAGGGAAGCGAAAAATCGTTATTCATGCGGATGACTTTCTCAGCCTCAGGTGCAGTCTTATCGCTTGCATCTGAGTCGAAGCCCAGAAGGCTGTTGAGTGCTTTCTGCAGTAAAGCTGTGGATGCTGTGTGTTGGCCAATAAACTTTTGCAAACAACTCTGAACGATGCGTTCCGGATTTTGTGTAAGGAGAAGCTGAAGCAGCATGGTTGCACACTCTGTGAGGTCATCCCTTCTGGAACCGTATAGGCAATCAGTGTTCTCGGATCCGATCAAAGGTACAACATCACGGATTATGTCGAGGCTTTCTTCGGGATGTTTAGCAAGGAACTCTTGCTGCGCGAGTCGAAACCGATAGGTAACCATATCTGCGAGACGGCTTTGGTCGTGCTTTGGCGGAACAAGGAGTTCGAAGAGATCCAGCTTCAACTCTGCGACGCTAGGGATTACCGCAACGACCTTCTCTGACTGAAGGAGCTTCTTGACCAAGGCAACGAAGGCATGGATAGTAACACATCCCACACCGATAAGAGGGGGGAGGATCCGCGCCATTGTTGATCTGGTTTGAGACTTCAAAAGTCCGCACACCCATCGTACTAGCATAGCATCGAATCGCTTGGGATGGAAAGTTCGAAGGTAAGCCATATATCGACAGATTTCATTTGCTGACAGTTTCTTGTGGCCGTCCTGAAGCGCTTTAGTAAGCGAGGCGAAGGATGTGTCCATGGTGGACTCGTCCATCCCACCACCAGAGAGAAGCGTTTGATCAAGCTTCTCCTGAAACAAGGAATCGATCTGGCCGGTAGACACCGAGATATGGTCGGAGAGTGGAGAGGGAGCCGCCACCGCCGCTCTATTCTCAATCCGAGCAAGGTCCTGACGAAGCAATGCAACGGTATTGAACTCGCTGGGCACTCGAAGACCCAGCTCTATCAACGAGAAAATCAGGTCCAGGCTGGGGGCACCAAACCTTTTCAGGCGGACATAAGATTCAACGAGGCCCTTAAAGAGATCGTGCACAGCACTGATCACACAGAATGTGTCAAAGTGATAGTTGACCGTGTCCGCAACCGAGGCGAGCACGATACTATTGTCGCAGGTAGTTGCCTGCTTGAGTACGTCCGCAAGCATTGACAGGTCCCCAAAGCCCTCAAGGATCTCTCGAATAACGCAGAATTCGGCAGGAGTTAGTGCAGAGATGCCCGAGTCGGACAAGAACGGGATGTTGCTATATCTCCTGGAAGGAACATGAGTCCAAGAACAAGAAGCGGAAGACTGGCAAGAGAACATACCTGCCTGGTTTGCGATAATGCTCAGCTACACCACGTCGGATCCAAAGACCAATCTCAGACTTGACAGCCCATGTCAATTCGGCAGGGAGGGACAAGTTAGTTTTCGGGACACCGCTCCTCTCTGACCCGAAAATGTGGGGGAGCCGCCCCGCAATCGACATTTGGAGCTTTGCAACAAGGGAATTTTCTTCCTCGAGGGAGAATCCTGCACGATCAATCAACATGTTACGAAGATTACGAACATGTTCGGGTAGACGGTGTGATGGAAGTTGGATCAAAAGGCGGAGTTCGCTCGATATAGCCTACAAGCTGTCAGTTCGAAGTTCTCATGATGATTATGCATATGGATGTTTCTGACCTCATTTTCGGACGCAGGACTATGTGCAAGTCCCTTAGCCATCAGCCATTGCAAGTACCTGCCAACGGAGAATGTCTGAGACCGAACGAGCTCTGAAAAAATATGATATATGTGTTCCATGTTGAGTCGACTATTGCTATCGAAGCCTGCAACGAAATTGAGTATGTGACTTTCAATGTCAATTCCGGACATCTTCCACTTCCGCAGTAGGCGGACGCTGGTATAGACACGGCGAGACCCATGCCGAAACGGGGTTGCTGCCCACTCGAGGAGTTTGGAGACCAAAACAGTCTTGTCATCAACAGCGTCCAGGCATGCGGAAGCTGTGGCCGTAACATCATGCGCAGAGCGAAGTGAATCAAAAAGCGAGATGACCTTTTGCTGAGGTAGCCGAGCTTTTGCTTCTTGTTGACTCTTCAGAAGCTGAACACGACTGTTGCGCTCCACCAAGTTATGAAACATGGTCTGATCTGGCGTTTCCTTGAAGTTCAAACACGACGAGATCAATTCCTTGTATGTCATCCAGGAATTCGGAAGGATTAAAGATGATGTATGCTCCAAAACCAATCGTCTTATACAGCGAGACAAACGATCAACCAGCGGCTGAAGGGTTTCGGGATGGCCGGACTTCTTGATCTTTCGAATGTGTCAGTCGAAGAATGATAAGCAAACATGAATTGTAATGATTACCTGTCGCAGTTTCTCAAGCAGAACCTCCGCCAACTTCCGGCCACGTTTCCTGTAACGCATGATATTGCTCCAATATATGCCAAGCATCAAGAGCCAAACAGGAATGGTGTTGAGTGAGGCGTTTTCCAACGATAACAAAAACCAGCTAAGATACTGATCATGGTCGAGCAAGCGTTCGAAGAAGAGCCGTGATGTCAGGCTGACTCTGTACAATAGTTAGAAACGCGCGTTCAGCCTTCGAGCGAGATATCTTCGAACAGTATTGACGTACGCATAAGTCATCTTCACCTTCCAGTCCGCAGCACCACAAATACCGACGACTCCGTCCAGAAACTGTTGGACGGTGGCAGTCCAGTCACGAACCCATTTCGACTCTAAGCCCAGCGCGAGTGCGCCGCTTGTGCCCTTCCTTTTGAACGCACGAATTTCGTTGGCACCAACACATCTCGCCAGCCATATGGCACGAGGGACTGGAATCCATTTGCCTAAGCATTGATCGAGAAGCACCTTGCCCCGGATGCCATGAGGAATCGTCCGACTCAGCCTGCGCAGGGGCACAGATGGATTAGCAAGATCCCGAAGCCAAGCTTCGCGCTTGTTATCCGTCAGCGTCACCCGAGGGGGTGGCTTGAAGCTCGACGGAGCCGTGACCATATTGTGGCTCTGTCTCTTCTCAAGGGCAGCAGCAAAGACGGAAGAAAGCATCTGCAAACCTGATCGGTGCTTCAACTGCGCATAAAGCGACGGCCGTGCAGTGTTGGACTCATTCTGGGACACCTGCGTGCGGTCGTAGTGTCCTTGCTTCGCCGTGTGCTCATTGAGAATATCTTCCGGGTGATTGCCTGTCCATGGGGAGAAGTCCGCAACCTCTGTAACGTTCAGTCAGAATACCCTCTATGTATGAAGGCTGGATGAGCTAACTTACTCTCTCCTTTAATTTTGGGTGCAATTGTAGGCACCTCAATGCGATACGGTGTGGTTTTGACTTCCTTGACCGGTGCAATTTCAGCAATCTTCGTGGCATCGGTTGCCGGCGTTTCCTGAGGAGTATACTTCCAAGGGAGGAGAGGCAAAGGAGGCGGAGACGAGGAGGTCTTTCCTTGTGCGGAAGCATCGTCATCTTTGACCTCGACAGCTCCAGTCGTCTCCGACAGCAGAGCTTGGAACGACCATGCCGGCCGCCCTCGCCAAGTCAATGATTGTGGTTTGGCAGTCGCGGTCCCCGGAGTGGTTCTCGCTTCACCGTTACTCACCGGTGCCGGACTGCCTGTTGCCGCATAGGCTCCTGATGTCACATCCAATTTCAGCCGCTTGGTTGGCGGCTCACTCTCTTGCGCATCGCCGGGAATGGTTGTGAGGTCGATGACTGCCGGCTGTCGGGGGAGCGATGGCGGTACGGGCATTGGCGGCTTCTCCGACTGAGGCTCAGACTGATTGAGCGCTTGGAAGGCCTCCACGCGTCCTAGGCCGTTATTGGGAGCGCGCATCGAGCGACTCCACGGCTGGACGCCGGCAGAAGGATGGGGTATCATCTTAGCGTCATGGTGTATCTCAGCGTCGGGTTTATGGTCATTGGAGTAGCGCGGTGGGTAAAGACGGGTTGAACGCTCGCCTTAGGCTCAGATGGAGTCGTGGTATTCAGTTGTTGCAAGAGTCCGAGGGGAAGGTCGGAAGAGGTGACAATAAATTTCACATTCGGGCTTCCAATCTAAGACTCCCTAGGCTGTGGAGATGAATGGACGATCCAAGACCAAGCGGCTATACTGATCACGGTAACCGTCGGGGACCGGGGGTTCAAATGAGAGAGGAGTACTGTACTGTACTTTGGGGGGGGCGAGAGGCGGAAGGCTGCAGGTGGATCTGTCCGCTAGGGGACAATAGCAACTTAACAAAAGTCTGGGGATTGTGGGAGTAAAGGGGGGAATAAAGAAGACGAAGAAGAAAAAGAAGGAGAAGAAGGTTAGAAGGGGAATTGAGAAATCAGGACACTCGGATTAGAATGGAAATGCTAAAGGATAAGGTAAAAAGGTAATAGGTAATGAATGCTAATGCTGTTATGGGGGGGGGGGGGGGGTTTTGAAGAGGCGACCGAACAGGAAAAGAGCCGAGTACGGCGACCGAGAGAGTTGACTTGATCTCCAGATACTCACAGATAACGTAAGGAGGGACCAACTGGCATCAGCTTACCGGAGGAGAACAGACAGAACATGTAATCTTACCGGATCGACACCCGTCCACCACGGAGATTGATGGGAAGAATGGGGAGAATGGGGAGAATGGAGAGAATGGGCAGTGATACCGCGATTTTACCGGCCTTGACTTCGGACGAGTAACTGGCCAACTCTCCAACTCTCCAACTCTCCCCCTGCACGCCCACGGCAATTACACGGAATACTTTGTACAATACAGTAAGTACAATCAGTTATCTGCCTCCAACTTATCCTCTCTCCTCCCCTCTCTCTCTCTCTCTCTCTCTCCGGGATCAGATGGCTTAGCGATCCATCACTTTGTCCATTTTATCTTCTTACGTATCGACGGAGTATCTGAACTTCGGGACTCACTCCGATCCATGATCCATGACAATTGAGCGATTCGATGCATCCACACTATTTGCCTCGGAGAGTTTCATTCATCATCCATCCCATTCATGACTCGGATATCCTCTCCTATTCTAGACGATTAATGACCGGACAGCGATGAATCTGGGTCATCGAATAGCCCCCGTGGGATTCCACGCCCCATTTTTAAACAAAGGGTTCTCTTGGCATCATTTGATGAGATGACCACAGCACACTGTATCAGCGTGTTTGCACATCCACGCGATTAGCTGATGATATCGCGGCATATGACCCCATTCTTTAATCAACGGGATCGGACATAATCAGGGCCACTCGCAAGCAAGATACACAGACGGACAGTTGAATACTCAGGACCTACCTAGTTCAGGAGGGTTCAACCACAAGGAGCCTGGCACAAACGACTTTCTCCAACGGGCTAGTCTAATCATCTTTCGCAGATCTTCCCCCTGGCGTGCGCTAATCCCTGCGCCCGTACGGAGAGTACTTTGTCTCCGCAGTACTCATATCTGAAGCACTGAACCTGCTGCCATCAGCACAGCAGGTACTGTACATACGGAGTAAGCTGGGTGATACGTACGGAGTACATATGAGCCCACATGGAAAGGGGAAGAGCTGCAACAGGAGGAGGAGGAGGAGAAGAAAAGAAACATGATGCACCACAGACCCCGTACCACGTACCTGCTACCTACTACCTCTTGCCAGACTACGTGGGCAGTCAAACAGACCGTGCATACTGGGCTGGGATGATTCTGAATTGGGGATGAAATCTTTTCCTCGGGTTGTCCTATTTCCGAACATACGGTGAGCGCATCTGGGATCTTCAAATGTGCCAGTGAACCATCTAGCCCAGTCTATCGCGTAGTGTGCCTGTGCCCTGACCGGCTGAAACCGAGCCTACGCCCAGAACCTATAATGGCAAATGCCTGGTTACCTACGATAATTATTATTCTGTGTCTCCTGGACTCTTATCGAATGAAAGATGAAATTCTGAGTCTTCTGCAACTCCCCTTTGAACTACTCAGAGATGAATCCACCTCACTCCATTCATTGTGGGCCATAGATTTCTCCAATTCAGCCATCGGGCTCCGTGACCCATTTCCCGGGACCGATTGCCGTCCGAGCGGTTTGTTCAGGACTCAAAACTCAAGAGAGCCTTTCTGGGAACGGGTGTTGGCGTCTTGCCCCTCTCAAGTGGCATGATATTGTGTGGTATGATGGATGCACCATTTCATCTGGTCCTCCTTCTCCGCACTTTATCCCAATTCCATGGCTAACCACTAACTACCATAGTATATTCTGTCGATCTTCCTTCCACTAACCGGTATGGCCTTATTCTCACGTGGTTCGTTCTCTCTAGTATTCAGTACAATATCTAGTACTAGTACCTATTTATCCCCAGATCTCATCTCTCCCTAAGCAGCAGCACACAATACCACGCACCACCCATGTAACGATCGAGAACCGAACCAGAGACCCAAGTGTCCTTCTGGTCGTTGCGGGCTGTAATCTAATGCCCGAGATTTGCCAATCTGCCAAAGCACAGACCGGGCCCTCACACCATAACCCATTCTGTGACAGAACAATCTCCATCCCAGCGGCCTGCAGGATGCAATCCTACGCAGTCGGATAAGATTTAGTCTCGACAAAGCGCCTCCGGAGGTGTCATTGTCGCACAAGTACAGTATACAGTCCCGATCCGAATGAACCCCGGAAAGGGCGGATTTGAATTGCTTTGGCCACACCTCCGGGCCAGTTCCGCGTCAGTGACTAAGCTTCGTATCTGTCATCTGAAAGAGATGTACCGATAGCATAGGTACAAAATTAGGCATGCTTCTTACTTCACGATAGATAACTAAGTCGGTCTCATGTAGTACGAGACATCAAACAGGAGGACCGTGCATTTCCATTCTGCGTGACGACCGGTCAAGGCTCCAGAGCCAGACGACCAGCACCTGAGTTGAGTTGCCTTACACTTGGGCTGTTGTCGATCTTCCGCTATTGACGGTGCTTGCGCAATTCGCCGAGAGTCAAACAGACTTCTCGTGATTGCATAGTACCTGGAGGTGTCTTGGATTGTTGATGCCATTGGAGCAGTTACATTCCAGTCAAGGGGCCAAATCGGATATGCAAAGACCAAGGCTGCCTGCCCTTCTCGGAGGTGAACGGTCGCGTTCCAATCGAAGCGGGTGTTAAGTTATCGTTTGCAGGCCCTTTGCGCGAGAACTTATGATCAACATGGTAACCCTGATAATATGCAGATCTCAGAGATATTCTGGTCTTCTGATGCTCGGCTAAAGTAGGAGTCGGTGTTATCCAAGGAGGATTACGTAGAGTAGATGTCTGATAGGGAGATAACCCCGGCGAGATAACCATGGGTTATGGTGGCAGTATGGAAAGCAGCGGCCTTTCCGCTTTCGGGCTTGGCGGCGCTGATCGCTTGGTTGGCCAGTTCAACTGTCTCTCACCCCGGATTTACGCCCCAAGCCTGGAACAGAACTGAGATAACAGTCAGAATATCACAAAATGTCGACCAAGAAGGATATGCGCAGGTTGGATCTTGGTATGTCGCCTGCTTCCAAGTCTTGAACCTCGCCAAAGCGCACGCTTGCTGATGCTGACGTCGCATCTTAGCCATCCCCTACATCGACCCGCCCAAAGACAAGAATGAGGCCGACATGTCCAGTACGTAACGAGCGATAGGAAGACATCTTACTATAAGGCGCAACTGGGCTCGTATTGATGTTTTGGAACAGGCGCGATGTCTAGCACCATGCCCATGGCTGCGGTAAGTTGCAATCCAGCTCCGCATTTTACAGCCATAAGATACTAATGGTTTCGCTTTAGATGTTTACCAGGAACAGGTGAGCAGGGAACTGATCTCTTAGACATCAATCCGGCTCCGGCTAACCACTGCGGCTCAACCAGGATGATCGGATGGTACGTTTCGAGCGACATCTCACTGTGGCTATCTTTAACACATACATAGGGTGTCCTTCGTCTTCTCTCTCCAGAGTTGGCTGGGTGAGACTCCAGACCAGAAGAGAAACGCCTCTACCCCGGCTTATATGTCTGTATTGATGTCCTGTTCGTGCACCCCAGCCTGCAAGACTATGGAGTATGGATAACTGACTAACGGCGCGCGTTCCTAGTGATGGCTTTGGTCGTGGTATGTGTTTTTCTGCGTTGCAGCAGCAGTCGCATGTTCCAGTGCCTCGTTACTGATCCATGTCATCCAGACCTACTTCCCCATCTTCCTGCCTCCTCAGACCGCGCGGGGTGCTGCTGCTCCCTCTCCCTCTCCCTCTCCCTGAGGGAATCCCGTTCGAACATACCCTTGCGAATGTCTTTTGATACACGATTAATTCATGGCGTTTCCGAATCTGCAACCGAAATCATACAGCATATCCAAGCGTTACCGACTGGGAAGTGGAAAAGTCAATGGGGTTGGTGTTGCGGCTTCAAAGCCGGGGAGCTTCGCTTTCATGTACAGGGGAATTTGACGGTTCTGTACGAATACTATAATACCAGAAATACCATAATGTCATCTCTGCTAGCGCTCGCTACCGCCACGCATGGGGTAGTACAAGGGACAGTGGCAACTTCAAATGGTTGCAGAGTGCATACATGCATTGAAGCCGAAAAGACAGAGCAAAAAAAAAGACTAATGCGAAGGCAAACAGGGACAAGAGGCTGAGGAACAGTTTCAAAAGTGTAATTAACTTGGCGGGCAAACATGTGCGTATAGCCTTTTGAGAGTCTGACAGCCTGAACCCGAACCCCAGTACTGGCTGGCTGGAACACAGCCAGTGCGTAAGGGCTACGTCGGCAGCGTCATGAAAGTATTGGTGGTGAGTGGGGAGACGCAGCAGGGTGCAATGCGCCGAAGAGGGTTGCCACCAAACATGAACTTTCACCTCAAACCAATTAAACACTGAAGAGTCAGACGCCTCTTTCAAGCCTTCTTTGACAGGCGGCCGATAGCCCACCGGATGCCTGATAATATCTGGGATTTACTGTATTTGATAAAGAGAGCCAGTCACCGTGACCAGAATTTGAGCCAGAGTCAGACTGACCGGCTGGGCTTAGTCAGGCCCCTCTGGCCCACACCGCCTTCCCCCACAAGGGCGCTAAATGCAAGCCGCGCCCCTCAAAAGGCTCTTCTGTTCTTCTCTTTGCTTCCTTCCCGACCTTCCCACCCTACACTCCATCTTCAAGAACGTCCCTCAGTCTCCACGACTCGCAATCGCTCCCCCCGCGTTAACAGAGATATTTATTCTCGCCCCTCCGCTCACTTTACCTATACCGCTTTTAAGGGCCGTTTACGACGAAAGGCCGAGTTTATGTCCATCGAAAACCTTAAGACCTTCGGTAAGTCGCTCGCCACCCCTCCTTCGTCTGTGGGCAACGTCGCCGCTGTTGCGAAAACACCCTTCGCATGCTGCCCATCCTGCTGCATGACTGTCCTATTCTCATCGAGGATGATGTGCATGTCATTCGGTGGCGCAGTATGGCCACTTAGCTGGTATTCTGGACGGTGGTCGGATTCGCATCACTTTTTGGCGGGGTAATGCTAGGTCATGAGCCTGAGGCTGACACGTGCTCCTTTTCCACAGACCCCTTCGCCGAAGCTGACGAAGACACCGGCGAGACCAAGCAGTCTCAAAACTACATCCATATACGGATTCAACGTACGTCATAATCGATCTCTCTTCCGTTTCCCACCCATGCTGTCGCCGTCTCACTGTCCACGTCTCGTTGGCTGTGGTGACATCTCGTCCATCTCGTCCGACACGAACCAAGAGGCTAACAACCATCCGCAGAGCGCAATGGTCGTAAGACCTTGACTACGGTCCAGGGTCTTCCGAAGAAGTTTGACCAGAAGAAGATCTTGAAGGTGATCAAGAAGAAGTTTGGTACGTCTCAACCGGATCCGCCACGCCCGCCTTTCAGGCATCCAACTAATCCGTCTCCAGCCTGCAATGGCACCATCGTCAACGACACCGAGATGGGCGAGGTGATTCAGCTCCAGGGTGATCAGCGTAAAGATGTTCAGGAGTTCTTGACCGACAAGAAGGAGGGTCTCGAGCTGGATGCCAAGACCATCAAGGTCCACGGTTTCTAAGCACCCCGTCGTCACGTCCCCGTTCCGGTCCCCTTCTTTTCTTTTTTTCGGTCCACGTTACTACTCTGTGCAGTGGTGAAAGGCTTTGAAGAGCAACCTTGTTTCTGTGTCTGTCGCTTTTCTCCCATCTTTGCTGTTGCACCACTACGTCACTGCAAGGTAGGGTCAAGAGTCGATCGGTTTACAGAAACTGTCGCCTTTTGATTACCTTTTCGTCGCTCTTTGCTCGGTACACAGGACCTGAAGCCTTAGTCGAAAAAGAATACTGTCAAGTTGAACTCCCCTCCTCTCCTCCGGCGCACTTTCGTTAGGCGCTTGCACAGAGGAGGGGGGCAGCAGTGGGTTTGATATTTGCTTTATGTCCCGACTCAACTGCGATACCTGGAATGGGATAATGACGGAACGAGGCGTTGGTAGATACCCTTATCTGCATAGATATTTTTCTTAGCTTCTTGTTTTCTTCTGAAAGGACGGTTGAAGGTCTGTTATGTTTGAAGAGGGTTGTGTCTGAAGGTGGAGAGTGAGGAACAGTCGTTATTCTTGATCTCTTGCATCCTCTGTGATTCGATCGTCTTTAGTTCTGCACATGCCGACCTAGACTGTCACTTCCGTACTATTGTCCAAGAATGGAATACTTGCTCATGGCTACAACGTATTCTGCAACGACGTAGACTACCGATACTGCGCTTATCTAGATCAACTTTGATGCCACTCTAGCTAAAAAAAAAAAAAAAAAAAAAATATTACGGCAAGGCATCTTGGAATACTGTAATGTAGCAATAGGGGGTAAATTGGAGGCAGTAGCTATGGGGACAATTGACTTAGGGCAACCACGATTGGACATAACCCATCCTCTATCTGACTTAATCTTACAGTCAGTCCAGTCTTTACAGTTCGCCCCCCGGCCGATACGCCCGACTATCTGCAACCCGCATGCGCAGGAAGATCTGAACGGCCCAGTCCCAGAGTTTCCGGGTGATGACGAAGACGGGCACCTCGGGCTCGTTCTCGCGGGTGAGGTGCAACTGTAGGAGCAAGGAGGACATGCTCACGAAGCTGGCGACCGCGACGATGAGCAGCGCGGCCGCCGTTTCACGCTTGATTGTGGCATGGTTTTGCGTGGCGTGGTAGAGAAAGGTGAGGGTCTGGATTAAAGTACAATAACAAGTTTTAGTTGGTGAAAAACAAAGTGAAAAAAAAAAAAAAAAAAAAGATCGTGCATGAAATCAACGGGGGAAAACTTACAGTCGTGATGGAGATCCAGGCAGGGAGAAGCAGACGGGGGTCATAAGACGCCCCGGAAAGATAAAGGACCCAAGAAGTAATATAAGCAATCAACCCGTTCGTAGTCAGGAGACGAATAACAACAGCTGGCGGGGTATAGTTCAAAAGCCTGAAGACATTAAGGAGTGTGTCAGTCGACGAACTTTCGCTAAAGCCGTTTCTCATGGTCCAAATTTGCGGAGCAAGAACACATACCATCGAGACATCATACAATCAGCAAAAAAGTAAGAAAGATATGCGGATGCACAGCACTGTGAGAGAGAGAGTTAAAAAAAAAAAGACACTTTGTTCTCTTGAGATGACTGAAGGACATCCAAGAGCATCAAGGCAGGCGATTGCACACATACCCACATAATCGCCAAAGCCACTTCGGTGACTCGGAATCTTCGCTCAACATCCCAGTCTTGCCCGACACTCCCAACAATCGCCGCCGCCCACCCCTCCCCGCCCACTCCGGGCTGGATGTGCAACAGCTCGGCCAAGAATGTGAACGCACATCGCAGACCCCACCATGCGGCTGGGACGGTGCTCAGCGCGCGGCAGATGACCAGAGGCAGATACCATTTGCGATCCACGCCTAGGATGACTGCCACGCGGGGGTGAAGGGCCGACGAGGGGACCGAGTGGCCGTCGCTGTCACTGCCATCCCCGCCGCCGCCGCCGCCACTACCAATGCTGCTAGGGGGTGGAGGGGCCGGAGGGGAGGAGGGCGGGACGACGGCTGCGGGGGCCCCGTCCTTGTCGCGGGAATCCAGCTTTGAGAGAATGGACGTCACGGAGGTATAGAAGGTGGAAGATTGGAGGAGGGATTCGTCGGCGGAATCGGGCAAAGGTATCAGGTCAGACGCAACAGGTGACCGGAATTGTTGAATAGGGATGGGCGCAGATGCAGCATCACGACGACGAGGAGGAGCCAGCCTTGAAATCACGGCATATGCGGCCGTTGCGCGACAGAAAATAGACGTCAAGAAGATAAGAATGGATTTTTCTGGTGTCCCAAGTCGTAGATGGTTGAAATGTTGTGGAGAAGAAACCCCCTGGACCAGAGCTTTTTCTTGTTTTGTTTATGATATGAAGTCGTCGGCGACGATCGTGTTTGAATTTCTGGGGAACTGACGAGCCCGAAGATCAAAGACCAGCTGATCCCACCGGACAAGAAAATTCTAGGCAGGAAACCGACGTCTTTCCAGTTGGACAAGGGCACACGCGATCCAAATCGAAGGCTTGAAGCCAAATCAGCCAAAAGCCAAAGCAAAAGCCCGCGGCGGTGGCGGGCACGTGACCAACCCGGAACTTTGGCGGGTTTCGATTTTCCCCCATTCGGCTCTCTTTTGCGATCCGACTTCAACTTCCTTTTAAGTGCTGCAGAGAGAGAGAGAGGTACACTGCGCGTGCCTATCCCGCTCATCATGGCCTCGTCATTGTCTAAAGGCCCCTTGTCCGCCGCCGTCAGAGCCAGCAGCACCTCTTTCGCTTCCTCCGGTGTCGCATCATGCCAATCTCGTTGCTTTTCGCAGTCCATCCAGCGCGCGGGCGGCATGCGGCCGTCAGAGTCCGTTTCAATCAGACCTCCGCCTCAGCCCAGTACGAGGACTAGAACCAGACAAATGGCGAGATCGGAGCTTCCGCAGGATATTGGACTCTTGCCCGGCACCTACATCCGCCCGTTGTGGAAGGACATGCCGTCCTTTATCCATCAGCGTCATGAACGCCTTCGACTGGAATGGCTGTGGCTGAAGCACGCCGTCCAGAACTTCATTGGGTAGGTTCTGGATCTTGTCGACTTGCATTCTGCTCTTGCTGGGGCCACAGAATTAACTCGATCATACAGAGTCATCGCCTACAGCCGATACTTCAACAAAGGGCTACCCCTCGAATTGAAGGAGCGTCGCCAGATCGCCCAGGACTTTCACCGGCGCATGTTAACTGCTTTCGCAGCGTGAGTGCCCCATATTTGTCCACGGCCTCTGACTCCTCTCAACAACACATGCAAAAATACTCAACTTAATACTTACTTCGTGCCTTGTTCTGCAGGGGCGACACTGCCACCATCAACAAGATTTGCTGCACCGGCTTAGCCAAGGAGCTCAACTCCCGCATCGCCACGCGCCCCAAGAATGAGAAGGTCACCTGGAGCCTGGATTCCTACAACCGCGACGCCTCCACCTTCTGGACCGGTGCCCGCGTGGTGTCGGACCGTGCCACTCAGATTCCCGAGATCCCGGACTCGGGCGTGCGCCAGGTCGTCGTGCGCATCACCAGCAAGCAGTCTGCTGGCAAGTACACGGCGCCCGCCAAGGGACAGGCCGCCGAGGACTCCACCGCGGTGGCTACAAACGAAAAGCAGCGGGACTGCACAGAATACATCGTCATCCAGAAGCTCCGGTGGACGGGTGAGGACACCGGCTGGCGCGTGTGGGGTCACGCTACCCCGACCACCGTCGACGATCTCAGCAGCCCCTTCTTTGCTCCTGGTTTGACCCTTGCCGAGCGTTTGGAGGCTCTGAAGGCGGGTATGGGTCGGTAGATTAAACAAGCACTGGCTCGGTTGCCTCATCCCTACCGTTGATCGTTGTGATCGAACCACAGCCTCCTCCGCAATGGTGGTATCAAAACATTCATGAGCGGAAGACATAGCAACGCGAACCCTCCTCTTCCTGCCGTCCTCACAGCCTAGAGATCAAGTTCGTCAGATGCAACCGTCGCCGGGGCTCCTAACTAAAACCGGTTTATGGATCTCCTCCCTCGTCTTTCCAAAGCAGTTGCGTATCAATACGATAGTCACGAGTCACTCCCCACAGAAAAAGTGTCTGTTGCTGTCTCTTCCTTTTTGTTTCTTGTTGTTTTAGCCGGGCTCTCTCTCTCTCTCTTCCCCAACCTTTGCATCATATACTCTTATTCTTTGTGGTTCTTGGGCTGCTCTCTTGCTCGCCTATCCTCATGTCTTCTTACCTAGAATCTTTTTGGTCACTCGTGCCACCCGTCACTACGCGCTAGATACACCTAGTCAGTGTATTGGGCGACTCCACACTGTTCAATGTATCATATACTATATCCAATCTCAATGTCCTATAAGACCTCATGTGTCGCAAGTAGACACCCTCCGAACACCCATAAGGGAATATGCATAACGGAGTCACCGACGCGATCCTTTACTCAGCTCATCGCTCATCTACAGAGCAAATGGGGATGGTAAACTAGATGAAGAGAGGCAAAACTTCCCCACCCTCGGCGCCGGTATTAGGTAGCGATGGCATATATACACGTACAGGAAATCGAAACTCAACCGGGGGTTCCCAAAGCACAACTTGCACACAGAGGAAAGCAACGAGAACAAAAGCAGCGAATTTGAAAGACATGGGAATAGATTGCAGTGGTATCCGCGTGAGAAGAGGGGAGATGAAGCGAATTCCAAGGATTGGCGGTTCTAGCAGCGGCGAGAGACAAGACGATTCGAGGGGGAAGAAAAGAGTAATCATGTCCGCGCAGCACCATCAGACAAGATCTAATCGTCGTCGAAGATCTGGAACGTGTTGGCGAGAATTGTCTCGATGACACGCACTTGCCAGCCTGCATCGGCGATGTTGCCGCTGGAGCTGGCACCCATGAGGGTTGGTCTGGGTAGACGGGTGTTAGTCCATACAAATCTAGGGAGAAAGAAGGGGGAAGTGGGGAAGAATGGGTGGTGAACGAACCCAAAGCAGATGGCGATATTGCCTGCGTTCATACGGTTTTGGGTATAGTGCTCTTGTACCTTGTTGAGATGCTGTCACATGTTAGGAGACGTGCCTGGGGGGTTAAGCTGGAATGAACGCGGGGCATACGAGAATTAGAGCTCTCAAGGTAGCATAGTGGGCATCAGGCAGGCTGTTCACAAGCGCGTGCAGGGAGTCGCGGCGCTGAATGTCATCATCGAGACCTGGAGATCATTGGTCAGAATTGGTCTTGAGTTTAGTGTTCTGGGAGGGACTCCTTACGAGCTGCGTGAATAAAGTCGGTATAAAATTGCGATGTGAACAATGGGTCAGGTAGATCTCTGAAGAACTGCTTCAACAACCCCGCGACACTATTGACGTCATGGTAGAAGCTTTCTGGGTTGGTGAAGTCCACTTGGGACGAGTCTGCCGTGCAGATGTTAGGTCTTGGTCGTCGGATTGAGGGTTTATAAGACTGACCATTGTCAAATAGTGCCTTCATTTGACTAATATGGGCGGCACTTCCGGACAGACGATAGATGCCCTCCATATCAAGACCGAAAAGCTCAATAGCTTGGAAGCATTGGTAGACAATCATGGGCACTGCTGTCCCATCTCGTGTGTACAGATCCTCCAGTGATACACCGAACACCGGCTTTAGAGGAGGTAAGTGTGGCTGGAAACCATTGCCCTGCGCATGGAGGGGAGTTTTAGCTGGCAGCGCAGGTGGTTGACTTGCAGCGTGGTATGGCTCCAGGGGACCAGAGGAGCTTGTGGGGTAAGGTGGCTGCGGTTGGAATGGCGGCGATCTGAACGAGTCTGGATTTTGATGGTATGGCAATGTCTCAGTAGCTGGCGCCGGCCCCGGAACGTTTGTGGGTGCGGGTGCGGGTGCGGGTGCTGGCGCTGGCGCTGGTGCTGGTGCTGACGTCTGGGTCGATGCTTGCGGAGAGGAGAGGGTCTGTGTGGAAAAGGAGGAAGGGAGGAAAGTCGATTGTCTTTTATTCTGCGTTGTGGGCGCAGAGACAGCTGCCACAGGCCCAGAGCCACCAAGAGTCTTGTGAATATGTCAGCTTGAATTGGTTCAATATCTCAGGTAAATATGCTAACCGGATGCCTTTGATATCTGATCTGTTCTGATGTCACTGCAGCGGGATTGTTCTCGTGGCTAAGAATGTATTCGCGGAAGTCCTTCTCGTTATCGATTTGCGATACAACTTCGTACAAGCTCTTTGGCGCCAAAGCAGGATTCGCCGTGCCATCCTTCAAAGGACTGATTGACAATCCTTGTCCCAGCAATAGCTTCTCGTTGAAAGTTGCTTCCGGACTGTCAGCACAGATACCATGCAAAAGGTGGGGGTGGAGGGAGCATATTGTTGCGCACCAAACTTCTGCAGCTGCAGCGCCAGACCAGAGTCACATTCCGAAATCAACTTTTGGATGTTCGTTACGGCTGTAGGGCGGTGGTTTGAGACAAGTTCCTGTCGAGCCGTCTGCGCAGCTTGGACCTTAGCAGAGTAGTCCGAATCCGCATTCTGTACTTTGCGCGACAGCTCCTCCTCGTGCTGAGCCGAGGACTTGTGGCCCTTCAGACCGAACTTTCCGCCCTGTCTGTCGCCCGTCTTCACACGATCCAACTGTTCAGCGAACGACACATATTTGGCCTTTGCCTTTTCAGCGGATGCTTCAGCCTCCAACACCCGTTTCTCTGCACTCAAGCCAGTCTGCTTCCATTGCTTGCGGCCACGTTCAATATTTGTTGCCAGCTCATTGAGGTCGTCGGCCATCTGCTGCAACGAGACGGCGAATTGAAGCCCATGATCCGCCATGCGCTCATGAAAGCGATTGAGGTCATTGTAGCTGTTACCATAGGTGCCCTGGCGGTTTTCCGTGCGATGAGCCGCGTCGTGGAGCGAGCGGGACAACTTTTTCAAACCTTGCGCATGCTCTTCTTCGAGGCCGGATCGTTTTTTGAGGAAGCTAGAGAAATCCTGATGATCAGTGCAGGGGCTAGTTAGCGCATTTGTGCGATTTTGCACGGAGGTGGTGTGGTTGCGGCGAACCTTGGCGGAGGAGACACTTTGCTTGAGCCGAGTCAGGAGAGTGGTGATACCGATCTATGTGACGGATAGTGTCGCAGTCAGCACAAAGAATAGACTTAGAGCAACAGCTGTGGTTCGAATCTCATACATCCGAATAAATGACTTTATCCATTCTAGCCTTCAATTCCTCCGTCATCGGGGGCGGGCCCGAACGTAGGTCGTTAGCTGCGGAGTGGCCGGCAGAGCCAGCACTGGATGGCGGCGCATCGGGGTCGAGCCCGGAGCCGTGAGGCCCAGAAACGTCTGCCATAGGATAGGATGCAGTAGGATGATTACAAGTTGAGAAGATGAAGTCGCATTGAGGCAGCAATGCAGAAAAGATATGTGTACGGAGTATGTCTGTATGTATGTATGTATGAAGTTGGGGGGATGATTTGCGGAAGCCTAACTAATTATCAGGAGCAAGTCACACACAGTCACTCACTGCCACTCAGGCATCATCATGACCCGATCGAGCAAGGCGGCGGGTGGGGGAGGCTGAGCCAGTGTGGCTTGCAAGTGGGCTGGGATCCCGGAAAGGGTTTGGTGCGGGTGGCCGGTGCTTTTCTCCTGCCAGGCACGTTCCTCCTTACAGTCAGTCCTGGACAGGCTGAAACTCAACTTTGAACTTTCAGGGAGTAACTTAGTTATGTTATGTACGACGGAGTCATAACTTTAAGTCTCTGGACTTATGCTGAGCTACCGAAGCTCCGAGTTTGTTCCGACTCTATCCCGGTTCCACCCAGTGCACCGTACAGTACAGTTCTAGAAGGTTTCAACGGCACGGACGGCCTTAGTAAGGTTGATGAATTTGAGATTTCTCAACATCGCAATTGGGGACGGAGTTAAAGAGAGGGCGATGACAAATGCGGCCCATGTACCGAGGCAGATTGTAAGCAATTCGAATACTCTTGTCTAAGAATTGGGGATTTTCAGTGGGTCAACAATGTGTATATAAGCTCGTATCTTGCCAGAAATACTGAACAGCCCTGAATCCTCAAACCAAAACCAAGAAACCTCTTATCATCACCAGTGTCAATAATCTTTTCGGCACGGCTACCGAATCACCAGTAGAATGGCTTCCACCGATGTGAATGTTACGGTCTTTGCCTATCCTCAACCTGACAAGATCGATGAGGTATGTGTCCTCTCTCTCTCCCCCCCCCTACATATCACTCTGCGCGCGCCTTCTATCAAGTGGCATGCCTCCCACTGACATGATATAAGGTTGCAACCCTTTGGAGTGAGCTTTCACGCCAAGTGCAGGCCAACGAGCCCGACACGCTGTTCTACTATGCCTATGTCAATCAAGATCGAAATGCTATTGTGGTCGTCGAGAGGTAGCTATTTCTCCTGTCCCATTGCCTTACCTGCTCTTGTGTGATAGGAACCTGGAACTAAGACTACTATCATCAACCAGATACCGTAACCAAGAAGCCCTAGTGAAGCACAGTCAAACGCCCTACTATCAGGAGTTCATGGCCAAGGCTGGGGGTCTGATGGCCAAGCCTCTTGAGATCCAGCGGGGTGGTGGTCCATTGCCAGAGTCAACCAAGATTTCCCGGCTGTAGATGGAAGGGATGGGATGGACCCTAATCCCGACAACCTCTGTACATTAAAGAAGTATATTCGGTAATTCTGAGCTGTATCAGCTAAGTTCATCAACAGGACCTCACTCTGTACTCCACATTGATAGTCCCGAATTGGATGGTGGCTAGGTCTGGTGTAGGCGGGCTCACGATGCGAGGGAAAATCCAGAGGTTGGTACTTCTGGCTACTGACTATAAAGTAGTTTAAGGTATAGCTGAGGAACAGGTTACTCCGTACCTACTCCGTACTAGGTAAGGTATCGGTTCACACGTACCGTACGTAGACGCTTGCAGACAAGGAGCTAAGCTACATAACTTCGTCTTCTGTACTCCGTACTTCGAGTCGGCATCCGATCGGGACGCTAATCGAGCTATCCCCGTCGTTGCAGCGTACATATCCAGAGCCGATGCTTAATGATCTAATATTAGACGGAAGGATGGCGGTCTGCGCCTGATGCTGCAAAAGGACCGAACTAGGTGATGATGTATAGTTAAGGACTTTTGTTGTTCATTTCTTATTCATTTCTTGGCTTGTGGTCCGTGAGCCATGTCGATATAACCAGTCATAGTGTCAAGGGTACTGCTGCGTATGCTGTATGGTCGGTTACAACAAAATGAAGATCAAGTATAGGAATAGCCACGGGAGGGTGTGTTGACAGCCAGCTGGGAAGAGACACAGAAGAACCGAAGATAGCTGGACCCCTGAACCGGCAAAGAGTGCAAGCGCCGTCCCTTGGATCCCAACGGGACTATCCATTCAATTCCAGAGACTGCGTCTTCTGACGGAGGAGAAAATCATGGCTGTCGACAAGAGAAGAGGCTGATATTGGATACATGCTTGTGATTGGTGTTGGCTTCCCAGCCATCGCGAGTATCTCGTCCAATTCCAGCTTCATGATGATTCCAGTCGTAGGATGGATTGGATCAATCCCAACCGACTAATTTGACTAGTCAGTCGTCGCCTACCCATGGCTGGCAGGCAGGTAGGCTGCTGGTTGTTCTTCTTTCTTCTCTTATTCTCTCTCTGTCTCGATTCTCGTGGGGGACAATTATATCCAGTGCCAGCATCAAACATCAAGCACCAAACATCAAGCACCAAACATCAAGCATCAAAGCATCAAAGCACCAACGCATCTATTGATCAATAGTCTCATTGTTCAAGGAGTGACTACTTCGCCTGCTTGCTTGCTTTAGTGTATTCATCCGTCTGTTGGAAGTTCTGCCTCAGTCTGACGTGAGTCTCTCTCTCTCTCTCTCTTCAGTATCGTGCTATCAGTTGTTGTTCTTGTTTCCCCTCTTCCTTGAAGGTCCCTTTCCTACACTTTGTCTTCCTCTTTCTTCTTGTTCTCCCCCCCCATTCCTATTACCCACTTCATCCACTAAACCAAATTCGAATTGATTGATCGATCAATCCCCCCCCCTCCCCTCCCCTCCTCTCTCCCCTCCTCAATCGACTCCCTCACTCTTCCTTTACATTTCTCACCCGCTGATTCACACCTCTCTTTATTTCAGTCACCTCCTCTCCACCTCCCTCCCTCCCTCCCTCCACCACCTCCACCACTACAATCTTCTTTCCTAATCCTTCTATTTTCATCCTTCCATTTGGATCTTTTCCTTTTTCTTTTATTTGCCTGCCATTGTTCCCTCTTACTTTATCTGCATAATTTCCTGTCTCGCACCTTTGGCGGTGTATTTGTGTCTTGTGTGTTGTGCCGCCGTTATCTCCGTTGTGCATTGCGAATCCTCCCTGACCGGTTCAATTTGCCTTTCGGTCTTCAGCAGATACCCACGCTACTTGGTTACACGTCCGCCCGTTAAGCCACGACGCAACCCACTCCCCCCGTTGACCCCTTTGAATCCTCGAGCTTTCGTGGAGTCGAACTCGCCACTACCATCGATCTGTCGTGACCGTCGCAACCGTGTCTATTTTTGTGTTCATATACCCTCTAGAATTATAAGCGAAGATGGCGACAGGACCTGCGACTCAATCCCTGAAGGTCAGCTCCTGCCAGCGACATCCACCATGTTGCTCAACTGAGCTGCAGCTAATCGTTGGAGTGCTGAGTTACAGTGTGTGGTAACAGGTGACGGTGCTGTTGGAAAAGTACGTGGTTTTCCTCAGTTCCCACTTCTGCTGGGTAACTTCTGCTGGTCATCCATTGCTGACGCAGCGCCAGACATGTCTCCTGATTTCGTACACAACCAACGCCTTCCCCGGTGAATATATACCTACCGTGTCCGTGATCCCGCTCTTTTGGAGGCTCTCGTCTGATACGAATACCCTGTTAACCCGGCCCACAGATTCGACAACTATACTGCCAGTGTAATGGTAGATGGCAGACCGATCAGCTTAGGACTTTGGGATACTGCTGGACAGGAAGATTATGATCGTCTTCGCCCGCTGTCCTACCCGCAAACCGATGTGTTCCTGATTTGTTTCTCCATTGTTAGCCCTCCCTCGTTCGATAACGTGAGAGCCAAGGTACTTTACCCCTGAGAGGCTATGCTCGCCTGCCCCCAAGTCGCATGTCAAACACCTGGACTGATCCTCCTGTAGTGGTTCCCCGAAATTGAACATCATGCTCCCAACGTACCCATCATTCTTGTCGGTACCAAGCTCGATCTGAGGGACGATCGGGCCACTCTAGAAACTTTGCGCCAGAGGAAGATGGAGCCCGTCTCCTATGAACAGGCTCTGGCCGTGGCCAAGGAAATCCGAGCACACAAGTATTTGGAGTGCTCCGCTCTCACACAGCGTAACCTGAAAAGTGTATTCGACGAGGCCATTCGGTATGTCGTTGTTGTTTGCAAACTGCCCCCGCGCTAGCGTCTCGAGCTCTAACCAGTTACCCTCAGTGCTGTCCTTAACCCCCGGCCTACGGCGAAACCGAAGAACAAGAAATGCGTCATTCTGTAGATCGTCTCTCCCTCACTGCATCTTCCGACCTATAATATAAATAACTAATTCGGCGTCTGGGTTTTGGCTGTAACGCCCCGCATTTTGCTGGTTTTGGCTGGTTGTCCTCCCTCCCGTTCCTTGTTTTGGTGCCATGATCCTGAAGTCTTCTTTTCTCCATTCCATCCAGGTTCAGGATAACCTTACCCTCTGTGTCTTCTTCCCCCCCGTCCTAATGCAGTACAAAGATGTAACATGCCATTGCAATACCACTCTACAAGCGTCTTTTTTGAATTGACCACAGCCTTCAGCGTCTTCCCTTCCTCAATATCGGAATATTACAAGCCATGGGTGAGCGTACGAGTTTGGATTTGTGTGCAATGCGAAAGATAGTTAATAGTCAAGCCAGAGCCGTGTCATATACAAAATTGGTCTCTTCAAGTCTATGATCCTGCTTGACACTTTCCAAGTATGCACATAAGAAACAGAGAACAGAAGGATATCTTTCAAGCGAGCACAAAAAACACAGGATTTCTTTTCAAGGATTGGCCCAGGCTGATCTAGATGATCGCTATCCGGCGAGGAGTGGATCCTAAGCCATACGGTTTCTGCGACTGGGGTGGACGCCCGCAAAAGCATCTTCCCCGGTCTCCTCGGTGTGAGCTCTGCGCTCCTTCTCCTTGGTGATCTCCTTGGCATTCCGCTGTCTCTCTTCGAAAAGCTTCTTGTTCTTTGCCTCGATCTTCGATGTCCGGTATTCCGACTTGCCGCCACCGCCGGCGCTGCAGTAAGTCAGCATTTCATCGCATCCTAACATTGTTCAGTGGCTTATTGGCACTTACGTCAACTCCACATTGATCCGCCGCGGCGGGTACTTCTTGTCATCAAACATAGAGTGGTGGTAAAGCTTAAGGCAGGTCTTCATGCGATCGTAGTTGTCGAACTCGATGAACCCAAAGCCACGACACTTGGTCGGCTTGTCCTTCTCGGTTGCGACGCGGACGGATACCGGCGTAATCTTCTCGAAATGCGCGGTCAAGGATTCGCGGTTAGCGGAGTAGGGGAGGTTGCCTATCACAAATGTATGAGCGCACGTCGCCAGCAGCCATCATTATCTCAAGCATACCGACGAAGCAAATGAACCTGTTTCCCTTCTGGCTCGATTCCTCTGCTTGGGCGGGCTCCTCCGCTGGGGCCTCAGCGGACGGGGTTTCTGTTTGGACGTTCGTGTCGTCCTTCTTGGCCTTCTTAGCCTTCTTGTCCTTCTTCTCTTTCTTTTCCTTCTTCTCCTTCTTCTTCTCCTCCGCCTGGGGTTCCTGGACATCCACATCCATGGCCTCGGATGCTTCCTTTTCTGCCTCGTTGTTTTCGGCGGCCTCCGCATCGTCACTGGACTTTTCCTTCTTTTCCTTCTTTTCCTTTTTCTCTTTCTTTTCCTTCTTTTCCTTCTTCTCCTTCTTCTCCTTCTTGTCCTTCTTCTCTACAGCAGCAGCCTCTTCAATTCCGACTTCCTCAACGACATCCTTGGTCTTGCGCTTCTCCTTTTTCTCCTTCTTCTCGTCGCGCTTGGCCTTCTTGCCCTCGGGCTTCACAGCCTCCTCGGTGAGCTTGCGCTTCTTGTCGCTCATGTTGATCTGGTAGGAAATGGGGATGTTTTGAAAAAAAAAAAATTTGGATTCGAGGTGAATAATGGTTTAAACCAGAACTGGACCAATGCCAAAAGATAGCCAAAAATCTCGGAAATTTCCTTTTTCTGCCGGGCGGAGATAGCTAGCGGTGAGAGCAAGCGGAGCGATAGATGTGTGATGCCTGAGGTGTCAGGTTCGAACCATAGTTCCTCCGCTTCGGTCACAACTACCGGTTCCACATACATACATTGCTGCCTTCAAAATGGACTGCTTTGTCCTCGTCCTCAAAGACGAGAAACAGCTTTTGCTTCAACGACAAGGCCAAGTCCTTCTATCTGCACCCTATCATATGTCAGTCAAACTCTTCGTCTCAACTAACACCAATGTAGATATTTTCTGATGCAGTCGCTGCTTCCATCCGGTAGTTGGCGCATAACCTGTGAATTCGATCATGATATTACTCACTCAGGGCGTGCTTGCATTGATTATGCTGGATATGAATCCCTAGCCGCTGTCGCTTGTCTCGAGGCTCGATCTCATCGGTTCACAGCTTGAAGCTACTATCAGGAGATGGAAGATTGGATGAGACTGAAACTCGGAGCTGGAACAATGCCAGCATGCTTCCAATCGATTTGAAACCCTTGAAAATGATGCTATACTTTAGATGAGACTTCTGAGATAGGACTTCTGAAATTGCGGAAACCAAAAGCATATCAACTTCAAGACATGCCATCGTCCTTGAAGTCGAAGCTTGCCCGAAGACAGTGAGGACCCCATTTACAGATGTCGAAACAAACACATCAAAGGCCACCCTTCGTGTCTATCGGGTGCTCTATGAATGTTCCCAACCCAGAAGTGATGGTGAAAGCAGCCTTCCCAATACTACACTCTTTCAATCTCACTGTTAAAACAACGCGGTCAAGAGTAACAATTTAAGCCTGTTGGTATAAAAAGGAATGACGGACGATCTTCATATGCATTGCGAACCAAATAAATCTAGGATTTCTTTAATGGCCAAGGACATCATTGTCTCATTCCTTGTTCCCACCGGCATACAATACCCTTTGTTGCTATAATGCAGTTTTGTCTTGTTTTGGAGAAGATCCATATAAAATGCTTGTCAGGTCTAATCCATCTGCATTTACAAGCCTCGCTTCGTCGCTAAAACCACCTTCACTGTTATCTTCTTTTTCAATTATAGCAATGCTTGGTGTCACATCTTTGCCTCCGGAACTAATCTGCATGATGGCTGATTATCTGAATGCAGAGGACTTGCTCTCTCTCCGTGCTGTTTCTAAAGATATGAAAGCGTGCACAACCAAGGCTCTGGAGCCCGTATGGACTCGTTCACTACGCGTTATACACACGGATTTCTCCAATCAGAGTCTCTCTCGGATTCATCGAATTGCGGAGAACGACGGGTTGAGAGACTACGTTAGAATCATGAGGATTGAGCCACCCTTCGGTCCTCTAACCCCCCTTCATAGAGTGACTATGTATAACCTGATCAAGGATCCTACCTCGATTCCGAAGATCAAGACACTCAAGGATGACCTCGTGCACGCACTCAAAAACTGCAGGAGCTTTGAACTCTGCCTCAGCTGGAAGGAAGGTAACCTCACGTACCTAGATAGCGACGACGTTCTTAGCATCCTTTTCCACATTTTCGTCGAGGCTGAGTTCCCCGTGGAAAATCTGGCCTTGTACACTCATCGGTATACTGAGGAATCTCAGAGGCCCAAAAGAGCCCGTCCTTACACCCGAATGCACAAGCAGCCCAACCTTGCCCGTGCCTGGACTCAGCTCACTACCTTGCAGGTCACGCAGCCCTACTTCTTTCACCTTGCTAATTACCTCTACAGGATTCTGCCCCAGATCATACAAACTGCGCCTCGGCTCGAGAGACTGATCATCATTGGCAATGCCATCAGCGGCCAGTCCAGGGATCTTGTCTCACTGATCAAGAACGTCAAACCTCTGGCGGAGATCAAACATCTTGAGATCCATCGTTCTGGTATCGCTCTAGAGGACATTCAAGAGTGGTTGCAGTTGATCGGTGGCCATTTACTGTCGCTGACCTTCTCTGGGTGCTTCACAATCACGCCCGTTCCATGGGCTACGTTCCTCGGCTGCGTAAAGAATAATTGTCCCGACTTGGAGGCTGTCACCATTGAAGATATGCTCGTTGGCCTTGAATGCCTAACAGTACAGTATGACGGTGAGGGGTTGGCTGACGCGCTGGATGATATGATGCGGAAGTTCGAGGAGGCGGATTGGTATTGATGACCTGTTTGTTGAGGTTATCTTTCACATACATATACACTATCTATCGTCTATATATACAAGTTCTTATTTGATTTATCTCTCATATAATAACTGTATAGTCGTAATCAACTGGGACAGAATCTGCACAGTTGGCTTGGCAGCACCCAGAACTTAATACATAATATCAAGTGAAGAGAATAGGATTAGACCGCAGGACAAACGCCAACACCCTTTTCATGTATGTACAGTCGCTGCTTTTTTTTTTTTTTTTAGAATACCATGATTTTGATTCCCTTCACCTTTGCACCGTAACGATCCTTGAACTCAGGCCGCGTGAGCAGCTGAAGCAAAGGGAGGTGCGTCTCCTTCATATCAAAAATGCCGCGCTGCTTCTGGTCAACGTAAGAGCCGTCGATGACAATGCGTTCCAGTTCGCCGAGTTTAAGAGACCCTAGAATAAATTAAAATTGTCCTAACGTTTGTAAAGCATGAGAGATGAGGTCGTACCTGAATCGATCAAGTCCGAGATGCGGGCTGGGGTACCGGCTCCAATGCCCATGCTATAAGCGGCAATTAGTTGGTCTATCTGTGGTTGATAAGACGATAGATTGGAAGAGTCACATACCGTGCCCGCTCCAAGAACTGCTTGGCTTCTTCCAGCTTGATGTGCTTAGCGAACAACTTGCCTACGATAGATTCCTTGTTCTGGAATGAGCGGAGGGCTCGGACGACATCGGCGGCCCGGAGACCAGCACCGGCAATCACCAGCGTATGGGGGGTTCCCTTCTCCTCAGACGATTTCGACAGATGCGCGCCCTTCTCGGGACTGAAGGCTTTCAGGAAAGCGGGGAGGTTTTCAAGGTTGCGGGCAGATTCGAAGGACGAGGTATCGAGGAATGCGGAGTCTGGGAAAGAAGCATTAGTATATGGATTGTCCCCCACGTCGTCCAGAACTGAAAAAGGCTCCATACCCGGCACGGAGAGATCACTCAGCTCAACAGCAGTGATCTCCTTGTTATGCCGGCGAACCTTCTGGGCGAAGTGATCGGCCAACAATGGACCGTCCATCTTTCCGATCGCTTCATCGATGCTGCCTTTGACCTCTGTTGCCTTGGTCTCTTGGGGCTGCTTGGGCTGCTTCGGCTTGTCCTTGTTGTCCTTGCCCTTACTTCCACCCTTCTTCTTATCGAACTTGCCCTTGCTGTTGTCCTTTCTCTTCTTGTTCTTCGGTCCATCCGAGGCATTGTTGCCAGTCGACTTGATCTGCTGCTCCGTCTTGGAGTTGGATTCCTCGGCCTGCCTCTTGCGCTTTTTGTCCACCTTGGCGGCCAGGCCGGAAGGCTGTGCGTTTCCGTCGGACATGATTCAGATCTGAAAATTGAAACTTGCTTTACGGCAGAGGAAAGCCTTCACAGGGCTGCGTAACTCGATCGCGATGTCTCTTGCGCCAACTTTTTATGCTGAGTCAGCACGCTCTTATCGATAAGATAAACAAGTTCCACGAATCAGGTCCGAACTCACCCAGTTTGCTTGACCGCCTTCTGTTTCGAGAGTATCTTCTGCCGCGCGGGCGTCGTCACATTTGGGCGCGGTTTCACCTCATCCGCATTTACTTCAACGACGCGCTTTCCCCTCACGTCTTCTACCAGGCATCGTTTCGGTCGAGCACATGTCGCAATGGTCATCATTTACTACTAGAGCTTCTCTGAATAGATGCTGCTGCTGTGCTTCTGGTCGACATATGAGATATCCCCTAGCTTAAGTGGCAATCCTCCGCAACAATGTCGACTACTCCCAACCCCCGGCGCCGGTCACCGCGACTGTCCGAAGTTTCGGAATCCTTCTCCCCAATTGGAGACACCACACTCACACAGGTACGGCCTCTCCATGCCTCAGAAAGAGTATATACGCTTATTATTAGTACTATATACACAGCTTTCGCGCCTTCCAATCCCAACCAAAAACCTCCTCACTCCCAGCCGACACGCGACGTCAACTACCACTCCATCCGCCAACAGATTTACACCGCGTAACAGAGGCGTCGGCGCGCCTGCCACCCCATTCAGACTAAATGCAATTCAGCGACGTAATGCGAACACTCCTGGCCGAGATCGCAGGAAGAGCGGACGAATCCAACGGGAAACAACATTCGATATCCTTCGGAATCTGGGAAAGGGTGCGGTCCCCTCCTTTACATACCGATGCTATTTCATCCTCTCACGGATTTACTCACGAATGTGCGAAACCTTTTGAGATAAATCCGGCTGACCTGAAGTAGCACTTGCCCCGACTACTCAACCGATTCGTTCGTCACCCAGTGAGAAACCGGAGCCCGTGGCCCCGGAGCCTGTCGAGCCTGAGAAGGACGAGTTTGAGATCCTTGACAATGAACCCGAGTTGGAACGACCCCGGCTATCCTTACCACTAGAGGAAGTTTATGAGGTCGATGAGGAACCGGAGATGCGTCCTCCGAGGCTATCCTTGGCGATCGAGGAAGATGATATCACGGTTGAGTACCCGAGGCGAGCTGCAAGCGAACTAGACAGGGGCAGACTGTCAATGATGGGTCCGCGGCTGAGCGAGAATTTTGGCGATGCGACTCGGTTGGACAGCGACGATGAGGATGACGAGGATGATACGGGGCTTGTGCATGGCGATGACGCCGGAGACGAAGCAGACGAGACCATTGATAGCCAAGGGGCCTTTGATCGAGGGTGGGCCAAGTCTACCGCACGTGGAGCGTCATTTACATAGCTGATATTTCTTACGCAGGGGAGACACCGAGGACTTGGGCCGGTTCAACTTCGAGTTCAATTTTCCATCGCCGCCAGCCCCTGGGGTCGGCGATTTGGACCAGAACGCACCAATGCACGATGATGAGGGATTTGAGCTTCCACCAGTGGATATGCCCCTAGATATGGACGTGGGATCCGGGGATGATGATGATGTCAGTGATGTGTCCGACGCTGGCGGAGACTTTGGCATGGAGTTTCCAGCCCCGGAGTCTGTTGCAATGAGCGAGAGCCGAAGTCCTGGGATTGTTGGTGGAGGTCTGCGGGAGGAGGATCAGTATGCCCCTGGCGTCAAGCAGAAGAAGCTCTCCCGTCACGGTATCCCCGTTCCTAATCTACCCGTTGGTGTTGTGAAGAAGTTGGCCATGCGCTTTGCGCGGGCACGGCACGGGTCCAAGGCGAAAATCAGCAAGGAGACTTTGGCGGCGATTGAACAGGCCTCGTCGTGGTTCTTCGAACAGGCCAGTGACGATCTGGCAGCATTTGCCAAGCATGCTGGGCGCAAGACGATCGATGAGAGCGACGTTACAACTTTGATGAGGCGGTGAGTACCAAATCGCTACGATTACGACGGGGTACTAACTCCTTCAATTAGACAACGGCATCTGAGCAATGCCACTACAGTCTTCTCTCTTGCACAAAAGCATCTCCCGAAAGAGCTGCTGCAGGATATGAGATTGGCGATGCCGCCATGAATGGTCGGCACATATACATAAATCTTTCCTAACATACACGCCCCACGCGACAAGCCCTGGAAGGTGCAGATCGACACCTCGAACACACCTACTACCAGTTACGATTCAACCGGACACGACGAGTGGCCTCGTTCGGTCTCTTGCGAACGATCATCCAGAACATAATGGTCGTTGCCAGCGACAAGCCGTACCTAGAGCGAATGAGCAGGGATTCATCGGGGATAATTATGCCCTGGCATTGCGAAGCTGGACAAAACTCACCATGTGAAGATATACTGGCTGTGGTTATTGCGCAAGTTAACCTCGGCGGCACGACCGATGGGAATACCCTTGGCCTCCCGATTATAGGACTCGACCAGATCCGGCACTATAATTAAAAGGAACAAACAACGTTAGCTCCAAAATACCTTTTCTCCACTGCACATAGAACACGTAGGGGGGGGAGGCAAAACATACCCATAGTCTGCTCAATCCACACCGGCTGACTACCGGTCAACTCAGCCATCTGCTGGATATCTGGGAAGTAGAACTTGCCCTCGTGGGGCACATTGTCCGGCGTAAACATGTTCTTCTTCCACGGCTCGCGCAGCAGGCCCTCCACCACGACGTCTCCGCGCGGCAGCGCCCCCTCCTGGTCCCGCACCTTCTGATCCTGCTGCTTCCGCGAGATCCAGCCGCGGTTCACGAGGATGGTCGACTGGCCCTCGCCGCGCTCCAGCGGCGTCACCACGAAGAACCCGTCCGTGCCGTCGTGCATGCGCGGCCCCACCAGCATTTCCTGGTCGTGGCGGAAGCGGCCCACCGTGTAGACGCGGCGGTAGTCGAACTCGGCGATCGCGGCGGGGTCGATCCGTGGCGGCAGCGGCAGCGGGTCCTTGACCAGGCGGTCCTCGAACGTCGCGATCATTTTGGTCTTGCGGTCCAGGCGGTAGATTTGCCAGGTGCCGAGGCCGAAGGAGATGATGGGGATTAGGGCTGTTCTCGTGTCATTCTGGTTAGTAATTGGTGATCTATTGGGGGAGAGGAATTCGGGGTCTTGATGGGTTAAGGGCGGGGGGAAGGGGAGAAGGGGAGAAGAAGGGCAACGCGTACCGAGAATAATCAACCCCGGTCCATGCTTGTTGCCGGTCCGGACGATCTTCGCGGGATTGTCGACGACGGAGAGCCAGGCCGGATCGTCGGCTAGTTGATTGCTGTAGGATCGGGTTTGCTGCTGCATGCGACATCTGGTGCAGATTGAGTCAAAAGATTTGGGCTGGAAGAAGGCGTTCGTTCGGGGGGTGCGGCGGAGGGAGGAGGAGGAGGAGGAGGAGGAGGAGGTTGATGAGGAAGATGCGGCTGTTGTTGCTGTTCGTGAGGCGGGTCGCAATGATGTGGCGCTCCGGTGGAGAGCGGAGATGAGGGACCGCATGTTGACAGGTATAAAGGTGCCCTCCTCGCAATACAATTGTATACCTGGGCTCGAGGGTTGGTGGGTGGTAGTGGGAGGAGAGATGCGGAGAGAAGGAAAAGAAAGTTGAGGGAGTGATTGAGTGGAGCGTCAGTCCAGTTCCGCTTCCCGCCTTGTCTTATCGATTGTCATCTCCGCGCTCCGAACCTCTCCACCCACTCACTTCCCGACCCCCCGTTTGCTACTCTCCATGCTTGTGATTTTGTTTCCCTGCTTTTTTGCTTGACGACTATTGGTATCTCTTCCTGAAACCATGTTCTACTCGGGGACTTTACAGGAGGGAATTGTCTCGGCTGTCAGCCAGGCTAAGGCCGTCGTATGTTTCGTTCGAGGTTCGTTTGCTTTGCTTTCATTGTTTGGCGAGCTGTCGTTTCTCCGCATTGCTGGCACCGCCCCCTCCAACCACTAAGTACGTATTCGGAGGACCAGAGCTGACGCCGGACCCAGATGATGAGCAGACGAGCAATACATGGGAGGACAACTACTTCACAGGGGATGAGGAGGTAAACAATAGCTGCTCCATCGGATCTATATCGCGCCCCCTCCGCTCACGGCTTAGTTCGCCCGGTTACTCGAGACAAGAGCTGTGCTCTTGCGCATCACCAAGGATAGTCAGGAAGCGGGATTTCTGACTTCTTTCTGCCCCATTGTCAAGTTTCCGACGGTTGTTGTCATCAAGTACGTGCGGAGGTGTATCTGTGCTTGTGTTGTCTGTTAGTTTTATTGACGGTCTGGCAGGAATGGCATGCTGTGCGACTATCTCGTGCCGGAGATTTCCGAGGAGGACTTTCGCAGTCGCCTTGCTGCTAAGCTGAATGAGAGTCAGGCCACTGCTCAACCGGACGTGACTGGTGCGTCTGGGGATGCTATGGAGGGTACTACTCTGGGGGGTACTGCAAGTGAGCCTCCTGTGCCTGTGACTACAGCTGCTGCGCCGGCAGCTGAACCTTTGACTGCCACTTCACCGACTTTGGCCTCTGGTGCGAGCGAGAACCGCGACTCGAGTAGGCGCGAGGGCAAGAAGAGAGTGGAGGATGCGCGATTATCCCAGGTCACGACCCCGGCCGCGACACAGAAGAAGCCCACCGTAGCGCCCGAGCAAGCCGACAAGGCCATCACTTCAGAACAGCCACCCCGCAAAACCCTATCGAAGCCCGTCGCCTCGACTCCCAAACCTACGCCCCCATCCCCTCAGATCGATACACCCCAAGTCCAGCAGCCCCCCTCGCCCCCGACACAATACCGTCTCCAAATCCGCCTCTTTGACGGAAGCTCCGTCCGCTCCAGCTTCTCCCCGTCGCAAACCATCCGCGCCGACGTCCGTCCCTGGCTCGACACGCAAATGCTCGAAGAGAAGCGTCCCTACAACCTCAAGCACATTCTCACTCCTCTCTCGAACCACACCCTGACGATCGCCGAGGAAGAGCAAACCCTGGCAGAGCTCGGCCTAGGCTCATCCGCGAATCTTGTCATGGTGCCCATCAGCACTTACACCGACGCTTACTCCGCAGCCGGATCCAGCCTGCCCGCTCGCGCCGTGTCCACCGCGTACGGGCTCTTCTCCTCCGCCGTCGGCACCGCCACAGGCTTGGTCGGTTCCTTCTTGGGGTATGGATCGGAGGCTCAGAATCCGGGCTCTGCTCAGACGGGATCACCCTCTACCAGTGCCCCTTCGACGAGTGATGCGGACCGAAGGGCTCGGCCTGCTGGCACCTCGAACCGCGGCCCGATCATTCGGACGTTGAGAGACCAACGTGATGAGCAGGAGAATAATCAGTTCTATAACGGGAACCAGGTAAGCACTGCCTTCATTGGTCTCCGTTGTGGCTACGTCCGTGCATTGCTAATAACGAGCCCCGTAGTTGAACTTCCAACCACGTAGGGATGATACGGATCGCCGATGAGGGTCTGTGTACTGTAATTTGAGCTCAGTCGTCGAGAGATTGGATCACATGCTTCGGATGTATGTAGTATAGCAGCGATAGCACTATCTAGTTTACTGGGACCTAAGAAACACGAGACTACGAGACTACAGGGAGTATGTCTATGAGGAGTGGAGATGTTTCTTTTTTTTCCCGCTGATTTTCGTTCTTCGTGCCTATCGCTTTCGTGATGATTGATCTAGATATACAAGGGTAATAATAGTAGTAGTGGCAGTCATGATGATGATGATGATGGTAGCCAGTCTTCAACGCCATGCAGAAGAAAAGGAACAAAACAAGCAGATGATAAACCATCCCTCACAAGCCCTGGCCCCGATGATACAGGATCTTGAGATTGATTCCATTCCATTCCACACGGCAAGGGAAACGTGGCTAGAAAAAGAACACATTCCCCAACACCAGCACTCCAGAAAAACAAGCTGGAAGAGAAACCCGATGTAGGAGATGTGAAGGGGGGTATGGTATGTGTGTTTTTGCGTTATGCATTCGAAACCAACGTGAAAAGAAAAGCAGCATAGATCGATCTCTTACGTCAGAGATGTCAAATCCAACGGATATATGGATTTAGATTGACTCTTCTCTCGACAAATCTAGTACTGCTTGGCAGCAGCCTGGCAGGCTTTCTGGAATGAAGTGTTAGCTAACATGTCAATGCTTTCTCCCCGCTATCACAGCGGTATCTACCGAAAGGATCTCGGAAAATACGAACCAGCTGATCCAAGTACCATCCACAGATGGACATGTTACCCTGGTTCTCGTCCATGCAGCGCCGGAAGTTCTGCACGTCGGTGGCGCAGGCCGGGTTCTCCCAGGAGCTGTTGGTGGCGTTGCCGGCCCAGAGGGCGTTGTCCATGGCCTGGGGCTGGGCGGGGGGAGCCGCGGCCTCGGTGGCCTCGGCGGGCGCGCTGGAGCCGCCGCCGCTGAAGAATCCGCCGATGGCGTGGCCGATGGAGGATCCGACTGCTACACCACTGTTCTTGGTCGTTAGTTTGGAGGTACAAGGGTTTTGGATGAGGAACAGCGGGCGAAGGGAGTTGGGGTTTTGCGGCTGGTCGTTTTGGGGTTGGGGGCAACCGGGCAACCGGGCACCAGGGTCACTTACGCAGCGGTGGAAGCCATCTGGCCGAAGAGACCGGGGCCGGAGCTCTGGACAGGAGCAGCCATCGGGGCCGGGGGAGCAGCAGCAGGGGCAGCGGCGGGAGGGTGGGCGGAGGTCGAGTGAGGCTGGCTGTGCTGCTGCTGGACAGGAGCGGCCGGTCTGGCGGGTGCGGCAGTAGGTCTGGTGGGAGCGCTGCGCGCGGGGGTGGGAGCGGCACCACGGCGTTGACGAGGCATTTTGGTCTGTGTGGGTGGGTGGGTGGGTGGGTGGTGTTGAGGTTGGTGTTGAGAAGGAAGTGTTGCTTTGGATGGCAATCGGGGGAAAGATTGTCTTTATGGAAAAAGAACAAGCTCGAATCCCCGTCGGGCGGAGAAAGTCCCAAACCTCCGATGCTGTGCTCATTTCGCCACTGCTGATTGGTGCTGTTCCGCTTATGTCAGCTGCCGGTCCGGCTATTCGGGACTTGTTCTTGATTGGTCGAGTCCTCGGCCACTTCAGGTACAAGCAAAATGAAGATTTATCATGTGATTATCGATTGACATTGGTTTAACACCTACATATTGCTAGCAATATTCGAATAACAATTATATGGAAGGCCCATCGACTCTATGTTATTGGGAGAATTTACAGCGGTGGACGGAAAACTTCGACTGAAACTCCTTGATCGCGGCCTATATACGGAGTTATCCATCGATCGAACACCCCTTATCTCCGGCCGATGGTCCCCCATGAGTCACCGCCAAACATGCCCATGATCCACACGGCTGAGTATGTCTATGCAACCAGATCAAGATCTGATGTTGCCACTGTTCGGCTGTGGTGGAACCTTGCAGTAAGTGGTGGAAGAGTCCAAGCTTTGCGCCGATTCCACTGGCGCGCTGTAAGAGGTACAGCTGCTGGCTCCCACAATTCTCAGGAACGGAATACCCGGTCAGCCTTGCGCATCACATGGGTTAGTCAGGCGCCGGTCTGAACGATAGCCTCCGTTGAGCCCTCCTAGTTTACCCATGCTATAGGCGTTGAGGGCTCCCTTCGTAGCGGGGTATATGACACTCTAGAAACAGACCCAAATGCGACTCGGTCAACGATCAAAAGTGCTAGTTGTGATTGGTGAGCAGAATAGTGCTTAGCCATGTAGAGCGGACCAGCCGATCACAATGCTAAGCCATGTGCACTGTCAAAGATCCAGAGGCTACCTCATTTCAGATTCTTCACTTTGCGCATGTCGCTCTTCTTCTTCCGCCTATCCTTCTTGACTTCTTTGCGTTCTTCTTTGTTGAGTTTCTTCCGCTGCTTGTCCTTGTTCTTCTTCTTGTCGTCGTTTGGTTGCTTCTTCTTGCTCTTTTGGGTGGTCGGCGCGGGTTGCTCGTCCGCGGCCTCGCTTTCGGCATCAGACTCGTATTCGGATTCGTCGGAGGCAGTCTTGGTCGGTGGGTCGGAGGTTGAGGAGTCTCTCTTCGCTAGGAGTGATGCCTTGAGCTGCGCGCGTGCTCTTTCCTTCGCCTCTCGCTCTTTGCGCTCCAGGTCGAATTTGTCATTTCCAGCCTAGCCACGAGTCAGTACTGCAATACTAAGAGAACTGTCGATGAATGAAACCTACAAGACCGTGTTTGATGAAGCGACCGGCGGCCTCCTTGTCGAGCTTGAGAGTGCGTTGCTCAGGTCCCGTCTCCAGCTCTTTGATCTTTTCGAAGTATTGCTTCACTCGGGTCAATTCTCGAAAGACCGGGTGTTCCTTAGCGTTGACACCATGCAGACGCAGCCAGGCTATAAGGATATTAGTACATACGCAGCTATCGCCGAGGAATTGGTGACATACAGAAGATGAGAGATTCTAAAGCATAAGTGACCAGGACATGGAATTTGGCTTTGTCCAGTACTGGAAGATTGCTCGACGTTTTCACGACGGAGCCGTCCAACACAGGCTGGAGAATCTCCTCGAGGTCATCAATGTTGTCGTCTAGCTGCTCAAGCAGCGGAAGTAGATCTGCAGCCTCCATGTTGAGCGCGGTTCTTTGTATGCTGAAAGGAGAAATCCCGAAAATCTAGTACAAGATGGTGATTTTTTTCGGTGATGAAGGCGGTGAGCGAAGCGGTGGCGGGACAAAATTGTCCGCCTCTTACTTCCTTCGCATCTTTCACTTACCTTTCATCTTCTATTCTTACAAAACATACTGACAGGCTCGGCTGATATTGTCATGCTCGGAAATACCTAACTCTACCTTTCTAGATCTTGCCTGCAACCATACGTCGCTCAGGGAGGAGCACGACCACCGTCTCCACAGAGGGTACAACCCCCGGCCCCCCGGTTTCTCAAGACCGCTGTTCCGCGGCAACTTCTCAAAGTGTCGTACATATTTGGTCGCAGTCCGCTGTGGCGGACTGGATTATATACATCATGCGTCTCACCGGTATTCAGAGCACGGCAGTTCACTGTCAGTTGCCTCATGTCCAGCCCGACCACTAAGCCCGAGAAATCGGGCAACGGCGGTTCCAAACATCGGCTTTCAGGGCGCATACATATCGTGGGTAGTGACAATAGCGCTTTATTTCTTGCGCACTCATTAGCAAGTCGACGGTCTGTACCGCCTATCACCCTGCTGTTGAACGATTTCACCACCTACCAAAAGTGGATGGCTGGGAAACAGAGCATAAGCTTGCAAGCGAATGGATTGGAGGACATCAAAACCGGCTTCGATGTGAACATCCGGCGGGGCAAGGATACCTGGTATTCGGTTCCACCGGAGACTGAGCAGGTCGAGTACGGAAACGATGACACGCTCGAATCTGACGGCGACTTTTCTGGCGCGGCGCAACCTGAGGCTCCCGGAACCGTGCAATTCCAACAGGATGATTCGAAAATCGAGTGTGCAATCATCCCTGTCAGATCGAACTGGACTGTCCTGGCTGTGGAGTCGATCAAGCATCGCTTGACGCCCGATTCGACGATCCTGGTCCTCTCAGACGGCCTAGGCACGATGGAAGAAATTAACAGACACTGCTATCCGGACCCCGAGACACGCCCACACTTCATGCAAGGAGTATTCACCCATTACATTCGTCGGAGAAAGGGCGCTTTTCAATTCTATCATGCTCAGCTGGGCACACTTGTATTAGGGGTTCCACCGCAGGACGGTAGACTGTCTCCAGCTGAGGCCGACAAGATCTATTGGACACAAAGCTGGCCCGAAACCACCCGGTACCTCATGCGCATGCTTACCACCACCGCGCCACTCGTCGCTACTGCAGTAGCCCCGACCGATCTCTTGTTGACTCAGCTGGAGCAAATCGCGATTCAATCCGTTCTCCAGCCGCTGACCGCGCTCATGGGATTTACAAACGGTGGTACTCTTTACAATTACCACTTCACCCGTGTGATGCGCCTCCTCCTACTCGAAACCTGTAGCATAATCGCCGCTCTGCCCGAGGTTCGGGCAGTTCCTGGCATGGAGGTCCGCTTTGGCCCGGAGCGCATACGCCGCATGCTCACCCAAGTTGCCGAAAGGACTGCCGGCCAGGAGAGTAACATGCTGCGCGACATCAATGCGGGCCGGGTAACTGAAATCCAGTTCCTGAACGGCTACATCGTGCGCAGAGGCGAGGAGCTCGGCCTCAAACCAGTGATGAACTACTTGATTCAAGCCTTGATACAAGGAAAGACATATGAGGCCCGTCAAAAGGAAATCTCTGCAATCCCCATTGAGGCCCCCGTGGATGGGCGAAACCGGGATTCTCGAAGCGCTCAATCAGACCACAGGATGCTTTCACCTTTTGGTCATTCCAATTAAATAACCTCCTCTCAACTATGTCTATATTCCTAGCAGGAAATCGTATCTAGGGCTTGAAAGCAGAGCTGTTCAATCTGTCTCCACCGGTTCAGGAGCGTTCGTACCTTTTCTGGATGGAATTGGTCGCTCTCACCGGGCAGAACACTCTCCAGATATCGGATCGCCGTATCTGCCTCTTCGATATATGCGCCAATCCAGTTTCGAACTACCTCTGCGGATCTCCTTTCATCCACACTCTGACTTGAGTAGCCGAGAACATGATCTTGCCAGTCCTTGGGCCTCATATAGGTGATCGCAGCGGCGATCTCGGTCCGGTAGCAAACACCACCGGCTGTCAGTTGGTAGTTCCTGATCGGCAGCGGATTAGCGACGGTGGTCTGCGTTATAACGGAAGCAGGAGCAATATACACACCCCAGGTACTGATGAAAATCCAGTTCCTCCTGTAATTTAGGGCTGAGATCTCTGAATATAATGGCATCGAGATATAGAGTCTCAGATTCGTTCTCCTCCAAGTAGAAACCATCTGGAAACCGAGTTTAGCCAGGATGTAGAGACGCGCAAGTTTAGGGCTGGACACTCACACTCAGTGAACAGGAAATCATTCGGATGGGGGCCATAGCTCATATAGATCTCATCCCCTTCGTCTGCGACACCAAAACAGTCAATCAACAACTCAGCCGTAATAACCTTCGAGGCAGATAGCTCAAGGAGATAGTTAAATCATACCGTACTCCTTAGCAGCGCGAAACACATAATGATGCCCATCAAAATTAACGTTGCACTGAGAACCCCGCCAAAGTCAGCCACCCCACCCCTAGCACAACTCACAATGCGCACACACACACGCAGGCACGAATGTTCGAAACTTACCGCTACATCCGAGTGATTGAAATAGTCGGCGAACGGCAGCAGGGCCATGGCGTCATTCCGATCCTCCGGCGACTCCTGGCCGGGCATCAGGTAGAAAAAGCTCCTCGTGTTGACGATCAGCCAATAATACGTGAATTCGTCCCAGTCTGTGTTGGGGAACACGGAGACCACAATATCCCAGTCCCTGCGCAGGCGTTGTTCCTGTTGCGCGAGGAGGTTCTGGTGCGTGGTTTCGTAATCGTGCGCGCGTGGTGACGTCGGGATCGTGGTCCATTGGCCGGAGATGGAAGGGGGGAGGAGGGCAACGGTCTTGGAAGGGACGTTGGGTTTGGGTCGTGACGACGCCGCCGCCGCCGGCGAGGGCTCGGAGTGTGTTGTATGCCGGAATGACGCAGGCCAGAGGATGGGCATGCTCGCTTCGAAGTCGGCGCGGGTGGGCCAGGTGCGCCGCCAGAGGGTGTATGGTTCCAGGTCGGCAGGGTCGCCGTTGGTGAGATAGGCGGCGTAGAGCGCATGCGTAGGGGTTCCATCGGGGAATCGGCTGGAGAAGGAGGTCGGGATCCGTGAGGGTGTCAGCATGGCTTCGTGCGGCACTGTTACGATGGCTTCGTCTTTCTGGTTTGGTGGGTTTGTGATGTTAGTGTATGGCTGGCGAGCGGCTTTGTTGGTTTAGTATTGTGTGTATTGTCGTACTTCAACATGCCGTGTGGCGATCATTCCTAGTCCTCGACCCGGAAATCGTGCCGGGCTGACTCCGTTGATGATGATGCCTTGGGATAGAGCCCATTCGGTAAACGCTTCATGTTGTTCGCCGGGCCACCAGGTGGGTCGCATTTTTTTGCGATTGTCGAGCTGAATGACGCGGTCTTGTTGTTGTGTTGATGATGCGGAGATGAATGTAACCTGGGTGATCGGATAATTATGTTGACAGTTGGTGTATTGCTAGCTGGGGCTTCAGTTTGCTGAACCTCGCGGTCGTGACAATGCGGCTGCGTCGCAAATAATCTGGAAATTGACCCGCTCTCACCTTCAATCGATAAAGGAAGGTCTCTTCATTTTTTATCTTATCGATCTTTATCAGGCGGTACGGCACGCCAGACCCACCACTCACGCTATCCGGAATCTCCCCGAAATCGTACCACTTGCATCTACTTCGACCGACTATTGCCCCCACGAAGCTCGAGTCCAGTGCGACGTGGTGTCCCTTTGAACCTCCAAGATGTCTGTTCTCGGGAAGCGCAGCGCTGTACTCAGCGCTCGGGAGCTGAACCTCCTTGCCACAGCAACAATCGCAGCTCCTGTGCCCCTCCAGTCTCGTTCCGCGCGGTCTTTCTCCGCCTGGAACCGTCCTCCGCCCAACTATCCCGGCCATGTGCCATTGACCTTTTTCGAGCGCGGCGCGTTGGCCGTGGGCTCTGCTTTTGGAGCTCTCATCAATCCGCGAAGAGCTGGTGCGCCTGAAACCCCTTTCTCATCATAAATCTCACCCGCATTCGACAAGCGGCACTTTTCCTCCCTCTAATCCAATTCCCCACACTAACCACGAAACGCAACCACAACCACAGATCTCATCGCAACCTGCGGCGAAGCCACGGCCACCCCCTACTTCATCTACCGGCTGCGCGACGCGATGCTCGCCGACCCGACGGGGCGGCAGATCCTCCGCGAGCGGCCGCGCATCACCTCGCAGACGCTGCAGATGGCCTACCTGCGCACGCTGCCGGAGAACACGGTGGGGCGGACGTACGCGACGTGGCTGGACCGCGAGGGCGTGTCGCCGGACACGCGCGACAATGTGCAGTACATCGACGACCCGGAGTGCGCCTACGTCATGCAGCGGTACCGCGAGTGCCACGACTTCTACCACGCGGTCACGGGGCTGCCCATCTTCGTGGAGGGCGAGCTGGCGCTCAAGGCGTTCGAGTTCCTGAACACCCTGATCCCGATGACGGGGCTGAGTCTGTTCGCCTCGGTGCGGCTGAAGCCCGCCGAGCGGGAGCGGCTGTTCAAGATCTACCTGCCGTGGGCGGTCAAGAGTGGCCTGAAGAGTAAGGAGCTCATCAACGTGTACTGGGAGAAGATCCTGGAGAAGGATGTGGGCGCGCTGCGCGAGGAGTTGGGCATCGAGAGGCCGCCGGATATGCGCGAGATCCGGAGGATGATCCGCTTGCAGAAGAAGAGGGAGAAGGAGGCGGCTGCGGCGAAGGCTGGGTTTTAGTGTGCGTGCGTGCGTGCGTGTTTGTTTTTGGTTTTGCTTCAGTGGTGGTGATACCTGTGTATATTATTGTATTGCATGGCATGGATACATTGATTTCTGGTTTAGAGAATTCCTTGGTTTGGTTTGCGGTTTTACGTGTGGGTTGACATAAAGGTATAAAGGAGGACTCGAAGGCCATGCGGAGTAGGCTGTTACCCATTAAGTCAAGCAGGCTCTACGCACCAAGCAGGTATAAGAGTAGCCTTTCATATCGAAACATTTTCAGAGCCGATAACCCAAACATAAAGCGCATGCATGGATGATTCACCCACAGTTTAGATCGGGGCGGAGAAAAGAGGAGAAGCAGGCGAAAGGTATCATAAAAGAGACTGCAAAAGACCATCATCATCACCTGCGGACGTCAAACGTCTCTCTCGCTAAGAACACTTCATCACATCAGAGATTATTGTCGCCTCTACAAGTCCAACAGATCGTCGTCGTCGTCCCAGCCACCTTTGCGCCGAGAGATCACGATCTTGTGCTCCTCCTCGTCCTTGCGCTGGTTCTCGGCCATGGCGTTGAGCAGCTGCTTCAGCTGGTCCTCCGACACCTTCTGGCGCAGCTGGCCGGTCTGCGCGAGCATGATCAAGCGGTTCTCCACGTCCATGGCGCGCGATTCCTTGACGAGGCGGATGCGGCCCAGGCGGTCGGCGGCTTCCGGTTCGAGAATTTGGTTCAGGATGGAGGCACGGCGGTCGGCTAGTTAGGGATGTTATGGTGAGTAAACTCATTTTCTTTGCAGCGTGGTGGGCGGAGGTAGAGGAGGGAACATGGCGCGGAGGTGGATTTGTGATTGCTATTGCGCATACCTTCAGCTTGTCTTGACGAAGAGTTAGCGATTAGTGGTTCCAATCATGTGGCTAGCTGTAAGGAGTGCGTACTTTCTCTGATCTTCTTGGCCGTCACCTGGCCCGCCGCGTGCACCACCGCTCTGTTGCTGGAGCTGAGCCATGCGGGCCCGTCTGATCTGTTACATGTTTTAGTGTCAGGGTCGATCAATGATACACTGAAGAAAAAGAACGAGGTCGACTATGGCATTAAGATGACGGATGGGGAAAGATTGAAAAGTCGGCGGAGCATGAAGCTGGCATACTGACCTCTTCCAACTCTGCGTCGGCCATGGTTGCTGCTGGTCAAGTTGGATCGACAATCTGTGGAAAGGGGGGTTGGTTTCTCCTTGATCAGTGCGGTCTGCTCGGGGAATTTTCAGTGTAGATCTTCGGACCAAGAGGATCTCTGCAGCGAGATCTTAGAGTAAAATTTGTATAGAATGGAAAACCCAAAGTTGGAAAAGATTATGCACAGTGGGAATGGAGGAAACCCGCTCATGCATCTGCTATTGATGGAACTTTCCACCCCCACCTTGATGATAGCTATATGCCTCAGGCACCCAGGCCACTATGTCCCCCCCAGGGCGGGGCGCCATGAGGCATCCTCAAGGCTATCATTGCCCAATCAGGAAATCAATAGTATGGCGGAGGGAATGCAGCTTCGATAACGCCAGATTGGGACGATTACACCGCAAGTCAGCTCGATTGCCTGGCGATGGCCACATTCGAGTAGTGACAGCTGGGCTCTTTGCCGATCAGGGCCTCAACCAAGGATCAGTTAAGGTTCCAATGTCTCAGACGCTGATATTTCCCTTGTTTGCTTATACTTGTAGATAATTCTCTACTGCACGTATGGTCATCCACTGCCAAGACCACAGTCATCCTCAGTTCACCGAAGCACTGACAATCCCACTGCTTTGGGTTGAGATTGTCCGGTAGGGCCAGGCTAAAAGCAACCCGGCTCGATCCCAACCATTGACAATGGGTCGTTCATTTTTTGGGGGTCAGGTCTTCAATTGCATTGAGGCCAGGGTGCGAGACTAGTATCTAGGGCAAGAGGGAGTGGAAGGGGAAGAAGAGGCAAGTGAGAAAAGCCCCCTCCTGGTCCAGCCACTCACTCCGGTATCCCTTCGCGAGACGCTGGTCTGTATCAAGATCACCACACACATCACCCTCGGAGTGGAAACCGAAGAAGCCGGCTAGGGAACGTGGCTTCGAGTTATTTATAAATCGGAATGCAGTGAAGGAGACGAAGATCGGTTACGGGGGAGTAAGTACAATACGGAGTACAACTGCTATCGGCAGATCCGTCTCCAGCCATTGCAGGGTTATCTTTTCTGGAGGTGTGACGGAGGTGTGATGGTCTCTCCTGGGAAACAGATCGACTCGGAGCTAGAATGACCTTCCCATCTGGTAATCTCCTTTGCTAAGCTTCACTCACAGATGACGGGCGAAGATATCGGCCTGACGCGACAACTGAAGGTTAAGCGCCTGAGGGTGTGATTGGGTGGGTGGAAGGTATCTCCGCGTATTCTCCGTAATTAGCGTAAGATATACGACACTCGCCACCGGAGCTAATGCTCCTCATGCTGCAAAAAAATCCTTAACCGTCCTTCGAGTGGCCGCCTGATCGCGAACGGCGATACCGGTAATATACAGTAATTACTTCAGTCACTCTGGCTTGCTTCAGGCGCCGCCGGGGCTGTGCCTGTGCTGTGCTTGTACTGGTGCCCATCAGTCCGTCAGTCAGTCTCAGTCTATCCGTACTCTCCGTACTCTCCGTACTCCGTACTTCGTACTCATTACCTACTACTCCGTGCCTCCTCAAAACTTCTCTCAAAATCACCTTTGCCCACTAACCTAATCCTTAATCATATGAAATCTTAATTCAATCCTCTCGCCTTCTTACGCTTCTTCTGCTTCTTCTTTTCCCCTCTTCTTTCCCTTTCGATACGAACCAACAATATCAACGCCCACCTGGAGAAAAAGAGGGGTAGCATCCGCGACTCTAATATCCACACCCTTCCTTTTGATCACGCCCTGATTCCCCGATCCGCCTCTATCGTCATCTGCTCCGGCCCTATCCTACCTACCCTACCTCCCCCTCCCCCTCTCCCTCAATTCGCTTCTACTCACTCTCCTTCACTTATTCTTGCTTCGTACACTCTCTCACTGTCTTTTCTTCCATTAAGCGATTCTTGTTGCGCCTCTCAATTCCCGTTCCTTCCTAGTCAGTCTCAATGCGTCGTGGCTCGACTAATTGATTTCTCTCCACGCTGCGCGCTGGCGGAGACGTTGCATTGCTCTTGCACTTCCCACCCCCTACTTCACTTGTCCCATGCATAGATCTTGACTACGCTCTTTTGAGTCTGTGAGGAGTTGCAGATGGGAAGTCCCGGACCTGCTATATACGTGGTTGTGAAACCCGCCTCGCTATCATTGTAATACCCCATCTATCGTCAATAACCCGACCCGCAGCTTCTCTTATCACCATGGCCGAGTATGTCTTCACAACCTGTTCAATTTCTCGCTAAACTCTCATACAACATTACTAACTGTCGGAGACAGTTTCATCGCCTTCCACACTTACTATTCGCGTCATAATTTCCTCTCACCCTCCAACATGCTTCCGCGGCCTACCAGCCACAGACGATCCCTCTCCTCCGAGAATAGGTCTCTGTCACCCGACAGAACCATTACGAAAGCGCGGTCAACAAACGATTTATCGGAAATTGTCACCGAGAAACCGACTCCCGGAGTCCGATCATCCAGTGTGGGAAATTTTCCAGACACCAACTTCAATACCCTTAAGGATCCGAGACTCGCGAGCAGCGCGGCAAGCTCGGAAACCGCATCCACCACCCAGTCGCACCACCCCGATCTCAGCAATGAAGTCGCAGCTTTAAGTGTTAAGCTTGTCCAGGCGATCAACAACCAAACCACGTTAGATGACAGCTTAGTCGCCACCCGCCAGGAACTTGAGCAAGCTCAGAAAAAGATCCGCTCTCTCGAGTCGGAGAACGAAAAATACCGGCGCGACGTTGAACAGGAAATATTAATCAAGAAGGCCGATGTCGATTACGAAATGCTGCGCCTACAGGCCGCGTTGGCTGAAGAGAAGGCCCAACGCGCGCTAGCAGAGAAGGAGAAGAAGGGCATTGAACAGGAACTAGAGACTTTGACTGCTGCTCTGTTTGAGGAGGCCAACAAGGTTAGATCTTCAGCAACCTATGCTGTTGTCCCAGCTCATGTGCTGACATGTTTGTCTAAATATAGATGGTCGCAGCCGCTAAACTTGAGCGTGAAGCGGTAGAAAAGAAGAACGAGCAATTACGCGCTCAGGTCAAAGATACCGAAGCACTCCTCGCATCGCATCAGGAGCAACTTGCTGAACTGAAATCTGTTTTGCAAGGAATGAACGTCACCAAGGACGATACTGATGCTCGGACCATCATCTCAACTGCGCCGTCCTCTCCAGCTGCACCTATGCGAACTCCGTCCATCAGAAAGAACATGGACAGTTCGGCTGCCCCCGAGGATGTCATGGCAATGGAAGACATCAAACCGGCTCCCTCGACCAGTTTTCCACACCTGATCAAGGCTGTTTGTCGCACTGATATACAAGCGTACGAGGATTTCCGAGAACTGTTCACCACGTCGAGACTGTCCAAGCCACCGAGTCGTGCCACCAGTGGGTCCTACGCCGGTTTGAATGTCATGAGCCTAGCTAGTCTGAGCACTGGCGGCTTCGGCTCTGCGTCCTCGTCGCCTGCGAAATCCAATACCCATTCTCCCAGCGGGAGCGTGTCGTCTCCTCAACCAGTCACTTCCCACATTCCATTGAAGGAAACTCGTTTCTACAAGCGGGTGGTTGTGGAAGACATTGAGCCAACACTGCGACTGGATGCCGCTCCCGGGATCTCTTGGCTAACTCGGCGGTCTGTATTGGGTGGAATTTGTGAGGGTAGTCTGTTGGTTGAGCCTATGTCTTCGTCGGCTAAGCGGTATGAGTTCCCATGTTCACTCTGTGGCGAACGCAGGATCGGCTCCATCAACGAGAGGACTCATCGCTTCCGCACTTCCGATAACGAGACCGCCCAGCGCTACCCGCTGTGTGTGCTCTGCTTGGAAAAGGTACGATCATGCTGCGAGTTTACAGGGTATCTTCGCTTGATTCTCGATGGGCATGTTCGGATTGGGGATGCCGAAGAGGAGAAGGAAGCTTGGGATGAGACTATCAGATTGCGGGAAAGAATGTTTTGGTCCCGAATTGGTGGCGGCATCATTCCACTATTCAACCAGTCGCACCGACACCACGCACACCACGAGAGTTTCTCGAGTGCAGCAGAAATTCCTCTAGAGACGATTGTCGACGGGCCGGAAGAAAGCCTGCCAGACCTTACCCCCGAGGCCGATCACGCAAGTCTGCAAATTCGAAATATCGACGAGGTTGATGATGAACTGCAGGACAAGACCTCCTCCAACGAGGACCCCTTCGTATCTGCTCCCGCCGACGTCGAGGTTCCAGTGACTGTCTCGGTGCCTGATGATGGCACGGATACCGAAGACCATGAAAAACTATTCCATGATACACATGAACAAATTGATGGGCCATCGGAAATCGCCCAGATCGCCCACATTGATGAAGAACCCCATCCCCCTGTGCATGAGGAGACTGTTATCAGTCCCCCTGCAACCAAGAGTGGCATTTGCTGATTCATTGCACCCAAATTACTTTCCAAGACCTGTGGACACCGAACACACGGATACAATGTTGTCGACCTTCCATTCTCGCGTTTCAGAGCCCCGTCTTCGATATCCAATTGCTATATATCATTTTCTCTTCATTTCATCCACGAAGATTTCCTCGTGTGCCTGCCTGCTTAATCACTCACCGATCCCGTCATTTTGCTGCCTCAGGCATGATTCGGAGCAAGCGCAGCCCATGGTATGTATTATTAATTCTTGCTGAACTTGCCCTTCCGCCCTGTATAAATAATATCCTATATTCGTTTCTTTCTCTGTTCTTCGCACAGACGCCGTTGTCTTATCTTGCCGAGCGCAACTCCTGATCACGCAGAAAGGAGCCGCGAATGAACCATGACATTGCATTCGAGTTTGCTTCTTCGTTGTTCGTTTCCCCATTTCATTCTTCCAAGATTGTTCTTCTTTTTTTCAACCTTATTTGTCTTCTTCTCGTTCAATTTCTCTTCTTTGTTTTCATTGCTGGTACTAGATACCGTTCTATACATGGTGACAGGATGGTGTGGTATACGAGATGGATGATACCGAAGCACGGGCTGACGAGCTTCTACACATGCACATATTACAATCTATGATGACCTTATTACCTGGAGCATAAAGCATCAAGCATAAACGTCTTCTAGTGTAGTCTACATCTTACACGCGTAGTAGCTCGAATGACTGCATCAAAGGGGGATTTGTTTGGTCATGAAATTTGCGACAGGATAGGCTGTCTCGTCTCTCGCATCCAGAAAGAA